CAGAATCTGCAAGAAGGGAAGGGATATCTTTGGCAGGAAACAGCCAATGGCACCATTTCCCATGCTTTGGCAGAGCTTCCCTGAAGTGTCTTCCAGGCACATTGCCATCAATGATGCAGTATTCAGGCATCCCATCTTTGAGGACAAGCAGATGCTCCATTGTCAGAACACCCATCTTGTTCATCAATGTAGAGAGAGCTCTGCATCCTCTAGTGGTCACCAACCAATGAGTGCCACTCTTCATCTTTGGTCAATGTTGATTGTTGCAGTGTTCATCTTCATGTGATCTGCACAGAGGGCACCATAACGCTTGAGCAGGGCCTCCTCAGGAGGCATGGAGAGCTCCTCTTCTGTGGCTAGGAGGAGCTGAATTAGCAAACATTCTATTGTGTATGTGTATGTGATAGAATCTCCTGCAGTTGTGGTGCATAATGGGCTTCACAAACAGCATGAAAAGCATACCTCCTTCAGGAGCTTCAACAGCTCCTCATCAGTGGCCATGGCAGTTGGCAGGGTTACTTGCTCCTCTCTGGCAGGTCTTATTTGGGCTGTCACATCAACCTGAAGAAAGTACAGGATTGGTGAGATTTATTAAGGACTACATTTCATTTGAAATCAAACACACTTACCTCTGGTGCTAAGAGCAAATCTTGTGACATCTCCATGATGGAGCTGGCTCCAGTGGTGCCTTGAGTCTCAGGTATGGTCTGCTGAGAGTTGAGAACAATCTTCAATAATGAGAATATATCAGTTGTTCTATCATGTACATGTATGCAATAGATTACTTATATAAAATGGTGGTTAATTGATTATAAGAGTCACTATTCTTGAATAGAATGGAAATATGCAGTATAATGAAACAACTGGTATTATGATGGGACAACACCATGAAAAGAAAGGATAACATAAAGATAAGATTAGATTTATTGTATATCTAAAATGATATTTCATCACATATGTGTACACAATGAAATTGTATCTATTGTACCATTAATGCTAATCAGATTTCATCATGTACATGTGCATGATGGGATGGTGTGTACCAATGAGCTTTTTTGCAGACATTTCTTAAAAAGTGTTAGGATCAAGGCCACCAATGAGACAGCCCACTCTGAAATTTCACTGTCTTCATGGGCAAGATGTCATTGGCTGCTGGTTAGATGGTAGGCCAGTTTGCATTGACACTAATGCTCTCCCCCCACCACATCTCTCAACTGCCCCACCCATGGGGGCATTGGACAGTGATACCTGGTTTGTCCCACACTTCTTTTTGATTTTTCCCATAATTCTTGACCTTCTTAATCAATGTGTAACATGTAGTTATAATTCCTATTTTATCATTGCATATGTGTATGTGATGATTTAACTATGTTTACATCATTTTCATTTCTCCACTTGCATGCACAAAAATGTTGTGTATGTGTATGTGATAACTATCCTGTCTGAAATCACCTCTTTATTCTTACAGGCATTTCAGCCCTTTTTTCAAAAATGGATATGACATCCCTGACACTCACTCTGGCAGTGATTCTGAGGATCATAGTGATCTCACCATGACACCAGTACTGGAGATTCCTGTATCCCTCATTCTGGATGTGTGTGGTGATGATACTGGTCAGCTGGCTACATCCAGCCAGCAGATCATCTCCATGGATGGATCCCTATATCTGTGGTGTTCAGGGAACCTCCAGGCCTCATGTCTTCCACTTCTCCTGCCATGAAGAAGATGTGCAGATGTTCATGGACTACCATTGGACAGCAATAAGACCAGATTAGATACATTGATATCAATATCAATATCAATTATTTCAAATAATCTCCATCTTTGTTATGCTCAGTCGACCTTCTCTCTGACCTGGAGCCATTGGATTGGCCCATCAATGCTTCCATCAGTCTCACTGGAAGTGCTACACTTGAGCTGACATCAGTGAAGCCAGATGATGGAGCCATTGTGGCAATTGCTGGTGAGAAAGGAGCTGTGTGGCTTGGTGTGGTCAGTTGAACCCTGTGCATGCATATTCCTTGATTGGCTGGATGAAGCAATGGATGGGTCCTACCACTTGACTGCAGACCCACCCACCTCTGTCTCCTACAATTCCCTCTTGTGTGCAGATGTTTCACTGGATCTCAACAACCAGATGAGACCTGTGCTCTGGTTGCAGCTTCTTAGCATGCAGAAAGACTGGCCTGATCTGGATGAAGACTCTGGTCACCTTAGCCCAACCTGCACTGAAGAACTGCCTGATCCTGAGCCGCTCAGGAGGGGGAAAAGAAGGAAGTGATTTGTTGGTGTTGCATACTGCACACAGCACCTGAGGTTTGTCACAGCGCCCTGCGTATGGCATGTTGGGCTGACTGGGCAAACCTCTTGATGTAATGTATGAACCTCCATGACCATCTCCAAATTTCTATTGTGTATGTGTATGTGACAACAAAAACTGTAAAACTGGATGCTTACTTTATTGTGTATGTGTACATGATGACTACACATTCAACCTACCATTTCTTTGTTTATCATGGACATGTTGGTGCAAAGTAAATCTGACTTTACCAGTGCTCCTCAGAACAATCTCAAAATGCACCTTGCTTTTGCTTTCATCCCCTCCATCAATTCTGTAATCAGTGGCCAACATGGTGCCCTCACTTCCAGTTCATGTTCAACCTCACACCATATTCAGTCAGTTGCACTCATGGATGGAACTTCATTCTTCACATTTGTGCTGAATTGGAGCACTATTCCTGAAGCACAACAACAATTACATGGTCATTTGTGACCTCTCATTTCAAATGACTGCAAGTTTGTTGTGGTATCACTAGATGTTGTGTGATGATACCATGATGATTGTTGTGGTAATGCTGGATGTTCTGTGATGATACCATGATGATGGCTGCAGTATTGCTGGATTGAAATGAGCAATACCATGGTATCATGTAAGGGATGTTGGTGATACTGTGATGAATGTTGTGGTATCATTGCACAACATCTGGTGATACCACAACAATCATCACATTTTTAAAGGTGAGCACCACATATGTACACAGAGAACAAATCAAGGTGAAAGCTCTGTGAGAGGTAAATCAGCTACAGAATTTCTTGCTGTTTTCTCTCTCACTCAGCACTTTCACCTTGATTTGTTCTGTGTACAGATGTGGTGCCTGCACCTTTAAAGATGTGTACACCACACAGGAGCATTAGGGAAAAAGGTACACAGACCCTTTGTCATGAACACCTAGTTGAGCAGTGTCAGGCCTGCAAGCTGGTAATTGAGGCCATCTTGTCTGTGTGGTGATGAAGATCATGTGGCCTGCAGCATGTGGGGGATTTAACTGAGGCTGCAGGAGCTGCCAACCTCCACAATTGTGGCAAAAAGGGGTCCAGTCCACTCCATCACATTGACTGCCCTTGATTGCAAGCTTGGACAAAGGCTGGGAGGTGGCAAAATTCAGAAATTAATGAATCTTCTACCCCCCCCCAAATTGTAGCCTGTCCTTCACTCTCTTAGACACCCCTGTGATGTGCAGCATGTTGGGATGTGCTGCCATTGTCCTAAAAACTATAATCTTGTGTGGGAATTTTAATTTTGCCAAATACACAGTTAAAATGACCATGCCTTCTACAAAGAGTTTGTTTATTTGTTTTGTCCAGCAAAAAAACAACATAAAACAAACTATTTAATCTCTTGCGGAGGATGAAGCTGTTGTTGGTCCTTGTGGGACTCATCGCTGTGCTGCTGGGTGCCGTGGTGTACCACGATGGCGCGCCATCTTCGCCCAACGATTTTGCCACTCCCGCGTCCTCTGCCGATGGAATCCAACAGACGCGCACCTACGCGCGCATCGTTGAGCGAGTCCCCATCCACCACGAGCACTTCGAAGCCTGGCTCTACTTGCCTCTCCCTGTCCCGGCTACCAAGCCTCCAGTCATCATAATGGGTCCTGGTCTGGTACCTTACCTCCAATTGTTAATCACGCCCATTTTTTAAGTGCCATTACAATTCATGAACTTTCACCAGCTGCGCTTTGCACCTTCACATCAGAAATTAGATCTATTTGATTGTAATTTTGATATCAACTTAAACAATCATGTTGTGCGCAGGCGGCACAGAAGGACTTCGCGGGATTAACGGCCTACGCGGAGCGCTTCGTGGCGGAAGGGTGGGCCGTGTTCCTCTTCGACTACCGCAACTTTGGCCGTAGCGAGGGCAGGCCGCGCAACCTTATCGACCCCATCCGCCACGTGCAGGACTACCACGCCGCCATCGTCCACGTCGTCAACACCAGTACGCATCCGTCTTGTTGAGGTCGTGCGGTCGTGCGGGGCTGACCCACTGGGCCTAACTTTGCTTTGGACACAGACATTACTGAAAAGGTGGACGTCACGCGCATGGCTCTCTGGGGCTCCTCCTTCAGCGGCGGCCACGTGCTGGTGACGGCCTCCGAGTTCGAGGCCGCCGTTAAGGCCTATCCTCTCAGTACTCACTCACTCACTCTCACTCACTCACTCACTCACTGTGTGCGCGCGTGTCGACGCTTTTCGCTCTGGTAACTCACGCTGTTCTTTGCGTGTCCGCACAATGGCAGACTACATCCTCAACCAAAGGCCGGAACATGTGAACAGGACTAAGCCCCAGCTCAAGGCCGTCTTCTCGCAAGTGCCTCACCTGGACCCCTATGCGGTCATCCCCACCCTCAACCTACTCCAGGTCGCACGCGTACGCTCTCCCCCCATCTGCTAATCACCACTTTTCTTTCCCTCCGCCTCTTTCATGCTGTGGACTCATCGAATATATATATTAGGGCTTCGCTTTGGCCATTGCCGACTGGATCGGGTCGTGGTTTGGGCTCAACGTCTACGTCAGGATCTACGCCTCGCCGGCCGAGGTTGCCATCATGAAGTATGGCCTTCCTTCCTTGCACTGTGTATCGTGCGTGCGTGCTCTCTGTCGCGTTATGGCGCTCGCGACATTTGAGCGCCGCTCCGATTCCAAGTTATTCACACTCACCACATCAGTACGCCCGAGGCTGTTGAGTACGGTCATTTGGTGCCCGAGAAGCCAGTCGGCGGATGGGTAAACAAGGTATCGGCACATTCACGTTCCATGTTTGAAGGCCGAAGCTGACGGTCGTCATGGTTGTGTCAGGCACCGGCGAGGTCTATCCTCTACGTTTCTCGCTACAGGCCGCTGGACTATGTGGCCTCCATTGCTACGCCCACGCTGATGATCGTAGCCAATCACGATACCCTGTGCCCTATCACCGCCGCCAACGAAGCCGAGAAACTCCTCGCCAATGGAAAGGTATCGCCTTCTTCCACCGAATACCCCCCCATGTACTTGTCAGTGCTAAACGCTTCTTTCACTGTATCAGGTTCTCAAGTACGACGTGGGCCACTTCGACTTCTACGAGGGCAAGCCACACTTCGAGGAGACGCTCGAGCACCAGATCCGATTCTTCCGCGAGCATCTCTAACTCTCCCTCTTTCTCCTCCTTCTCCTCTGTTCGCGCCTTCCCTCCTTCTCTCCTCCCCTTTTTTATGAGGTCTGCCGTGTGGTACCTGACTTCCATTTTTGATGCACAAATACTCCCGTCCTCTCCACCTTCCTCAACACTCCAGAGAGCCAGACAGTCGGGTGGGCTGAGATATCCCAGGAATGCAATGCCCACGTGCTGCATTCCTGGCCAGCTTCTAGAATGTATGGCATGCCGAACCTTGTGCTGCGCTCCCCGCAAAATGCAAAGAAGAACGGTGGTTGGCACGGAGCATATTCCTCGCATTCCTCGCAACGGTCCGTATTTTGTGGTGCAGTTGGCACTAAGGGAGGCCAGCAAGATTGCGGCTGCCGAAGAGAATCAAAAAGAGGGCAAGGTAATCGTTGAGCGCCACCTCTGCCGCAACGCGTTCCTAATTTCTGAACTGATTGTCGCAAATCATGATTCATGAATTTTTCGTTCTTTAGGGTGATTTTCTTCAAGCCATGGCTCTGTCTGAGCAGGATCGCGAGCTGTTCTACAAGCTTCTCACACCACTCCATTTCTACGCTAATTTCAAGCTCAACCTCTTCAGCAACTACACAACATTGGAGGACTTCAAGCAGTGTCCCGTGACTGATCGTATGATTATTCGAAACAAAATCCTCGAGGATCCTTCTCTCATCGATCAATTCATCCACGATAACCCAGAGGGCTTCAATCAAGATGAGCTCGACATTGTTCGTGTCCCTCATCTCTCCTCCGCGAAATGTCGTTGCTGACTCACTTTCGTGCAGCTGCGCGCATGGCGGCAGTACCAGGTCAAAGATAAATTCATCCTCGAACGGCATCTCAAGAAGGGCTCCATCTTCATCGCCGGCGAGCAGCAGGTCTACCTCGTGTCGGGCATCACGAGCCCCCTCTCCGATATGATATTTGCAGAGATGTTGCCACTTATCCTCGAGACCGTCATCATGCCCTTCAAGGGGAAGATCGTGTATGCTCCCCCTCTCTTTCACTCTTTTTCTTGATCACTTTCTTTGCAGCTTGCTAACGCTGTGCGAGTGCAGCTACGATGGCCTTCTGAGCCACACGCCCATTCAGATCGGAAGCACGTTGGCCAAGACATGGGCCAAGTCTTACCTCGCAGCTAAGCAAAGCAAAAAGGTACGTCAGGGCGGGGCACGTTGCTGTGCACAACAACAACAACAACAACAACATGATGATGACAATGCTGAGGTACAGACAGGCTTGGGCTCACCTTTCCCAACAAACAACAGGTGATAACGACGTTTGGCGAGATGCGGGGCAAAGAAGAGGAGAAGCCCGTGCGGAAGCGGAAGCGCGAGAATGAGGAGCCCAAGGTGCCCTTCGAGATGAAGAAGGAGCTCGAGGAGTTCGCGCGAAAGGCCAAGCGAGTGAAGGACGAAGCCCAGCCGGGAAGGGAGAGCTCGGCCGCAAGCGTGCTGCTCAACGCCGCGCAGATGATGAAGCGGATCGTGGATGGCGGACCCAACCTCAAGCGGGCGGTTACCAGCGTGCGCAAGTCGCTCGAGCTGCTCGACAACGAACTCAAGGGCACCTTAGATGAGAAAGATGAATGATCCTTTTGAGAGCTTGGTCTGTCGCGCGAAGAGATCCACCTATCTTCTGAGCGATGAGCGTCGCATCTACATAGATGAAGAAGATCACTCCACTACAGAGATGAAGAAGATCGCTCTGTATATACAAAAAGAGATGGCAGGACAACGTGTTGGTTGTTGGCGATTGTGGCCAAGGAGAGACTTGCCAAGAGACGCCAAAGCACAAGCCAAGATAACTCAACCCCAGTTGAGTTGATCACGTGGACGGTGTGAGCGGTGTTTCTAGCCTGTGGCGGGAGGTTTGCCCTAAAATCTGTATGCCGTGCCAATAGAGCAATAGAAAGCGAAGGTTGCGCAAGTGGTGTTGGACCGGTAAGAAGGCCAGCTGGCGGCTGCAACAATTAAGGCCATATGTCCCTGTCTCAATTGACACGCGATCAACATAGAATAATCGGCCACCTATGGCGCCAAACGCTGGTGTAAACTACAACACCAATCAATCCCCCGGTGGGAGCTCCTTGTGCAATTCGCGGAATTAGTGTTAATGTGACGTGGTCGTCGGAATAGCTTCTGCCGCGTTGCTCTCCGCCCGCTGGTGGTGTCTCGTTCCGCACGACTCCCCCTTTGGTTCATAACCAAAAACTTTTGCAGGCCTTTCTCGCCGCCCTCAAGCCACAGGAAGAAGCATCACGAGGGAGAGAAGGGCTTGGTCGATCTGGCGCTCGCGTGCTGGAGGCACAGCTAGTGGATTGCCCGTGGCAGAGAGGAGAAAAGTAAACAGGATGGAAAGGGACGGCCACAGAGACACGGGGAGGTCGGGCGACAGCGGCAGTGGCGCAGGGGGGAAGCGACGGTACGGCGCTGACGATGACACCGATGATGCCGATCATGGCGCAGATAGAGGGGAGCGAGATGAGCACGACGATGCAGAAGAGCAGCAGGACACAAAGAAGAAAGTCAAGAGGAAGCGAAAGAGTGGAGAACATGGAGCTTCATCCGACGCCGGGAGGCTGAGCCGCAAGGAGGCGGTGCCGCACATCAAGCGCTGGTACGCTCCTGGTGGGATGAAATATTGGATGGATTGAAATCATCGCCTTTTTGGCTGTGATGTACCACTCTATTTTTTGATGTCAGATCATGCCTTGATGTCTTCATATCTGTAAGAAATCAAGGCATTATCTTGATGATTGTGGCTCTGTCCACCTCGAGATCATCTCCACAAACACATCGAGCCTCTCGTTGCCTCACAACCCGAGACTCAACTATTTTCCACTTGTTGCAATGCGCAAATATTATCGATTATTAATTATTTATCAATCTTCGCCAGATATCCTGGCCAACCAGAGATTGTGTACGTGAACTACACTTTCCTTAAATAGGATTGCCACATCATTTTGTAGCCTGTTGGCTGTGGGCTTTCCATTTAAAGACAATTCTACCAAGGCGGTGTCTGCGTTTCGATGTCCCCTCAGTTTGACAGCTCGTCGTTGTTGTTGTTTTCGCCAGGTTGCGGGAGCATGTGGTGGAGCGCGAGGAGGGATCTCTGCTCAAGCGGGAGCTGTTCGAGGCCTACCTCAGGTTCTGTATGCAGAGCAATCTCAATCCGACCAACGATGCCACCTTCGGCCGGATGGTCAACGCCGTCTTCCCCAACGTGCAGCAGCGCCGGCTGCGCCGGGATTCGCACATCAAAAAGTGGCACTACTGCGGCATCGCCTACCGCTCCGGTGGCGGCGCTCTATCTCCCCCAATCTCCGCCGCTGCCACCACCCACACCGCCACTTCGGTCGTCGGCTCTCCTTTCGCCACCACCACTACCACCTCCACAACATCCACCAGTGACGCGTCTCTCGCCACTTTTTCGTCGGCGTCTGCCTACCACCCCTCACCGCCGCACTCTAACTACCACCCGCCGCACCATCATCCTCCGCCAGCTTACCGCCACGGCTACCCGCCACCACCTCCGTCGTACTACTCTTCGTTGGGGCCACCGCCGCCGCTCTACACCCCGTCCTACCCCGACCAAGCCTACCGGGCGCCAACGTCGGCTCCCACACACGCCTACGGCGCCCCGCTCCCAGCCTATGCGCTGCACCACCATCCCGCATCTTCCTACGTAGGCCGTTTTCACTCACGCCTTCTGCCGGTGCCTGTGCCGCTGGATGAACTCACTGCGGTGCCGCCATACCACCACCCGAGCGCCCAGCCGCCGCTGCTGCCCTCGACGTCGGAGCCGTTCGGAGGCCTGCCGCCTGTGCCGGCGTTCTCGCGCGTCGAAGGCCAGCTCGCCCGTGTCTACTCTCACTCCAACTCCTACTCGCCCGCGCCTGACGAAAGCGGACCGGGCAAGGGCAAGGCGCTGGCCGACCGCCACGAGATCGGGAATGGGCTCACCGCCTCCACCTCGGGCTCTCCGCCGAGCATGTGGCTCCGCAATGTCGACAACTCGTTGCCCTTCCTCAACCAGCTTCACCTCTACGCCAGCTTCTACCGACGCGAGATGTGGGGCTTTGAGTACGCGCTACTCCGCCCGCGCGAAAGATTCATTAGTTGGCCCGTGACGCTGACGGTGTGTGTGTTGAAACAGACCGTTGAATCCGCTGTGTATGAAGACGGATACGCTGCGCTACCTGTTCATGACCGAAGAGGGCTCCAAGGAGCGATCGCCGCTTTCCCTCTGCACTCACTACGCCTTGTGCGCGGGTAGCCCCCTGACGCCTCTTGCACTATTGCTCTGTGTGGGCGCTTATCGATGCTCTCTCGCAGGTGCACTTTTGTCGGGGCACTTCGCGCAGGCCAAGGAGCACTTTGCAGCTGCTCGGGAACATCTGGGCTATGTGTTCGATTCGAGCAACTACGATGTCGCGTGCACCCTTTGCTACATCACCTCCGTCGCTCGCTTCTTCGCGCAGGTACTGTGCGGGCAGCTCTATGTGCGGGCCGAGGGCGTGCGCTGACATGATTCGCGTGAATGCAAAAACCAGAACGAGCGAGAGGGCAAGGAGCTGTCACAGTACTACCTGACGCTGGGAATGGAGACATGTGAGAACATCGGCGCGCAGAACGACGACCTCTACACCATGCTTGTCAAGTCCTGCGCCATATACCTCCATCGGATCGATGAAGAGGCTTCCACCCTCCTGCAGGTCCGCCTCAACCCCTCCACGATGGCACGCGCACGGCACACGATACACACGGCACGCGCCTGCGACACACACCGAACTAACCGGATTGTGGCGTTCTGGCCAGCAGGCCAAATCCGTCCCACGATGGCGCAAGCCGTGGAAGCAGGGCAAGTACTACGTGGAGCAGTACAAGTACGGTAAGTTCGTGAGCGCGCTGCAGGAGTGCGCCGTCGAGACCCTCAAGCAGCTCGTCGTCCTCCTCCTTCGACCACCCCACCGTACGCTCCCCTTTGGCTTTCTCGGATTCTCGTGTTCGTGATCTATTCTCTGTAACCTAGTCCACATTTTATTTAGGCAACCAGGAGTTACTCAGCAACATATATTTTCCTTTTATCGCAATTATTAAGGCAAGGACCTATTTTAGTTAGCACGTGTGCTTAATGGGCGCTGATCGATGTGCACGACAGAACCACCGACGCCGGAGGAGTGGTGGACGTTGCGCGAGGCCTCTGCGTGGCGCGAGGGCACCATCACCGGGCTGGAACAACTGTACTTGTACGACCCACCGCGACAGCTGACCACGTTCCTGCGGGCCTACGTCATCTTCGCCCGAGCCGTGTGCAACCTGCGAGTCAACCTCGTTGACGACACGCAACAGGCCTCCTCCGACTTCCTCCAGCTCCTCAGCCGCTGCAACCGAGGTGCGCTTCTTCACTCCTACACCAGCAGTGCTCGAGCGCGGCGACTCGCGAGACGGTCATCGACTCACCGTCACGGGCAGGTGTGGTGGCCTGCGTGTTTTCGGACCTGTGGTGGACGGGCGCGTGTGCGGAGGCCTTCGTGGGTCTGGTGGTGTTCTTGCACCGGGAACGCCGGCGGGATCTGGTCAACCTCGCACTGGCCCTGCTGGCCCTGGTGAAGAGCGACCTGGTGTGGGCCGACCAGATGCACGGCAGACTGGTCGCCCTCAACATCGTCCCTACCACCACCGACGATGGTGGTTGTGAAGGTGAAGGTGGTGGCATACCAATCAAGCAGGAGAAGGAGGAGCGGCAGCGAAGCGGTGACGATGCTCACGACCTCAATAGCCTCGGGTACCTCGGCCACCACAAGCTCAAGGCGACCGTCGAAGAGGACGGCAGCGCGCAGCTCATCGGCACCGCATCAGCGACGAGACAGGCAAAAGCACAGAAAAATAAAATGTAGAAAAGGAATGGGAAAAGGAAAGGAAAACAGATTTTGCGCAGGACGGGAAGGAGGAGATGAGGCGGCCGAGCGTGAGCGCGCTTCTCTTCTGGCTTGTGATTGCTGTGTGCTTCGTTGGGGCGGCACAAGCTTTAGTGCGTGGTGATCTTGTGAAAACGAGCACACGAGCTCGATATGGAACGGTAATTCTGCTCTCTCGATTTATTTGCTCATAGAATCACGAATTAAACACACACTCTTGTGCGTGCACCAGGTGGAGACGCCGTGGACGGGACTGACGGCCAAGTACAGCCCTCGCTTTCGCTACGAGAAAGCGAGTATGCTGCCCAACCCACAGCAGGACATCAAAGCCCACGACTTCTTCAAACTGTACGCTCTACTCACCTCCACAGCCCCCTTTGGGGGGTCGTTTGCAAGCAGCAGCAAAACTACGTAGCGACCCGCTGACGCAGACCCACCACACCCGACTTGAAACGACACGACACATACACCGTGCAGGTCGTTCTCTTTCGTTGATGGCAAGTTCACCACGCCGTGGATTACGGTGTGGGACGCGAAGCAGAACATCTACCTCAACTACATCGAGTTCGTGTTCCTGTATTCGGGCAACGAGATCATCGGCGTCGACTATCACGTAGACTGTACGCACACCTCCATCGGCCTCACCCACCGGTGCACCGACCACTCATCTTCTTTTGCTGCTAAAACCTCGTCACAGACAACAACGACCCGGAGCATGGCGGCAAGGTCCTGTCGAATCTGTTGCTCAAGGCACGCGAACCTCAACTAATACAACCACCACTGCTCGGGCATTGCCCAATGCAAGCTGAGGCTCACCACCACCACCACCGCCACCATCATCGGACTTTTTGCCCACTCCAGTTCGCTTGGAGCGAGCAGAGCCTGGAGGACGTGGACGCGATGCTGGCGCTCATGCTTTGCGGCGGATTCATCGCAACCATGGTCGTACTCCTCTTCGCCGTGTTCGACTCTCAAGGCACCACCCGGCTCCAGTACGTCCCTCTCTCTCTCTCTCTCTCTCTCACACACACACACACACACACTCGAACGATCTTGGCCTAATTTCCTTCTCAACCTCGCTGAATTGAACACACGACACACACGACACACGATGTCTGGACCTACAGGAAGTTCAGCGAGTTGATCAACAGCGAGGAAGAGGCGCGGCCGGTGGCCTCCTCGTTGCCGTACGTGGACACCAGCTACGACGAGCGCCCCGCGCCCAGCCGCCGACACGTCAACGGCGGCGGCAGCGGAGGCAAGAACCGATCGTCGGCGACCTACGTGGAGTACGACAACGCGCGAGGCCCGATGGCCATGATGGAGGGCGCCGGCGGCTTCGTGCCCTCGTGGGCGGCCACCACCAGCGCACAGCCACCATCAGCCGAAGAAGAAGGAGACGAGGTGATCCCCATGGAAGCGTTTCCCGCCGATGAGGAGGATCGAGGCACGGCCACCGGCACCAGCCGAGGGAACGAGCGTGAGGACTATGATGGTAGCGCCGTGGCTGAAGATTTCGTGAGCATCGACGCGCTCGGCCAGCTCCCCGCGGGAGCGTCGACGACGCCGGTCGGCTCGGCGCCCACCTACCTCCAGCAGCCCATCGTGCGAAGGAAGGGGCCGTCGGACGATCATGCCTCTACATCCCGCAAGGACGACTGAGCGGCAACACAAAATACAAAGAGAAAGTGAAAAGGAAAAGGAAGGAAAAGAAATTGTGTGAACCAACAAGGAGACAAATCAGCATCAAGAAGGAAGAAGGACAGCAGGTCGCTTTGAAGATGGACGAAGGAACGAAGTCGACGGTGCAAAAGATTCCGCTTCTTTCGGTCAAGGCGGGACCTACGGAGGCGGATCAATGGATTAAGCGATTGAAGGAGGAATACACGGCGCTCATCAAGTACGTGCAGATCAACAAAGAGGCCGACAACGACTGGTTCACTCTCGAGGCGGCCAACAAGATGGGCACTCGATGGAAGGGCAAGTGCTGGTACATTCACAACTACTTGAAGTACTCGTTCGATCTTCAATTCGAGATTCCCGTCGGCTACCCGCAGACCCCCATCGAGCTCCAGCTGCCCGAACTCGAGGGCAAGACGCCCAAGATGTACCGAGGCGGCAAGATCTGCCTCACCATCCACTTCAAGCCGCTCTGGGCGCGCAACGTGCCTCATTTCGGAATTGCCCATGCGCTCGCCCTCGGCCTGGGTCCTTGGCTCGCCGCCGAGATCCCCGACCTCGCCTCCAAGGGCCTCATCGAACCAGAGACCAAATAGACCCGTGCACCCACCCCCTTTCTTTCCTCACTCCACTTGCACCCCCCCCCCCATGTCTCGTTCTTCTCGAGGTTGGGGAGTGCATTTCGCAACAGGCCTGAGGTCGACGTGGACGAGGTGATGAGGGGCTTGCACGACGTCGGTCACTGTCGGGATCAGAACGGCTTGTTGTGGATCCAGCGCTCGAAGAAGGCTGATGGAAAGGCCGTGTCAGAGAGAGCGTGTGCGTGCGTGCCATTGATGTGTGTGGGCGTACCATAAGCTTGCGGCGGGGCATACCAGGGCACCATGTGGCCGGCTTGGGGAGAGAGAGTGCATGCGTTCGTCAGCGTACGATCAGCTGTAATGGAGAAGAGGTGTTGATGCTCTGAACTGTACCTCCTTTGATGGTGAGGAAGCTGATGCCCTCGTACTCGATGACGCTTCCCGCAGTCTGGCCATCGTACTGCCAATTGCTGCGAGCAATCAAAAAGAAAACAATGAACTTGAGCCATTGCTGTCGTGCCGTGCTGTGTGTGCCGTGTGTGTCGTTGTGTGGGCCACAAACCTCCAGTCCCTCTTGACGGGTCTCTTGAGGCACGAGATCCAGCGCTGGGTGCCGATGAAGGGCACCGCTGAGTCGGCGTCGCCGCTGAAGACCAGCACCTTCCAGTTGGTCTCCGTGGCAAACTTCTTGTAGAGATCGTTCGTGTAGAGCAGCTCCGCGTTGCGCGAGTAGTGAATGTTTCCGATCTGGACACGACAGGAAGCTAAGCAACGCCGCACACGCACACGCAACACGCAACACGCAACACGCAACACGCAACACGCAACACGCAACACGCACACAGCGAAGAGAAAACAAAAGGAAAAATGGTACCATAGCCCACTTGGTGGGGCGAACGCCGAGCACGGCCTGCACGGAGGGCTGGTTGAGGTAGGGCACCATGTAGTTCTCCAGGCACGGGTTGAACGGCATCGAAGCCAGGAACGAACCCACCGACGAACGCCTGTCCCAGCGGTTGGTGTACTGCGCCCAGTCGATATCGCTCTGCTGGTTGGGGCACGTCGGGGCCAAGACGTTGTAGAACTGATGCAACACACACACAACACACAACACACAACACACACAACACACACAACACACACACACGGCGACCGACGATCAGCAAATGCTCGCTCCCATCAGAAGAGGCGGAGGGCGGAGGGTGGTACGTCGATGTTGGTGGGCAGGTAGCCCTGGGCTCGCTTCGCCGCAAGCCGGCACGCCTCCGAGGGATGCGTGAACGGCGAGTTCGTGCAGTTGGTCAAGAAATCGCTCTGCGTGTGGGTGCGTTGTGAGCGTGTGTCGTGTCGTGTGTTGTGTGCGTGTCGTGTGTCGTGTGTCGCGGAGAGCGATGAACGCGGATAGGGAGCAGAGTGAGTACCCAGCCGCAGACGGTGAAGCAATCGACATAGGCCTTTTGAGGGAGCAGTCCGTGCGTGTACCTGTTCTCCCGCCACAAACAGCACTCGGTCAGCTGCCGCATTAATGCAACCAACCAACCAACCAACCAACCAACCAGCAATCAAACCAAAGCAAAATAATTCAAACCAAAGCAAAAAAATTCAAACGACCACACGCGGGGGGAAGAGTACATGAACGTGAGGAACGCGTATTCGTCGACGTTGAAATACCAATCTGCCCGCGCGCGGAGAGAAGGGTGAGCCAAGGGGTGGAGGAAGAGAGAGTTTGCGATGGTGAAAGGTGAAGCGGACCAGATTCTACGCCGGGGTTGCCAACGGCGATTCCCTTGATGTTGATTCGGTCTTCGGGTCGCTTGAGCTTGTTTCCCTCCAACACGAGGTTGGCCATCTCAGGCACGTAATGGCCACTGGAACGACACACACACACACACCACCGCACACGCACGCACATGAGCGAACCATGACACGTCAATTTTGCATGGAATGGCCTGGAATGTGTGGCGCGGTGGGTCGCACCCATAAGACTCGCCCGTGACGTAGAAGTCGTTCCTCTTGAACTGCGGGAAGAGCTGGAACCAGCCCTCCAGGAACCTGTAGTTGTCCGACGCTGTCGTTGGGAACATATATCATATACAACATAATATGTACACGTCATCATTATAAATAAATATATATATGTACACACACAACACATACGTTCAGGTACACACCACCCCACGTGAAGAAGGTCGGTGCGCACCAGTCCGCGAGTCGTTGGTGTAGTAGTCGGCAGGGTCGTCCGAGAACGAGAAGCCGACGCCAGCCGGGGCTGTCGTGGGGGAAACGCGCGTGAGCGTGTGTCTGTGTGTGTGATGGTGGTGGTGAGTTTGGGGTACGCACCTTCGATGTAGATGATGTTGGAGAAGTTGTTCCACGAGTAGGGGTTCAACGACAGCGTCTTGCCGTCGGCGTTGGGCCGGAAGGGACCGTTCTCCGTCAGGAGGCCCATCAGCGACGATGCGCCGGGTCCTGACACGCACACCGCACACCGCACACCGCACACCGCACACCGCACACCGCACACGCACACGTCGCACGTGCACAACAGTGAGGAGGCAAAGAAGAGGAGAGAGAAAGATGTTTTGGGGCACCTCCGTTGAGCCACACGAGGAGAGGGTCCTGGGCGGGGTTCCTCTGCGACTCGACGAACCAGTAGAACAGCTTGCGGTTCTTCACGGCGTCGACAGTCACGTAGCCCGCGTACTGATCGAAGTTGATGGCTTCACTCTATAAAGCAACACAAAGAGTCAATTATGGAGAAAAGTTGTGGAGAAGAAACCCTCTTGCATCGTTGACAAAATCGCTCCTTGGGGGGGGGGATACCAAGCCCGGAAGACGCTCGATCTTATTGACACGGTCGGCAGCGGGGACGATGGATGCCTGCACCGCGACTGCAAGAGCAGCTACAATCAGGCACCACACTATCGTGCTGCGACAGTCCATCATCATCTTCTGCAACAACCCCAACTTGTAGCGGCGAAATGAAGTGATTTGTGTCGACGCGTGTGGCCCTTGTCTATGACTCCGCACACGCTCACAGCACGCTCGACACCCTTCACTGGGGGCCGGCGGTGGTCGGCTGGTGGTGGTTGAACTGGGCATCGAAGGCGAAGGCGCTGGGCTTGAAGTTGATCTGCTTCACGAACCGGCACGACTCGGCAGCACCGTGCTCACGGTCCATTCCCGTGTCTTCCCACTCCACCGAGAGCGCGCCGGCATAGCCCACGTCGTTGAGAGCCCTGAAGAGATATAGGTAAGCCGATGCGTCTACTGTGTGCGTGTCGTGTGTGTGTCGTGTGTGTGTCGTGTCGTGTGTGTTGTGTCGAACCTGATGATTTCTTCAAACTTGACGCTGCCTCGGCCCAGGCTGCGGAAGTTCCAGCTGAAGTGGTCGGGCGAGTCAGAACTCAAAATCACGAGGAGGAGAAGAAGGAGGAAGGCATTACCTCCGCCTGTGATCGCCGAAGGCGACGTGGCCGCCGTAGGTGCCCACCTCCGTCGGCGTGGGCGACACATAGCAGTCCTTCATGTGCACGTTCCTGATGCGGTCCCCAAACTTTCTGTCATTTCAGCGCACGACGACAGCACACGTACTGACGAGGTGAGAAGAGTAGAGAAGCTTCACCACTACCGTGTGTGAGTGAGACCTGACGAAAAGCACGTAGTCCACGTTCTGGTAGACGAAGTGGCTCGGATCAAAGTTGAAGCAGAAGCGCGGGTGGCGCTCGATGGCCGCCAGCGCCCGCTCGGTACTGGCCACGTCGAAGGCAATCTCTGCCACGTGCACGTCGCATTAGTTCTCGCGCGGGTGTGCCTGCTTTGACAGGCCTCCGGTACCTGTGGGGTGAACCTCCAGCGCAAAGTCCACGCCGAGCTGGTCGAAGGCGTCCAGGATGGGCCGCCAGCGCTTCGCAAAGTCGTTGTACCCTGCGACGAGCGAGTCAGCCGCGCTGGTGTAGGTGCACATGTGGGCGATGGTGGGTGGCATGGCGCCGCACCGCACCTTCGTCGATCCAGGCCGGAGGCACGGGCGGGAAGCTGTAGGCGAGGTGCCAGATGCTCGAACCGGTGAAGCCCGTCACGACGGTGACGCCGACGTTGACGGCCGCGCGGGCGGTGAGCCGCATCTCCTCGGCGGCTCGCTGCCGCACGCCCTCCGGGTCGCCGTCGCCCCAGACCCGGGCCGGCAAGATGGCCCTGTGCCGTGCATCGATGCGATCGCACACCGCTTGCCCTGCAGCGTGTGCGGCGAGTCGTGTGCGGTGTGCGGCGTGTGCGGTGTACTCAGTCGGCAGTGGGTGCACGGAAAGCAGGGTGAGTGAGTTACCGACGAGGTGGTTGGAGATGGCGACGATCTGCAGGCCGTGGGCGGCGGCTGTGTAGCGCTGGGCGGTGGCGTAGGCGGGGTCGTCGGCCGCGCGCTGGACGTCGAGGTGGTCGCCCCCGCACGCCACCTCCAGCCCCTCGAACCCCATCGCCGCCGCCCGCTTGCACAGCTCCGCGAACGGCATGTCCACCCACTGCCCAGTAAACAACACCACCTTCCTCATCTTCTTCTCCCACTGTTTCTGCAGTATTACACTGATTTTTTACTATTTTTGTTTTTATTTTTATTCGCCACGTCAGCAGCCCACTTAACCATCAGCATCGCTTGATGAGGAAGATGGGGATCCGCACGCGGGGGTCGATGCGACCGAAGGACATGTGGAAGGAGACGACGAGGAGGTAGGTCTGGTGGAAGGTGGCGGTGTTGAAGAGCGACTCGCCCAGCACGTCGCCCCAGCGCACCGGGTAGGTGAGCTCCACCCCGCGCAGCATCTCGCCCGCGTCCACCTGCACGTGGTATATCCGCTTCTCACCCAGCCGGCGGCCCATCTCTGGGTACCTGCTGCTCGCACCGCCGCTGTTATTGTTGCTGACTGGTTCGCGCCTGGTGGCGCCCGGCTCGCCGGCGAGACTATTGCGGCGGCGCTGCATGAAGGCCTGCGGATCGGCTGCGACGCTGGCGCCGGCGCCGCCCAGGCTCGACCTGCGGATGACGTCGTGTGTCTGCGAGGGCGTCGATGAAGATGACGATGATGACGACGAGCTCGATTGCTCCCCGCCGGCGATGCTGTTTCTTCGTCGGCCGGGCAGGGGAGGCGCTGCCGAGCTAGCGCCGCCGCTGCTCCCCAGGCTGCCGCGTCTGCGGCCAGCCCACGCGGGCCTCTCCTCGACCTCGGGGCTACTGCCCTCGGTCGACTCCTCGCCCAAGCGGTCTCCCTCTTCACCTTCATCATACTCGTTGTCGCCCTCTTCGTGAAGCTCCATCTCCTCGCCGTCCGCCTCGTCTTGGTCACCATCATCGCCGCGACGTTGCTGCTGCCCCTCATCGTTGTCGTCGTTGTTGTCGTCGTTTTGGTTGTCATCATCCCCGTTGGGCCGGATGCCGCGTTGGTTGTCGGCGACGAGCTGCCAGCGGCCCACCCCGCCCGCGCCGCGCTTGACGATCTCGCGGCACACCTGCGACTCGCCCAGGATCTCGAGCACCGTGACCGAGACGGCATGAACCCGCGACTTGGAGCACCGGTTGTCGATGTTGCAGGTGATGGTGATTGACTCCTCGTCGAGGTAGAAGAAGGTCTTGTCCAAGTGCGCCTCGAATCGCGCCCGTCGGTCGGCCTTCATCAGGAATCGCTTCTCCACCGCTTCGTGGGCCGGCGCTGTAATTTCACAGTGGTAAACATATAAATAGGTAAGCTGTGTGTCGTGTGTCGTGTGTCGTGTGTCAATAAAAATGACGGGAAGAGTGCGTACAGCCGGCGACGCGCTCAACACGGGTCTTGAGCTTGCGGTCCATGCGCTTGCTATTGTGGAGGAGGATGTTGTGCTTCATGGACATGACGTTGCTGTGCGGAAAGGGCAGGCCCAGGACCACGCTCGCGTAGTACTCCACACGGAAGTAGCTGCCCGTCTTGGGCATCATGCGGAGGAAGCTGGGCGGCAGCCGCTGGTCCAGCAGGCTCTTCTTCGGGAACACGCACCGGATCGGGTACCGGTACGTGCCGCGGTAGAGGGTGATCGTATTGCGCTTGCGCTCCTTCCACGGCGTGTCGCCCAGGATGTTGAGATAGAACCCCAGAACCGGGCGCTTCGACTTGCGTATGGCCTGCGCGGTTGGTGATGGGTGGTGGTGGTGGGGTGGCGATGGTGGTGGTGGTGGGTGGTGGTGGTGGTGGGTGGTGATGGTGGTGAGTGAGTGAGTGAGTGAGTGAGTGAGTGACATTGTCAGAGTGGAGAGCGAAAAGGAACACGAGAGTAGTATTGGTACATTGCGAGCGGCATCGTAGGAGCGGAATGCCTCTTGGCCGTACACCATGAGGTACAGCCCATGTGTGACCACCTTCTCCGAACGCACGTTGATCGTAACCTGCCCAATCGCGTACACTGGCGTTAAGCCCCTGGTGGTGGGAGGTGGTGGTGGGTGGTGGTGGTGTCTGTTTACCTCTCCGGTGATGTACTGGTCGGGCTCGCTGGCCTCCTGGCACTCGAAGACGGAGCAGTTGAGATTGAGGAAGAGCTCGTTGTCGGTCCCGCCCAGCAGCTTTCGGATCTTCTTCTTGCCCTTGCTCTTCCGCTGCTTTACGACGAAGGTGAGCTTGTAGCGTTCCCGCCACGTCAGCTGCTCGTTGCCCCACTTCCTCCTCTTGGCCTTGTAGGGGTTGTGCTCCAGATGGTGCTTCTCCTTCGAGTACTGCACAAGTTCAAAATCAGTGTTATGCACTTCTCCGTGTGTGTCGTGTGTGTCGTGTCGTGTCGTGTCGTGTCGTGTCGTGTCGTGTCGTGGCGTGTCGTGTCGTGTCCATCGTACGTAGTAGAGAGCACGCCAGAGGTATTCGTCTTCGGACACCTCCTTGAGGAGCGTGCACGTCTGGCCCACGTTCAAGAGGTCCATCGGCTGGAGGAACGAGAAGATGCGATACAGCACCTGCCGCGTTGTTTTAAAACACAAATAAAGACAAAGAAAGAAGAAACAGAGGAAGTGTGAGAATTCGTGCGTAGTTGGCGCGCTGCGACGTGGCATAGCTTGCGCGTACCTCGCGCGGCAGGTGCGTGAGCACGAGAAGAACGTAGTAGTCGGCGTCGCCGTAGACGATGTGCTGCAGCGCCTCCGCTTCGCCGGGCTTCTCCTTGCCCTTCTCCTCGGTGGTCGTCGTTGTCGTCGTCGTCGCAGCCGCCGGCTCGGCCGAACCCAAGAGGAGGTCATTGGCCGAAGTGTTGGGCGTGGCGGGCCGCGCTTCCATCTGTATCTCGTTCTGGAACGCCAGCGCCACGGGACCCATGGCCTTCAGCATGTCGCGCTCGACGTGGGCCTGTCGCACCTCCTCCATGTTCTGCAGCTCGAAGGCCTTGCCCTCCTCCTTGGCGCGCTCGAGCGACTCGTAGCTGCCGTCGCTGCTGCGGGCCAGACCGAAGAACGCCGCTGAGTCGACGTAGCTTTGGCCAGCGACGGAGGCCGGATCGTCGGCTCCTTCCTCGACCGCGTCCGCGGTCCCCTGCCGGCGATCGCCGCGGGCGCTCCCGCCCTTCTTCTTGCTGGAGAAGAGCTTCTTCTTCGTCTTCCTCTTGATGGAGGACGACAGCGACCGCATCATCATTCTGTTTTTGAAAAAGAGCGAAGAATCTCTCTCTTTCTCTTTCTCTTTCTTTCTCTCTATCGCTTTACCTTCCTCTCTAGGCGTGGGTCGTATCGCCTTCTTCTTGTTGTGTTCCCTCTTCTATCACGGCAAGCCCCCAATTCCCGCTAATTTTAGGAGGTGCAGGCGGCTTGGTATTGCGGTGGTGTTGTGTTGTGGCTGCGCTGAGCTGCTTGCTGGTTGATGTGGGTGGTTTGTACAGGTTTGGATATAATGGAGAGGATTCCTGAAGGCGGTGGGGGGAGGGTGATGCCGAGCGGGGATGCGGGCCGGGCGGATGCAGAGACCGACACAGAGTTGAAGAGGTGCACCTGAAATTTACCTCCTCAACTACTCGAAATTTCGAACGGAAAGCAACAAAAAGGGGATAAAAGCAGGAGCCATTCAAGAAAAAGAGCTCTCCTGCAGGTTGTGGGGATATTTGGCCCTCACGCTCTCTTGGTTCATTGTCAACCTGCTGGCGATCTGATCAGGTCTTGTTGGATGTTGGTCTCAAGGTAGCACTTATTGATGTGTAGTGGTAATTGTGGTTGGCAAGCAAGATAAATGCGGTACCGACAAGGTGGTCACGCTTGCGCCCAAGAAGGAAGCGGCGCGGTGAAGTGCCAGCCGTCGCCGCGGTACTGATGCGCGTGCAGCCAAATCTGCTTTGGTCGGAAGGAGTGCAGGAGGCCCTTGCGGCAGTTCCAGCAGTCCATGTCCAGGTCCTGCGCCCGCAGGTCCTCCTTGACGAACCTCTCTGTTTGTTTGTAGTGAAAGTGTATCAGGGTGTTGTTGTTACGCGATTGCGTGAGTGGGTTGGTAGCATACCTGGCTGGGATTCCTTGAATGCGGTGAGCTCCTCGGGGGACATCTGGCTCCAGTCTTCTGCGCTGCCCTGCTGGAGCTTCAGGAACTCAGCGCGGCTGCGCACAAGCGGTCCCTGGCCTTTGGCGACAAAGGTAAGAGGTAAGGTAATTGCAATGGTTGGGGTCAGCCAGGCCAGCCACCATTGCGACGACGACACGTGGCGAACCGTAAAGCAGATCATTGGCGATGGGGAAGCCGAGGTGGTTCAGGTGCGCGCGTATCTGGTGCCGGCGCCCAGTAGTCGGGTTACACTTCACCAAGCTGTCACAGAGAAGGGAGGTGAATACTAGACATCGCACACAACTCACAGGCCTGGCAAAAGTACCTTGTGTCCGTGGCGGAGTCATAGCCAGCGTGTTCAAAAATTGTATGCGCTGTCCTCCCCTTTTCATAGTCCACCAGGCTAACCCCGGTCTCGGCCTGCACCAGAGGCACCGCGCACTCGACCCGGTCACTGCAGTGGCGAACCAAATGAGTGAGCCCCAACTGTGCGCAGCATTGAGTGAGGCCGGCCGTACATGGGAAACTTTCCGCGCACACGGGCGATGTAGAACTTCCCCACTTGCCCTGTCATGATGGCCATGTGAAGCTTCCTTGCCTCCGGGAAGGTCCGAGGAAACAAGATCACGCCAGAGACCGGACCGTCGAGGCGATTCACACCTGGTTTCGCGCATTTGGTCACAACAATAAGGAGGTTTGCGTGAGCGGGGCCGTGCCTGCATGAACAGTACATCAGCAGGTCAAATCTACATACATGACTGTGCGTTCACGTTCATCTCCAACCGCAGGATGGCCGACAGCGTGTTATATTTGTACAACGAGACTTCATGACACTGCAAAGAGAGACACGAAGGAGAAAAGAAAGAACGCATTAGCAAATGCTATGGCTGCCGGGGGACTTATGTGACGAACCGGCAGTCCGGCTGGTTTGTTGACGACTACGAGCTCGTCCGACGAGTGGATGATCTGCACGGGTTCGCTTGTCACCGCGGGTTCGTGAATGTGCATGTCGTGGTGCAGCAGGTCAGTCGCTGCAAAGAGCCTGGAGAGGAGGATCGAGAGATTGATGAGCACCACGCACCATGCCATCAGTCACATGTGTACGGATGCGCAGTACTGATCAGGCGCAGCGCGTTGCTGATTAACTTTGACTCGCCCGGTCTCGACTGCTTCGAGCTGCAGCAGAAAAACAGTGAGACGCACCGCAAGCAAAAAAGGGGGGCGAGTACGCGTACATAATACGCTGGTGGATGCCGGTGGAAATGGGAAGTGAGAATGCGGATGAGCGGCTGCCCGACCCAGTGGCCCTTTGCTCGTGCTCGGTACTGGAACCAGTACGGACGTACCATCCTGCACCCTGTCCAGCCCACAAATATTTTGTCCTTTTAAAATAAATTAAAATAAATCAAGAATGCTAGATTGCACCATCTGTTATGTAGGGCTCCGGTTCGTGCGACCCATGGTCTGCGCGGGGTGGGAAGTGGCTAAATGGTCGCACGCCTCCTGCGCCTCGACGCATCTGCGGCCGGGTGAACAACGCACACCTCATTCAAGAAAAAAAGAGAATAAGGCAGAAAACAAAAAGAAAAACCTGCTATTTGCTCCACCAATCAAGGCGCGATGGAATAAGTTGGCCAACTGCCGGCACGCGAAAAACGAACATGACCGATCCGAGATGCATCGATTCCTGACAGTCGGCGATGTGACACGGAACCGTAACTAGGCGGTAGTGGTGAAAGCTTGTGCTTGCCCCCTTGCCTGGCATTGCTCCCAAAAACTGTGAGACGAACACAACTACAACGAAAAGCAAGGCACAAACCATGCTGCGCTTGACACTCTTGGCCGCCTTGGCGTTCCTTGCCTTTTCGAGTGCGTACAAATTTCCCTCTCGTCTCTCTCACCACTCTAACCTCCCCCTCCCTCTCAAGGCTTCGTCGTGCATGCGGACATCATAGGCACCGGCAGCCAAAGCGCACAACCCCTCCTCTCCTCCTGGGCCGACTCGTACGTCTTTACTCAGGTATCAGCGTCGTAACGAGTTGGACCGCGTCTCAAATGGCACACTCATGGGATCGACCACCGCGCAGGACACGGAAGCGGTTGTGTACAGCGGCGTGGAGCAGAGCGCCACCGGACTCTCGCGACTCGACAACGGACTGGCAGATTGGCTGGTGACCGACGGACCGCTCCCCGCCGCACGCCTGGGCACAGACAAGCTGCAGGTGCCGCTCGTGGGCCAAGCCATCGTAGTGGCCTACCACCTGTCCGCGCTCAACGCCACCGACCCTCCCCTGGTACCGACCCACCTCACCCGCGGGCGGTCGCACTAGCAACACCCGATCGGTGATAGATCATGACCGATTGCCTTTTTTATCCTTATGCCCAATCGGGTTTTTGCGACATGGCGGTCTTGACCTTGCTTTGGCAGTTTGTGCCGCTGACCTTTATGTCGTCTTCGGACATGTCCGCGTTGTTGACCAGGTGCTGGACGGGCAGACGTTAGCAAGGATCTGGGCAGGTGAGATAACGACGTGGGACAATGAAGCCATCAAGTCGCTCAATCCCACCGTGGCAACCAAGCTGCCTGCGACAGACATCCTCCTCACCTTCGCTCCAAACAACGTAAGTGAACCTAATCTTGCAAGTTAGCGTATTTTTTTTAACTACAACTTGATGATTCTCACGGTTACCGTTCGGTTTGGCTAATGATCATGTTTGTCTAGACCGAGGCGGTCTCGCCGCTGTTCAAGGAAGCACTATCCGTGTTCAGCACCAACTTCAGCACAACACTGGCACTGGCCAACGGGGACTTCGCCGGCATCGCAGCCCTCAACGGGCGCGCACTCTCTCTCAGCCCTCTCTCCGTCAGGTTGGCCTATGTCCAGGTACTGCTCTTGTCTCCGCGGCTTCCCATATCCAGGTTCTTGTAGTGAATTGCTAAGCAAGTGTCGGCGCAACAGAACACCGACAACTGTCTGACCTACGTCAGTTTGGGTTCGCTCAAAGCGTACGCGCCCGGCCTCGCCTACGCCCACATGCGAAACCCGGCAAACAATACCGTGGCCGCTACCACGGACACCATTCAGAGCGCGATGACCGACTTTCGGTCCTTTATTGTGAACGGTGCGCCCTCGCACTTTCGTCGCGGGGAAGCTAGATCTAAACTTCTGCCCTGTGTGTGCAGGCAACGGCTCGAACCTGTTCAATGGAGGCGGGGCGCAAAGCTATCCGATGAGCTTCCTGCACTACCTGACCACCCGGCGCAACCTCACTTCGTCCGACTGCTACACCAAGGAGCAGTACCTCGTCTTTCTCTCCTGGACCCAGTACGTGGCGCTCTACTCTTGCTTGGGATTGTTGTCTTTTCTCATGAGTTTGTGCACGCACCAAAAAAGGGTGAACAGCGGTGCGGCGAACATCGCAAGCAAAGGCGGCTACGCGCCACTGATCAACGGATTCCGCAAGCGCATGATCGACTCTCTCGGCACCATCACCTGTAATGGTACGAACCACACCTTCATTCCCTTGCGAGTGCACCCTATTATGTTCTAAGCAACTCTCAGGCAAGAAGGCCTTGGGCTATGCCTTCCTCATCGGCACTGGCAGTCCAGTGCCCACGTACCTGCGTTGGGCAGTCAACTACAACAATCCGGACTTCAGGTTGGAGTACTTTTACCAAACCTCCACCAATGCCATCATTGGCTTGGCTGCCGGTACTTCCCCATACACTTCCTTCTCACTCTGTGGTTCTAATCTGATTCTCGTCCATTTCAATACGGGTGAAATCAGGCGATCTTGACTTCGGTACAGTGATCACCGCACCCAATGCGGCTCAGCAAGCCCTCCAACCGTTCACCATCACGATACCAATCGTCGTCGGAGGCCTAGGCCCGGTCTACAACGTACGACTTTGCATTTCTCAGTCTTTGATCATTTACTTGATGTTGATGGTTCTCTTCTCCCTCCAGGTGCCCGAGATCGTGACGGAGGAGCCTCTGGTCCTCGATTTTCAGACCATTTCCGACATCTACCTCAACAAGATCAGAAAATGGAACCACATCAACATCACTCGCCTCAATCCCCAGTTGGAAGACTTGCTGCCCGACAAGGAGATCATCATCGTTTACGAGGCGCCCTCATCGGCGCCCAATTTACTGGTCAGCTCCGCCATCAGCGCCATGGTGCCCGAATTCCAGGCAGAGGTATTCAGCCTGCCCCTTATTGAGGTGCTGCTGGCCATTACCGAACACCCGCTTTGACTCCTCACCTTCATTCAACGCCATGGTTGCAGGTGGGTGCTTCGGCGGTGCTCAACTTCCCGGTGCTCCAACACGAACCCAACCGTACACTTGCTGTGGCGCCCAACGACATCATCGCGCCGATGCAGGCGAAGGCCTACACCCTCGGCTTCTGGTTCGCACCCACCCTCGTCCTCCTCATATGATTCTTCACCGACGGCTTACGGAATTGGGTGCCTCAATCATTGATAGGACCAACTACGACACGCTGAACGCGCGAACGGTGCGCGCGGCGGCTATGGTGAACGTGGCTGGCACTGTGGTCAGCCCCGAAGTCAGCACCTTCGTTTCTGCCATGAACGATTTTGCCGGTCAGGCCGACGCTCGTATTCTCTTGCTTGGTACGCGCTCGCGATCGCAAGCACCACCTTAGTTCCGAAGTCTTGTAGCTAAATAACTTCTGTCGTAACCATAGCTCCGGGCAACAATAGCTGGCCGATTGCCACCTACAATTCGGTGATGGTCAATTCGCGCACGATGCCCGATTGTCAGAAGGCCACCGCGCTCGTTGACTGGCTCTACTGGACCCAGTCCTCAGAAGAGGGGCTCGCCCTCTCCAATGGGTGCGTACAGATTCCCGTCCGCAGCAGAACAGAACCAACTCATATCTGTGGCGTTGTGGCGCTCAGCGTGGGCCTGGCGGTTGCTGGCCAGTCGGCCATTGTGTCCAAGTTAGTCCTGCGGATGCTCGCCAACGTCACGTGCAACGGCGTGCCTTCGTTTTCGTTCTTCAACTGCGTCGACGACGGCGTCATGTGCTCCAACCACGGCAACTGCTCCTCGTCGGGCGTGTGCCAGTGCGGCGACCAGTGGGAGGGCCAGTACTGCCAGACGCTCAAGAGCGATTCATCATCGTCCGACACGCTGGGCATCATCCTGGGCGCCACGCTCGGTGCCATCCTGCCAGTGGTGTGCCTGGTGCTGGTGTTCCTGGTCGGAGTTATATTCGCGCTGGTGGTGCGCCTGGAACGCAAGAGGCGCGAGAAGGGCGACTGGGAGATCGACGCCGAGGAGCTCGAGATCAGCGATCAGCTGGGCGCCGGAGGCTACGGCACGGTCTACCGGGCCAAGTGGCGCGGCACCGAAGTGGCCGTCAAGATGATGCCCGGCGAGCAGGTCACGCGCGAGATGGAGCGCAACTTCAAGGAAGAGGTACGAGTTCCCATCCGCCAGGCTATGCCCATTCGTTTCATCAGCAAGTTGTGCAGAAATGACTTTTCTAATCGACAAATTGCAGGTGCGGGTGATGACGGCGCTGCGGCACCCCAATGTGGTGCTGTTCATGGCGGCCTCGATTAAGGCTCCAAAGATGTGCATCGTGATGGAGTACATGGCCCTCGGCTCTCTCTTCGATGTACGTGTTCCGTACACCCTCGATAGCGCATCTCTCATCTTTGTTATCTCACCTCGTCTTGGAAACGCTGGGCAGTTGCTGCACAACGAACTGATTCCGGAGATACCCTACGCCCTCAAGCTGAAGATGGCCTACCACGCGGCCAAGGGCATGCACTTCCTCCACTCCTCCGGTGCGTTGCCGGCCTCACGATAGCCTTTAGAGAGTGAAGCCAGTGCTCGTTTGTGTGTGGCTTACTAATATGAAATGTTGTGCAGGCATTGTGCACAGGGATCTGAAGTCGCTCAACCTGCTGCTCGACAGCAAGTGGAACGTCAAGGTGTCGGATTTTGGTCTCACTAAATTCCGCGACGAGCTCAAGAAAGGCGGCCAGGGCCTGGGTCAGGGCAGCATCCACTGGACCGCCCCCGAGATCCTGAACGAAGCCTTCGATGCCGATCTCGCCCTCGCCGATGTCTACTCCTTTGGTAACCTCCCTTCCCCTTTTTTGACCCACCACACTGAATTGAAAGATGAGCGCTATTCTCATTCCCCAATCAAACGCGCAGGGATCATCTTGTGGGAGCTCTACACCCGAGAGCAACCCTATTTGGGCCTGAGGTGCGTAACTCCTATTAGGTTATTTTAACTCCGACCAGGTCATTGAAACTCCGATGCTCACGCGGTTGTGTTGGAGTACAGTCCTGCAGCGGTGGCGGTGGCGGTGATACGGGATAATGTGCGGCCGGCGGTGCAGAGCAGCGACGCCATGCCCGCGGACTACAATGAACTGATGACCAGCTGCTGGCACGCCGACCCGTCGATCCGTCCCACATTCCTAGAGGTCATGACGCGCCTCAGCAGCATCTCCGGCGAAGCGCTCGGCGGATCGTCGCTCACCCGCACCTCGACCTCCTCTTCGTCGCATAACATCAGCGCTGGCCTCAACAGCGGGTCGCTCTCCTATCCCTCCATCTCCGCAGCCACATCGAGCTCAGGCGGCCGCGGCGACAGCTTGTCGTCGGGCTCCCGATCAAGCGTGGCGGCGGTGGCAGCGGCTGGCGGCCCAATCAAGCCGCCCGAGGGCGAGGTGGTGATCGTGTTCTCCGACGTCACGCGCGCCGCGTCGCTCTGGGAGTTCAACGCCGAGGCCATGCGCGACGCCACGCTGCTCCACAACGAGCTCGTGCGGCGGCTGGTCAAGAAGCACGGCGGCTACGAGGTGGTCTTCCTGCGCGACCGCAACAGCGGCGAGGGCTCCTTCTGCCTGGCCTTCAGCGACATCGGCGCGGCGCTCGACTGGTGCGGCGACACGCAGCGCGAGCTGTTGGCCGCCGAGTGGCCCAAGGCTCTGCTGGAGCACCCCGGCGCCGCGGAAGAGTGGGGCGACACCGACGACCGGGTGATGTTCAAGGGGCTGCGGGTGCGGATGGGAGTGCACGCGGGCACGCCCAAGATGGTGCGCGACCCGATGACGCGGCGGGTGGAGTACATCGGGCCGGTGGTCAACGCGGCGGCGCGCATTACGGCGCTGGCCCACGGCGGCCAGGTGCTTGTGTCCGAAGCCGCGCAGCGGAAGATGGGCCTCAAGTCCCCCGACGGCGGCGATGACGCTGGAGAACAGGCCACCAAGAAGTTCGTCGCGCTGGGCCGATTCGAGATGCCCGACGCGCCCAAAGGTTCCTCTCATTCCTCGCATTCCTCTCAACTAAAATCTGACGCCTACTTACATCGGCGTCGCTCTTGCAGGCGCCAGGCTCTACGAGCTGAAGGTGGCAGGGCTGGAGGCTCGGTTCTTCGGTGGAGTGTCGCCTGCGGCCGACGGCAACAACCGGTCAGCGCCCAGTGGCGGAGGGTCTACCACGGACGAAGATTCGATCGATAGACAGAGCGACGGGGAGGCGACGCTGGAGACGGCGGTGGGCGAGGGCATGATGTTCAAGGAGGACAACTTCCTCACGTCGGCCAACCTGTGCCGCTGGGTGATCGACTTCCACGAGATCGCCCTCGGCAAGCAAGTCATGGGCATGGGGTCATACGGGGTGGTGTTCAAGGGCAAGTGGAAGGGCGTCGAGGTGGCCGTCAAGCGGTTCGTCAAGCAGAAGCTCGACGAGCGGCGCATGCTCGAGTTCCGCGCCGAGATGGCCTTCCTCTCCGAGCTCCACCACCCCAACATCGTCCTCTTCATCGGTACTCTCTCTCTCTCTTCCACCCGCTTCCCCCCCAAGCTCATCATTGACCAATGATTGTGGTGCACTTTCATTGCAGGAGCGTGCGTGAAGCAGCCCAATCTGTGCATCGTGACCGAGTTCGTCAAGCAGGGCTCGCTCAAGGAGATCCTGGCCAACAACGCCATCAAGCTCGCGTGGCGCCAGCGGCTGGGGTTGATGCGATCGGCGGCGGTGGGCATCAACTACCTGCACTCGCTGCAGCCGGTGATCGTGCACCGCGACCTCAAGCCGTCCAACCTGCTGGTGGACGAGAACTGGAACGTGAAGGTGGCCGACTTTGGGTTCGCGCGCATCAAGGAGGAGAACGCCACCATGACCCGCTGCGGCACTCCCTCCTGGACTGGTGCTCTTCCCGCCCTCCTCTTCTCTTGCGCTTCGTCTCACTCACACACACACACACACACAACAAACAGCGCCGGAGGTGATCAGAGGCGAGAAGTACTCGGAGAAGGCCGACGTGTACTCGTTCGGCATCATCATGTGGCAGGTGGTGACCAGGCGCGAGCCTTTCGCCGGGCGCAACTTCATGGGCGTGTCGCTCGACGTGCTTGAGGGCAAGCGGCCGCAAGTGCCGTCCGAGTGCGACAAGCCGCTCAAGAAGCTCATGAAGCGGTGCTGGCACGCCACGGCCAGCAAGCGGCCCTCCATGGACGACGTCGTCGCCTTCTTCGACAGTCAACTGGGCGACGCCGATGGTGACGACCATCCTCTCGTGGCCGGTTCGGTTTGAATCTCTCCATATGTGCATCACACAGAGCTCTTTGGGTGTTTCCTCTTCTTCGCCATTGCATGTGCGGCTTCTGTTGGACGGATTGGTGGTGATCTAATGTGCACCTGCGCGTGCACAAGGGTAGAATGTGATGCAATATTGTTTCAGAGGTGTGTGTTTGTTGTAGAGTGACGAGTGTACTGAAAGGAAAGAAGAAGAGACAAAGGACCCTGAGGTCCATCTGTGCTTTTATTAGTGTGACGGAGGTGATCCGTTGGGAGGTCCATCAGGAACGCCCAACAGAAACCTGTCCTTGCAGACATAGGAGTTTTCAATGGTGTTGGACTAAGACTTGACTGAGGGTGTCCACCAGCATCCAGTTCATGGGACAGTATTGGACTTCAAGGGACTTGTCCAGCCCAGCTTCACACAGGTGGCAGCCCCTGATGTCAATGTGAAGATTGTCTGCAAGGTGGGTGTGAATAGCTCTGGTGGCTTGCTGCTTGAGCTTTGTGTACTTGACTGTCCTGTTGAGTAGGCTTGAGGCTGACTCCTCTGCTACTCCCACTGGCTCTGGTGATGAACCCCCAGAGCCCTCTCTCTCACAGAAGTGGAGATTTGCCTCTGCCATGCTAGTTAGCCAGTGGGGTCTTAAACCTTCATTTAAGTGTTGATGTTGATGTAATGGCATGGGTCCCATAACCTGTTGAGAGCAATGAGTGTACTGAAAGGAAAGAAGAAGAGACAAAGGACCCTGAGGTCTGTCTGTGCTTTTATACTGTGACAGAGGTGATCTGTCAGGAGGTATGTCAGGAACACCAACAGAAACCTGTCCTTGTGGACATTCCAACAGTGTTGTCATGGTTAGTTAGGCGTCTGGTTTGAAGCTATGGAAAAGAAAGCACACCAGAAATAAAAAATTGTATTTGTGGGGATGATGATCCTGGCCATAAGCTTTTTTTTCAAAAAGAAAGCTGTGCTCCTGCTCACGTCATCAGCCCTTACCTTAAACCCTTCCACTTCAAAATTACGCCCAATAGAAATTTTACGTAGTTAAAAACGGTAGCAAAAAAAATTAGTTGTTGAGGATGGCCGACGAAGACCACCCTACAGAGGACTACTCTGTGTGGGGGCTCCTGCCGGTGGAGGTGACGCTGCAGGTGTTCTCCTGGTTGGACTGGAGCGACCTGTCGCGCGCCGAGCTCGTGTGCCGGAGGTGGCACGCCACGATCAACCCCGCGTCCCCGCCTGGCGACTTCCTCTGGCGCACCGTACACCCTCCCCCTTTGTTATATTTTGTGTTGAAGATGCTAAATATCAAAACAAAATATATTAACTTTTTCGTTGTGTCCGTAGGTGCATGAGGCAAGATTTGGCAGAGTGCAGGTGGGGCCAACCAACAGGGAGCTTCGCTTGCGGAAGAAGCTGCGGGATGGAAACAACGACTGGAGATCGAGCTGCCTCCGTTGCGAACGCACCAGAACTCAGTTCGTATACCCCCAATGCCCCATGTCTGCTTTTTGAGCGTTTCTGATTCGTGGACACACGCGGCACACGGCACTCGACACGACACACAACACACGAACAACGACACGCGACAAGGTTGTTGAGTGCTGGAAACGTGGAGGAGATGGTGCGGTGGACCATCACGCGAGGCCACCATGCGCTACTGCGCCGCCTCATCGCCACCGAGCCTGCCGCTTTTTCCCTACTCTGCAGGCACCGCGACCACCAGTCGGCGAGAGGCCAGGACCACCCGAGTTGGTGGGCCGTGTGGAGCGGCAGCGAGCCCACGGTCGATCTGGTGACCCGCCACGCTGGCGTGGTTCCGGCGACCATCACGCGCGCCTTCCTGCTGGGCTCTCCGGTGGCCGTGGTCGACATTCTCGTGCGCCGCTTGCTCGGCGCCGCTGCCGCCAGCGAGAGCGAGGCCGATGCGTCGCTGTGGCGTATCCATCAGCTCGACGAGGTGCTCGCCCAGACGAAGGCGAGCAGGCTCGAGCGGTTGGCGCGGTCCTCGTCGGAGCTCTTTCTGATGGCCGCCGAAGGGGGGCACACGGGGCTGATGGCCTTCCTCCTGGGCCGAGGCTCCCAGGCCACGAGGCAGCAGCTCCTGCAGGCCACCAACTGCAAAGGCAACACCGGTACCCGCACCGCCATGCCAACAACGCTACGTGTCTGTCTAGCTATGATTAAGACGGTGAGGTATGGCGTCGTGTTTGCGTTAATGCAACGCTCAGCCTTCTTGGAGGCGTGCGACAGCCGCCGCTCGGAGGTGTTCGCGCTGCTGTTACCCATGCTCTCGGAGGAGCAGGTGCGCGAGACCACGGGATTTGGCGCCATGTCGGCCCTCGGCCTGGCCGCGAGACGAGGCGACGTGGCCATGGTACGAGCGCTTCTGAATCACGGAGCCCTGGCCAACGGCAACGGCAAAGAGTCCGCCATTCCACTGTGCACGGCAGTGACGGTACCTCTTCCTTCACACGACACGACACGACACCAGCACGACACGACACACAACAAGCAAGTATGTACAAACAAAGAGTTGTTGGTTGGGCACAGGCGGAAGCCAACAGGAGGGAGCTGGTGGAGATGCTCCTGGAACGTGGTGCCGACATCAACGCGCGCAACAGGCACAACGGCAGGACCTGCTTGCACGCGGCCTGTAGGTCGTCGCGGCTCGACTGCGGGCTGATCGGCCACCTACTCGACAAGGGCGCCGACCCCACCATCCTGGTACCGCCACCACCACCACCACCACCACCACCACCACCACCACCACCACCACCACCACCACCACCACCACCACCACCACCACCACCACCACGCCATCCAGCTTGCAGAGCTAGAGCTCTGACGCCCAGCGACGCCCACAGGCGAAAGGGTGGGGCGTGGTCGGGTTCTTGTTGGCTCACATCCCGAGCCCCAAGGCGAACAACAAGCGAGCGTGCAAGGCGTACGACGAGGAGAGGGCGCGCGTGGCCCGGCTGCTGCTGGAGTGCGGCGCGGCCGCGGTGGGCAGCCCCGGCCTGTCGCTGGTCGCTCTGGTGCTGCGGTGGGAGCGCACCGACAGTCTGCTCTACCGACCGTCGAGCGAGGACCGTGCCCTCGACATGCTGGACCTGCTGTTGGCCCATGGCTTCTCTATCCACAGCGAGCAGACCGATGTGCTGGCGGCCCTCGTCGGCTGCCGTACTCCAGGCCCCGCGCCTTCCGCGGTGGGTCCTCGACAAGCACCTGAGGAGCTTGCAGGCGCTCTTCGACGTGCTGGAGGTCAGGCTCGACACCGGCGGTGGTGCAAGCGATCCAGTGGCTCCGGTGCACCTGTTCGATCCGGCGCGCTCGCTGCACCTCGGCACACTGACGGAACTGGTCAAACACGGGGCGGACATCAACGCGCGCGACAGCGAGGGCCGCACGATCGCTCACCGCTACCCGCTCGAGTTCAGAGATCTGCGGGCGTGGCAGCGGCTCGGGCTGGACTTTTCGCTGCGCGACGCCCGAGGCCGCACCCCGGCCGAGGCCTATCGGGCCGACAGAGTCACGCAGCCACACACAATCCAAGCTGCGTTCGCGTATCCTAGTGTGCGGCACGAGCAGGAGGCAACGCTGAAGATGCTGGCGACGCTGGAAGTCGAATGCGAGCAGCACTTCAGGGAGAACAGAGAGAAGCCAGATGGATAGACAAAACTGAGTTTATCGTACAAGATAGAAGAGAAGAGAGAAGCGATGGTGTTGGTTACAAATTGTTACAAATGCCGAGCGGTGGCGTTGCGGCTGGGGGCGGCTGAGGAAGAGGGCGAGGAAGAGAAGGAGGACTCGTCGGAGTAGTAGACCCGTACGCCGGGCATGAATGAATGTGGCTCTGCCACCGTTACCGGGTACTGAATCGAGTGCTTGCCCCTGTCTTCGTCCTCAGAAGACACGTCTGTCGTTTGCTCTAAGCTTAGCTCACACGACAGGCAACATGACAAACGACAAAAGCACACACACGACACACGACACACGACACACGACACACGACACACGACACACGACACACGACACACGACACACGACACACGACTAACGTGACGTACCGCTGTAATAATCGTTCCAACAGAAGGCGCGGCGTACGAGGCCAGTGTACTTGTTGCGCACCTTCTTGGTGAACACGCAGAAGAGAAGGAAGTTGGCGAAACCCTGCGCTGAGTCACCAATGCCCTGTGTTGCGAACACAAGAGGTAAACAAACATCAACACACCCGCGCGCACAGCACACACAACCGCACGCACGCACGCACGCAATGGGAAGGATCGTGGCATACTTGAAGAACAACCATCCAATAGATGTCCATGCGTATCAGGCCAGCGCTGACCAAGAGGAAGCGGGTGGTGCCCCAGATGCGGACCAATATGAACACGAGCGGCACCAGCTGTACCACCCCCCCCCCAAAGAAAGTATGTAAGCCGCAAGAGCGCAGAGCGCAGGCTGCAGCCACCCGGCGTACCATCAGCTTTTTGTCGACTTGATTGATCACCTTGCGCACATTCTTGCTCGGCAGTAGTCCCTGTTGCACGTACAGAGCGGAGCCGGATGAGCATGTGTGAGCGCTATTGTGCGTGTGCGGTGGTGCGTGTGCGGTGGCGCGCGGAGTAGGACGTGGCACACGTACAGCGTGAACTCGTCGATGCAGGCGCCATAGGGTTAGCGCGTACAACAAGAATGTCTGCGATCAAGGAAAGAGGTGAACAGTGGACGACCACCAAGGAGTGGAGGCAAGCGAGTAGTGGAGGAGAACGCACCACGATGTAGGAGGTGATCTCCTCGGATTTGCCCACGAAGAAGGACCAGAAGAGAGGGTGCTCCACCTGGTCCGATATCCAGCACCAGCCAACCGCCCGCGAGAAGTCGTCCGCGCCTGATGGCGAAGACGGCATCAACACATGACACACGACAGGCACACGACGCACACACAACGTTGTACCAAGAGCGCGAAAGGAGAGTGCGATGATGAGGATGACGATCGGCAAGCCCCAGCTGACGATATGGTACAGGTACTGAAAGTTGCGCTTCTTGGTGCTCTTCAACATCGACAGGTAGAGGTGCGTGCCTGCACGTTGGCGGGAAGAGGCCGGAGCGGTGCAGCTGGTAATGAGCGACGTGTACGACACGTGCATAGTGGTTGCTGTGCTAGGGAGAAAGGGGGGGGGAGTGCATACCAATGGAGAGGGTCCACAGGAAGGAGGAGATAGAAGAGGTGGAAGTGAAGGCACTCTGAATGGTGCACACGACTCCACCCTGCCTGTAAAACACTCCAAACATGTTTCCTGCTCACAAAACAACAATAAGTAAAAATCCCCACCATTTTTCATCATTGAATTGATAAAAAGAATGAAAAATGAAGAGATTGAGGGCGAACCTGCGGCAGTGATGAGGTCTGCGAGGGACAGGCAGACGAGCATGAGCCGAGGAGTGGTGCGCAGGTCGCGCCACAGGGCGTAGGAAAGGAAGATGAAAAGGGACCCCAGAATCGAGAGAGAGCACGAGGTGATCACCAAACTATCCAGCAGTTTTGTCTGCCAATCGCTCCATTGGAATGCATCTCCAAGATGCGACGCGCCGTCCATTCCAGACTGAAACCTCACGAGCGAGGTGGCGCGCCTTGAAATGTCGAATCCTCAATCTCAATCGGCTGAATTGGAAGGAGCCCAGTCGAAGATTGGCCAGCCAGGTAGGTAAGTGCCAAAAACGAGCTCGCTGTTGGGTGACTCTCTTGTTGTTGAGATGTTGGTGGCCACTCTGACCACAGCGGGAAACGCGGTCACTTGTTCCAATTGCAATCCTCACGGAATTTGAAATAGCTCACCCGCACCATCTCGAGCATGCTTGGAATTCCACAAATTATGGGGTGGTTACATTGTTATTGCTTGCTTCGTCTGTGTGGACAGGCCATCTTCGATCAAAGACGTCTTTACACATATCACGTGCGCGCTCACTGCTCAGCGATCTCGCCGAGGTCGGCTCCGCCGGGGGCACCGACGGCAGCGGCAGCGACAGCAGAAGCGTCGGTGCCGGTCAGGGCGTCGACAGCGCCGGCCTCCTCCCGTGGGACGCCGCACTTGCGGCAGGCGGTGCGGCTGGCGAAGTTGAGGTCGGCGCACTTGGAGCAGAGCCAGTCGCCTGACTTGACGCCTACGCGCGGCTGGTTGGTCTGGAAAGGCGTCTGGCAGCTGCGGCAGGCGGTGCGCGAGGCGAAGTTGAGTTCGTTACACTTGAGGCAGTACCAGTCGCCAGGCTTGGCGTGCGACGAGGTGCCACCGCCGCCGCCGCCAAAGTGAGGCCCGCCGGCCTGGTGGTGGTGATGGTGGTGCTGCGGCAGGCCGAAGAAGCCGGGGAAGCCGTGGCCCATGCCGCCGATGGCGGCCATGGGGTTCATGCCCATGTTGCCGAAGAACTGGTGGGGCGCCGGGCGCGGGTGCGGCGAGTTGCACTTGCGGCACATGAGGCGCGAGGCGAAGTTGAGCTCGGTGCAGTTGCGGCACAGCCAGTCGCCCGGTCGCGCGTTCGAGTGGTCCGGGTGGGGCGTCTGGCACTTGCGGCACACCGATCGCGATGCGAAGTTCAGATCTCGGCAGCTCGGGCAGTACCAGTCACCCGGCTTGGTTGGATGCGGCTGGTGCTGTTGATGCTGGTGCTGCATGGAGAGATAGGGAGATGGAAAACGAAAGAGTGAAAATTAGAATCAAATTGGTACCGAGATGAAATGGAATGGAAGAAAACAAACAGCCGGCACACCAACCCCCTCCTCGCCCCCAGGAGCCGCCCCGCCGCCGTTCCCCAACATCACGCCGCCCTCGTCTCCACCTCCTCCACCGATCGCGCCGCCCGATTTGGGAGAAGAACACTTCCGGCATATGGACCTGGAAGCAAAGTTCATGTCACCGCAGTTAGGGCAATCCCAGTCTCCTTCTCTCCGCTGCATCTTCTTCTTCCGGAGCTGATTATACTGTGGATTGATTGATTTTAGCCAAGCTTGCCGCTTCGCTGGTCTCTGTCGACAGCAAAAGGCAAAATGATATTTTTTATTTATCTATTTTCAGTTTTCTACGAACGAGAGCTGGCTTGTAGGTTAGATGTTGAGCGCGGCTGAAGATGGGGAAGTGGCGGGTGGTGTGAACTCGCCGCCCACCCCTACAAAGAAGCCCAAGCGCAAGGGCTCCAGACGGGAGAAGGAGAGGATGGCGGTGGTGCCTGCTGCAGTAGGCACGGACGCTACGCCAGCAGGGGCTCTTCTTCACCTCCCTGCCTCGCACACCGACGCTAGAGATGAAAAGCTGGAGGAGGCTAAGGCCAAGAAGGAAAAGAAATCTGCCGCGGCACACAAGCGACAGAAGAGCAAGGGGGGAGGTGGAGGGAGCAACCTCTGCACCACTTCGACTTCATCTGCCGTGCTGCCCATTCAATCCAACACATCTTCGGCGCCAGCCTTACACGTCTGCCGAAGGGAGAAGCTGGTCGAGGAGCTGCTCTCTTCAGAACGTGCTCACGTTCATAATCTGAACGCTTTCCTGCACGACTACGTGATTCCCCTACGCGACAAGAAGATTCTCTCCACCGACGAGCTACAGGGCATCCTGTGCAACCTGGAGCTCATTCGACGATGGAACGTCGAGTTCCTCAACCAGCTCGAGAGCGCACTCGAAGACGAGCGTGGCTTTGGCGAGCTCTTTCTTGAAATGGTGCTCCCCTCCTGTTCTCCCCTCGTCTTTGCTCCAGGCCTTCTGCCTCTGACCATCTGCTCGTCGATGGTGGACGTTATGATCGCATCAGTTGCCGATGTTGCGACAACTGTACGCACAGTACAACGAGAACTATGCCCACGCCATGGACCACTACGAGAAATGCAAGAAGAACAAGGAGTTTGCTGCCTTCATCGAGGTGCATCCACACTCTCAAGTCTCGTGTGTGTTGTATCCAGTGCTCACCACTTGCTCGGCCAATGCACATGCGTGGTTGCATCTGACAACAGAGCGTAAGCGTCAAGCATGTCGTGAAGCCGCTCGCGGGGGAGGAATTCAACGTTGTCCCCTCTCCTTCCAAGAACTTCCTCAGCTTCCTCTATTTGCCCATACAGCGCATCTTGGCCTACTACTCCCTACTCAAGGTACGTCGGGCTCATCCAAGGTATATTAGGCTCTTGCCCTCGCTGACCGGCAGTGGTGTCGCTTCTTAGGACCTTGTGTGTGAGACTCCGCAAGACCATCCAGAATACGAAGCTCTGCATGCCGGTACTCTCTCTCTCTCTCCCCACTTCCCCCCTCCTCTGACGCGTGCACCAGCCGTGGTGTGAAGAGAGTTCTGTACGCGGGTTTAGTGTGGCTTACCTGACGCATCACACAGCTTTACAGCAGGTGAATGCCGCTGTGGATCACGCGGACAAGCTAGCCAATCAGCGCAAAAACATTGACAAGGTCATTTCTATACAAAGCCAACTCATTGGTGACGTACGTGTGACCCCCTACGCTCAGCGTATACTCCTTCGTCATGTCTCTTGGTTGATGTTCTCCATTTCTTCCTGCGCTCCAGTACAATACGTCGCTCGCTCAGCCTCATCGCCGATTCGTCTATCAAGGGGATGTCTTCTCTCTCGTGGGGAAAGCCCAAAAGGAGCGGCGGCTGTTCCTATTCAACGACGTACTTCTCTGCACTAAGAAGAAACACAAAAACAATCTCAAGGTCGACTTCCTCGAGCCGTTGGAGATGCTACGGGTCGAGGAGCCGGAGGAACTCAGGGGTACATATCGCTTCTTCTCTCTCCAACGCCTTCTCGCTCAGCGATGACATGAATGAAATATTAATATGAGGTGCGCAGATCGATATACGTTTCGTTTGTTCGCCGCGGCGAAGGAGTATACGCTGTGGTCGGCAGACAAGGCCTACTGGATGCAGCTCATCGCAACGTCCATACAGTCCATCAAGGCCTCGCGCCCGTCGCTGCCCTTCCTCGCAGATATCGAGCAGAGGAGCAGCAAGCCGAGCGAAAGGTGCGCGCGCGCACACACACGCCCACACGCCCACACGCCCACACACACAGTTGAAGTACTCCCATGCTTGGACGTGCGAAGACTCACCCGACCCTTCCCACCATCAAACGCAACAGCCACGGGAAGGGAAGCGAAGAGGAGGAAAGAGAAGAAGGCCAGCAGGCAGGACTCGCCTCGGCATCATCTTCGTGCTCGGACGAGGAGACGCTTCGAGAGAGGCTCATTCAGCGCATCATCGCGTGGAGCAAGATGGAAGACGACAGCGCACTGCTCAGCGAAGTCCGCCGATTCGGGACGCGGCTCGAGAAGACCAACACCAACAGCGCCAAGGGCTCGTGAAAGGTTCATACTCCCATCGTCTGTCGCTGGCCTCCGCACTACAATGTACAATTTGTTTCTTGTCTTGTATCGCTTGTCCCAACCGCACACGCACACGGGCGACACACACGTGCGCACACGGCAATTTGGGCCGCAAATGGGCGGGGTTGAGGGAGATAGCGAACGGAAGCGAGGCCTCGTCCGCGGATGTGTGGAAGATCCCTTGTGTGAGATCTTTATGGAGCAGGTGGTCGCAACTGCCGAGGGCGAAGATGGTGGGTCGATAATAATCATGCGATTACCGCCTGCGGTGCTGGTGTTTGTGGGGGTCATGCTCGCGTACGCGGCTTACTACCTCCTGGCGCTGGTCTCACGGATCGACCTACGATTCGACAAAGATCACCAGGGCACGGCTGCCCTCCTTCGTCGGTGCTCCCTGCTCAAGGGGAACTACTGGCCCTCCCCCTGGATCTTCTCCGGCCACCTTGATGTGCGCGTCCAAACTTTTTTAATTTTATTTTATTATTTATCGTAATTTACCTTATTTTCATGTTTTTTATTTACTTTCTTCGAATATAGATGTATTAAATTTGTATTTATTTCTTCTTCCAGGCGTTGGTCATGATGAAGCTGCGGCCGACCTACGACCCCCAGTACCGTAGGTAAGCTAAGCGTCAAGCTCTTGCCCGAGGCGACCGTGAGATGCCTGGAATCAAGCAGCTCACGGCCCATTCCATTGCGCGCCAATGTAGGGAGGAGGTCCGAGCAGCGGATGGCACTACACTGCTGTTGGATTGGGCGGAGCGTTCGGACATGTCACCTAGCGCGCCGATCCTTATACTACTCTCTGGCGTCACCGGAAGCGGGTGCGTATCCCTCTTCTCACCGCACCGTCAGCGGCGCGCATGGCTGGTGGTCGCACGCTGACGTTTGGCTGCAGCCGAAGCTCGTACATCACATACCTGGCCCGTGAGGGAATGCAAAAGGGCTGGCGCTGCGTGACGCTCAACTATCCCGGCACTCTGGGCGAACAGCTCACCGTACTTCGCCCGATGATGACGATTGTTCTTCTTTTGTCAGCAACTGAGTGTAGTTACGCTGACATGCGTGCGATTTGTGCTGGTCCTTGTGGCACAGGCTCCACGAATGTACAGTGTGTCATCTGATGTGGGGCGGCTTGTGGACCACGTCGCCTCTAGTTTCCCTGATGCGCCTCTGTTTGCTCTGGGTGCGCATCTCACTCCACCTGCTCGTGAAGGCCACGCGCTGCAGCACGAGCCCAAGCTTATGCCCGGCGTGTGCGTCTGTGCGAAGGCTTTTCGTTGGGCGGCTTTCTCTTGACCAAGTACCTCGGGGAGGTTGGGAGCAGGACGCCCCTGCGGGCGGGCATCATCTGCAGCTCCCCGTGGTCCCAGGTACGTGGAGTCCTTCTTCTTCTTCTTCTCAAGCACCGCAAGTGCAATGAAGAGCCCCAAGTCAGGTGGTCTCACGCGCGGCTCCGACAGGCCCAACTCGCGGTTCATTGGACGGGGTGGGCCAAGACCCACGTGTACGGCAGACACTTCATCAAGCACTTTCTGAAGATTTACAGGTGAGCGCGTCTCAGTTTCTACAACGCACGCACGCACGCACGCACGCACGCACGCACGCACGCACGCACGCACGCACGCTAACTGTGTCTATGCCACGTCAGCAACAACAAGGTCTTTAGGGGTCATGCAAAGTTGGTCCACGAGAACATCGTCTCGGTACACGCTTGTTCTCGTCTCCTCCTTCGCGTGTTGTTGAGCGTTGCTGGGTCCCTGACTCATATGTGCGGCGGGCCATCGCAGTGCAAGACCTTGTTCGATCTGCACACGCACCTTCACGCTCCGTTGAGTGGAGAAGAGTCGATCGAAGACTACTACCTGGCGAATGACACCGGCCCTCTGTTTGCGAATGTGAAGGTTCGTTTTCGTAAAACGTTTCACTCTCCCTGTGCGTTGAATTCCTCCAAGTAACACATGTTTTTGGATCACTTCCGTCAGGTCCCCACCCTGGTCCTCCACGCGCTCAATGACCCGGTCGTGCCCCAAGGTACGCGCGCAACCTCATGCGCGCATGTAAAGCTGGATTATTCATGCGAATGACAAGTGGGCCAACATTTCATTCTTTTCAGCGGCCTTGCCAGTGGAGGAGATCAGCAAGAATCCTCTTGCCATCCTTGCCGTCACTCAGACCGGTACGTACCCATTCCACCTATAGATATAGACTAATATCATTCAACTCAACTGACATTTTCTGGACTTTTCATTGTATGTTATGCGTGTGCACATGCAAAGGAGGACATGGTGGCTGGTGTATGGGTATGACGCATCCCCCCCCCACACGTGTGCTGACGCAGTCTCTCACGCAATCTCTCAACCCCACCAGGTTGGTGGCCCACGGGGTTGTCGTGGATTGAACTCGCCTGCCTACAGTACATCGATGCGCACCTCCAGTTGAGCTCCACCGATTCCTCCCCCATGGGCCGGTGATGAACGAGGCACTGTACCCGAATGTAGACCTAATTCGTACCTTTAAAGGCAAAGTTTAAGGGCAAATTAAATTTTTTATTTCTGTGTGAGTGCAACTTCACCCGGAGAGCTTTCTTTTCCTCTGTGTCTAACAACCAAACGCCATGGAGCCGGACGTCGAAACTTGTGAAGGTCAGGGCTGGTGTACTGCTTGGCACTCGGCTTGCAGGTTCTCCAACACCCGCTGCAATTCCTCCTGCTGGTAGACGTAGTACGGGTTGCTCCTTAGTCCCCTGCGCCACGCCCGATAGGCCTCGGCCGGCGTGCGGCCGTGGCCGTCGCGCAGCGAAAAGTCCAGCCCGAGCCGCTGCCACGCGCGCAGCGTGCCCGTGGTCGGCGCGCTGCGGCTCTCGAGCACGAAGCAATGGGCGATCGTCTGACCCTCGCTGTCGCGTGCGTTGATGTCGGCCCCGTGCTTGACCATCTCCGTCAGTAGTTCAAGATACGACGAGCCCATAAGGTTGGGCACGTGCACTGGCGGCGGATCGCCGGTGTCGAGCCTGACGCCCAGCACGGCGAAGAGCTCCCGCATGTTGTCTCGGTTTCTGACTCCGATCCACATACGGCGCGCGGGCGCGAGAACCGCGACGCGGCCTCCGGCATCGCCCAGCACAGCCTTGAGGTCTTGCGTGGCGGCCAAGTGGCGGATGATGCTCGGCGCGCTGCAGCCGACGAGAGGCGCCAGCGTATCGATCGGCTCGCTCTGTGTAATTAATAGGAGGAACATGTTTTTTCAGGTCTGCCCGGCTGATTGCGCGTGGGTGATGTGGGCTGTGTGCTGTGTGTGCGAGTGTTGTGTGTGTGTGTGTGTGTGTGATCGGTCAGGCGCGGAAGCAGCACGTACGTGGATAGAGAAGCCGTGGACCAACAGCAGGTCCAGCATGCGGATGACGTACTCCTCGCTTCGCTTGTCGAAGCGCCCCTCGATGTGCACCCACCGCAGCACCATTGCGACCAGCGACCGGCCGGGCTTGCCCACCCCGCCAGCTGGCGAGCCTCCTCGCGCCAAAAGCTGTTGGGCTGCGCGCATTCTCTCCTCGCTGTACACCTCGCACGCGTACTCGGTCTTCTTGTTGGTGGCGGGGACAGGTGGTGCCATCGCCAGCAAGCAGCCCATCACGCTCCAGCCTTTCGCCTTCAGGAATGGCACGTCAAATATGTAGGGCGTCAAACACAACAAACAGGTGGTGCTCGCTGCACAAGACGTTGTAGGCAGCGGAGCGTACCACGATGCCGGGGTCGGCGCCCTTGTCGAGCAAGTAGCCGATCATCCCGCTGTCGAGCGGCACCAACCGACAGGCCGCGTGCAGGCACGTCTTGCCATTGCGCCGGTTGCGCGCGTTGACATCGGCGCCGTGTTGCAGCAGCAAGTCCACCAGCTCTCTCCTGTTGGCATCCGCCTGCCCACCAGCACCACCAGCACCACCACCACACCCTTAAGCCCCACGTGTTGCGTTCGTATGTCGTGCCGAGCCATGGAGAGTGTACTGAGACAGCCAGGCACAGCGGCGGAACTGATTCCCTGCCGTTGCCGTTTGCCCGAGCCCCGCGACCGAGCAGCGCTCGCACCATGGCCACATCGCCTCGCCTCAGGGCCAGTCCGAGGGCCGACATGCTGTCGAGGCCCGTGGTGTCGCGCACCTGCTCGTCCGAGAGCTTCGGCAGCAGCAACGCGAACACCTTCGCTTGGCGGCGGTCGCACGCCTCCAGGAACGCTGGCGTTGCGCAACACCGAGCGCACACAACACCAAAGATCAGTGCCTAGGCCTGCTGGTTAGAGCGCTGAGGGTTGGTTGGGCCGAGATGAAGCCACACACCGGTGTTGTTCTTCTGATTGGTAGCCTGCAGGAGCTTCTGCCTCGCGGCCTCGGTGGCGCATCGGTCCAGGAGAAGCGCCATCGCACCCACGTGCCGGCCTTCGCCCGCGAGAACAAACAGTTCGGCCGCTGACCATCGCCGACCGCGTACCACGGTCTGGGCTAGCGCCTCGTCCAACTGCTCGACGTACCAGGCCTGAGATATGGCGGCGGAGGGCCAGTCGGCTGCGGTTGCTGCGGGGGCGACAGGCGAAGATCGATGACCCCCGCGAGTGGCGACGATGAAGCGATGCACGAGCAGGTCGACCATGGCCTGCGGGGAGGAGCCCAGCCTGAAGGCTTCATCACACACGATAGCCTCCACCGGCACGTCAACGTGGCGAGTCACCAGATCGACCGTTGGCTCGCTGCCGCTCGACACGGCCCAGCGCACCAAGTTCCCGCTGCCGACGCGCTGGCAAGCGGCGACAGCGGCAACGGGTTGGGTGGCCAGCAGATGGCGCAGGAGCACATGGTGGCCGCATGTGACGGTCCACTGCACCATCTCGTCCATATCGCCTCGCCTCCACAGCCTGTGTGTGCGGGTCGGTTGGTGTGCGTGGTAAGCAGGATCGTAAAAGAGCAGAGAAAAGAAGAAAAGGGGGCAACACGCAACCGAGTCTTGGTGCGTTCACATCGGAGACAACTCGCACGCCAGTCCACGACCTTCTTTCTTCTCCCCCCTCCTGTCCGTACGGCCGGCGGTGATGATGCCGCCACCACCGCATCGGCCACTCTGTCCTCGCGCTGCTTCTGCCACCGGAGCTGCTCCTTGCTTGGTCGCACCCACGCGCCACCAAAGCGGACTTCGTGGACCTGCATCCGCCATGATGACACGCCAAAGCCCGCAAATATAAAATAACCATTATGAAAATGAGATAAGGTGGGGAAAGAGGTACGGTGCGCCAGAAGAAGGTGGCGTGCGGTGACGTGGGTCCGATCGTGGCGCGCCACCGCCGACACACGAGCTCGGCTCGCGCCAGGTCACCAGGTTCCAGCCAGGAGAACACCTGCAGCGTGAGCTCCACCGGCACCAATCGCCACCCTGAGCAGTCCTCCCCTCGCTCGCCCTCTTGCTCGGCCATTTTTATGAAGATGGTGTACCCCTCCGCCAAAGGCCAACTTTACTTGTGTCTTCGGTGAAACCCAGCGTTTCCTGGTGTTTTGACGCAGGTAGCAGAGGCCGCTGCTCAAACGACTGCGCCCGCCCGAGGATGGTCGTCACCATAGGCGTCGCCCAGTTGACTGTCGAAGAAGGCGACGACGTCGTCCATGGAGGGCCGCTTGCTGGCTGTGGCGTGCCAGCACCGCTTCATGAGCTTCTTGAGCGGCTTGTCGCACTCGGACGGCACCTGCGGCCGCTTGCCCTCGAGCACGTCGAGCGACACGCCCATGAAGTTGCGCCCGGCAAAGGGCTCGCGCCTGGTCACCACCTGCCACATGATGATGCCGAACGAGTACACGTCGGCCTTCTCCGAGTACTTCTCCCCTCTGATCACCTCCGGCGCTGTTTGTTGTGTGTGTGTGTGTGAGTAGACGAAGCGCAAGAGAAGAGGAGGGCGCGAAGAGTACCAGTCCAGGAGGGAGTGCCGCAGCGGGTCATGGTGGCGTTCTCCTCCTTGATGCGCGCGAACCCAAAGTCGGCCACCTTCACGTTCCAGTTCTCGTCCACCAGCAGGTTGGACGGCTTCAGGTCGCGGTGCACGATCACCGGCTGCAGCGAGTGCAGGTAGTTGATGCCCACCGCCGCCGATCGCATCAACCCCAGCCGCTGGCGCCACGCGAGCTTGATGGCGTTGTTGGCCAGGATCTCCTTGAGCGAGCCCTGCTTGACGAACTCGGTCACGATGCACAGGTTGGGCTGCTTCACGCACGCTCCTGCAATGAAAGTGCACCACAATGGTGTCAATGATGAGCTCTTGGGGGGAGGTGGCAAGCGGGTGGAAGAGAGAGTACCGATGAAGAGGACGATGTTGGGGTGGTGGAGCTCGGAGAGGAAGGCCATCTCGGCGCGGAACTCGAGCATGCGCCGCTCATCGAGCTTCTGCTTGACGAACCGCTTGACGGCCACCTCGACGCCCTTCCACTTGCCCTTGAACACCACCCCGTATGACCCCATGCCCATGACCTGCTTGCCGAGGGCGATCTCGTGGAAGTCGATCACCCAGCGGCACAGGTTGGCCGACGTGAGGAAGTTGTCCTCCTTGAACATCATGCCCTCGCCCACCGCCGTCTCCAGCGTCGCCTCCCCGTCGCCACCGCCGTCCGCCGCCGCACTCTTGCTCTTCCCTTTGCTGCTTGCGCCGGACGATGACGGGTCGCCCCCTGACGCTGCTTCGGCCGACACGCCACCGAAGAAGCGCGCTTCGAGGCCTTCAGTCTTCATCTCGTACAGCTTCGCTCCTGTGTAGGAAAGGGAGACATGGATACATGTCAGCATGACCACCGCGCCGAGGGCAAAAGCGCAACTCTCAGAACCTTGAGGCGAGTCGGGCATCTCGAACTTGCCCAATGCGAGCAGCTTCTTTCTGGGCTTCTTGCCCTTGCGCGCCGACTTGTCCTCGGCCGGCGAAGGTGCGACGTCAGTAGTTGTTTCGGTCGTAGTGAGGGCCAGCTGCTTGGCGTGAGCGGCTTCGGAGATGAGCACTTGGCCGCCGTGGGCCAGCGCCGTGATGCGCGCCGCCGCGTTGACCACCGGCCCGATGTACTCCACCCGCCGCGTCATCGGGTCGCGCACCATCTTGGGCGTGCCCGCGTGCACTCCCATCCGCACCCGCAGCCCCTTGAACACCACCCTACACCGTTCGACGATGAGTGTTAGTTCTGCCCTATAACTGGCAGTTGCTGGGGAGGAGGTGATACCGGTCGTCGGTGTCGCCCCACTCTTCCGCGGCGCCGGGGTGTTCCAGCAGCGCCTCGGACCATTCGACGGCCAACAGCTGGCGCTGCGTGTCGCCGCACCAATCGAGCGCCGCGCCGATGTCGCTGAAGGCCAGGCAGAAGGAGCCCTCGCCGCTGTTGCGGTCGCGCAGGAAGACCACCTCGTAGCCGCCGTGCTTCTTGACCAGCCGCCGCACGAGCTCGTTGTGGAGCAGCGTGGCGTCGCGCATGGCCTCGGCGTTGAAATCCCAGAGCGACGCGGCGCGTGTGATGTCGGAAAACACGATCACCACCTCGCCCTCGGGCGGCTTGACCGCGCCACCACCGCCCACAGCCCCTGCGGCATCCAAGTTCTTGGAAGACGACGTCGACCCCGAGCCAGAGCTCGACGAATGGGCCGAAGCCGAGCCTTGCGAGAACGTCGAGGAGTTGATGGCGAGCGGGTAGGAGGACGTCGAGCTGGAGGACTTGGTGTGCGACAGCGACGTGCCGAGCACGTCGCCCGAGATGCCACTGAGGCGCGTCATGGACTCGAGGAAGGTAGGTCGGATCGACGGGTCCGAGTGCCAGCAGCTGGTCACGAGCTCGGCATACTCGGCGGGCATCGCGTCGTCTCCTTGCGGCAGCGGCGGTCGCATGTTGTCGCGGATCACCGCCACAGCCACAGCCGCCGGACTGACCACCAGGTTGGCACCATCGCGAAAATGTTAGGTCTAGGCCTTCAATGCAACATTCTCAGCATTCCACTGAGAAGGAGGCCGTACCTCAGACCCATGTAGGGCTGCTCCCGGGTATAGAGCTCCCACAAGATGATCCCTGTTGGTTGCGATGAAGTGTGACGTTGCTGGCGAATTGAATGGGCAATGATAACATTGCGTTGAGGGAGAGCGAACCGAACGCGTAGACATCGGCGAGGATGTAGTCTGCGTCGAGCGTCTCGTTGAGGATCTCCGGCGCCATCCAGTGCACGCTCCCCTGCATCTGGCCCGCTTGGCCGACGCCTCCCTTCTTGAGCTCGTCGCGGAACTTGGTGAGGCCGAAGTCCGACACCTTGACGTTCCACTTGTTATCGAGCAGCAGGTTGAGCGACTTCAGATCCCTGTGCACGATTCCTGCACAACAACACCCCCATCATCATCCCCGGAACATCGATGCATCAGCCTTGGGATACGCGTAGAGGAGGTGAACGATCAAACGCGGGAAGTAGTACCGGAGGAGTGGAGGAAGTGCATGCCCTTGGCCGCGTGGTAGGCCATCTTGATCTTGAGTGCGTAGGGCAGCTCCGGGATCAGCTCGTTGTGCAGCAACTGTTGTGAAGTGTGAAGAATGTAAGAGAGACGATCGCCGAAAGTAAAAGGGCGAAGGTAGAGTGAGCGGCCAGCGTACATCAAAGAGAGAGCCGAGAGCCATGAACTCTATCACGATGCACATCTCGCCGACTTTGGTCGAGGCCGCCATGAACAACACCACGTTGGGATGCCGCAGCGCCGTCATCACCCGCACCTGCAATTTGATCCACCCATCAATCGCACATTAGCGCAACTGCCGTTGAGAGACCATACGGAGGGACTCGTACCTCTTCTTTGAAACTGCGCTCCATCTCGCGCGTGATCTGCTCGCTGGGCATCATCTTGACGGCCACTTCGGTGCCGCGCCACTTGGCCCGGTAGACCGTGCCGTAACCGCCGGCGCCCAGCTGTTCGCTCATTTCGAGCTCATCGGCGTCGATCTCCCAGTCGTCCTTCACGCGCCGCTTGCGCTCCATGTGCACCACCAGCGCCACGATCACTCCGATCAGGAAGAGGAACAGCAGGCACAAGAGGGGCACCACGGCGCCCAGGGTGGCGCCCAAGATCACCCCGAGGTTGTCCGATGACGACGAATCGCTCTTGAGAGTCTGGCAGTACTGGCCCTCCCAGTCATCGCCGCACTGGCACACGCCTGACGAGGAGCAGTTGCCGTGGTTGGAGCACATGGTGCCATCGTGGACGCAGCCGAAGAGCGAAAACGAAGCCACACCGTCGCACGTGATGTTGGCGAAGCTGGCCAGCAGGCGCTTCATCAGTACCTCCGACTGCCCACACACAGTCACGCCCATGCTGCGCACACCGAAGAATTAGCGAACTTGCCGAGTGAGCGCCGTGTTAATGTGTGTCGTGTTGCCGAGTGCGTGCAGAAAATATACCCGTTGGCGAGCTGCAGGCCCTCGGCGGAGGTCTGAGACCAGTACATCCAGTCGACCAGGGCGGTGGCCTTTTGGCAGACCGCCGTGGTGCGGGAGTTGACCAGAGCAAAGTTGTAGGTCGCGAGAGGCCAGCTTCCATTGCCCGGTGCTGGAGGTCGCGAAGATTTCACCCGTTTACCATGCGATGAGCGATCTCACACAGCCAACGTCATGATGAGAACATACCGAGGAAGAGCGTGGTTACTTCAGGCCGATCGGCAAAGTCGTTCATCGCAGACAAAAATGACTCTGATCCCGGCGCCACCACATTGCCCGCGACGTTGACCATTGCGGCGGCTCGCACCGTGCGCACGTTGAGCACGTCGTAGTTGGTCCTGGTCCATTCACAGGCACACGCGTGTGGCGTCAGTTCAACTGCAGACACTTCTGCACCAGGAGCACGCAAAGAAGGTACCATAAGCCGAGCGAGTAGGGGTTGGATTGCATGGGTCCAACCACATCGCTGGCGGCCACTGCCAGGGTTCGCTGAGGCTCCTCGTGAATCACCGGAAAGTCTATCCGGGTAGTGGGTCCGATCTGGCATTCGCCGGGCTCGTTAGTCAACCGGTGTAAGCCCGGGCGGCGGAGTTGGGGAGCGTACCCGTGCGGCAAACTCGGGTACCATCTGGCTGAGGGCAGAAGTGTAGAGGTAGGTGGGCGATGAAGTAGCGTTCTCATACACGATGATGATATCGTGGTCGGGCATGGCGAGCGTCGGGTTGAGGCGCGTGATGTTGGCGTGGTTCCACCGCTTGATCTTGTTGAGGTAGATGTCGGAAATGGTCTGGAAGTCCAGGATCAGGAGATTGTCCGTGACAATGTCCGGGATCTGTGCGATATGGAAAGTTCAGCATGTGTTAAAGGTCCCTGAGTCACAGCCCTCGGAGGCAAATGGTACATTGTACACCGGTCCGACGCCACCGACCCCGATGGGGAGAGGCAGAACGTAGGGCATCATTGCCTGCTGCGCCGATGTGGGGTACGAGATGGTCGTGCCGAAGTCGACGTCACCTGACAACCGGGCACAGGGTCAGCTCAATTGAACATATGTACGACCTGGCAGTGAGATCTAAGGCGTACCAGCTATCATGCTGGTGACTCCGAGAAGGGAGGTCTGGTAGAAATACTCCAGCTGGAAGTTGTCGTCGTTGTAGTTGACTGCCCAGCGCAGATAAATTGGTGCAGGAGTGCCCGTACCGATCAGGAACGCTTTGCTCAGGGCCTTGTCGCCTGCACCGCGTACGCGTGTCGGCCCTGGTAAGCTCTCCAGGTTCGCGTGCTATGAAATCCAGAAGCACTGAGAGAATTCGTCGCACCATTGCAAGTCACCGTGCCCAGGGCATCGACCATGACCTTCCTGAAGCCGTTGATCAGCTGAACGTAGCCGCCGGCCACAGCCGTTTGCGTAGCTCCGTTGTTCACCCTTCATGTGTGAATCGAGTGTTAGCATCTCTGGGTTCATAACTCGACGTGTCGATCCAAGCGGGGTGGTCGCACTGCGTCCAAGACAGGAAGACGAGGTATTGTTCGACGGCGTAACAGTCAAGGGTCACCCTACTCGTGTTCGTAGCGAGATAGTGCATGAAGCTCATCGGGTAGCTCTGTGTACCGTTGCCGTTGAACAGGAGTGTTGTTTCTCCTGATGAACGCGGCGCACCCGGTTCAGTACTCTCGTACATGTGCGCTGGAGGCAGGAAAGGTGCATGCGTACCGGCGAGGACTGCGGCCCGAAAGTCGGTCATGGCGCTCTGCACCGTGTCCGTGCTGACCCGCACGGTGGTGTCGGCTGCGTTGCGCATACTCGCGTATGCTACCGTGCTGGACGCCAGGGAGTTGAAGGTGCCGATATCTACGTAGGTAAGGCTGTTGGCTGTCGCCTCGGTGTAGGCAAGTCTGGATGTTGCGTTGGACTGCTCGACGGCCGACGAGAGTCCTCCGATGCCTGCAAACTGTCCACCGGCCGCACGGAGTGTTGAATTGAAATCGGCGCTGAACGCGGAAAGTGCGGCCATGAAGAGGTGCGTCACAGCCTGCCACGCATTGTAGTGGAGTCAGCATCTCTAAAACTGGAATGAAATAGACAAACAAATACTGAATAAAATAGAAAATGTTAAAGGGCCTTACGTCTCCGGTCGAGAAGGAGAGAGCGATCTGCTCGGTTGGGAGTTTGCCCGAGAGGGAGGGGTTGAGGTTCACGATGGCCGTATCGTTCCACGAGGTGATGTTGCCCACCCATATCGCAGCCAATACTGCCCCGTCAAACACCTGCAACACATAAATGTCAACAATTATATGTTGAAGCGGGGCAAACTAACTCCGGTCCACCACTCGGAACACGTCCCGTGGTGATTTTTCGTTGGGAGTGGAGTTTGCCACCGTTGGTGTGAAGAGCGGGGCATGATGGCAGCGTACGAGGGGTGGATCGGTCGCGGCGAGAGAAGGCAGGTGGTAGGCCGCCACGATGGCCGACCCGATGAGCGGTATCTGAAGCTTGCCGACACCGAGCTGGGCCGACGAGAGGGCACCATCGGTGACGAGAAAGTCGGCCAGGCCGTTCGTCACCAGGTCCAGCCCCGCAGTCACATTCGAGACTGCGCCGTACGTCACCGTCTCTGAGTCCTGCACGACGTCTCTTCAGCTCTTTGCTTCTTGTGAACAGGTGAGGTGGAGATGGTACTTGGCTGAATATGTAGGCCTTGGCCCAGGCAGAGAGTAGAGGGGCAGCACTGGTGCTTCCTGTGCCGATAACAGCCGCATGGCCGCCCCCTACGTGAAGATGCAACAAACAACACACAAGATAAGGTTGCGGGAAGCAGGTCTTGAAGACATGAATGGCGGGGGAGCGTACGAAGAAGGACGACAAGAATCAGCAAGAGGGCGGGCAAGCGGGTCATAATGTACATGTTTGGCCCTCGTGCTGTCTTGTGCTTGTTGTGTTGAAGGAAAAGAAAATGTGAAAGCAACGCTAGCGGCTGCCAACCCGCCAACCACCACCTTGATCGGCTTGGTGGTAGATTTCATAAATTCCCGTTGCGAAGGACATCTGTCAACCACGTCACTGCTGTGCTTCAGGTGGCGAGATGGGACGTGGACGGCACTGGCGAAGTCGAAGTGCGATGGCTGGCTTGTGGGAGATAGGCACCGCAGGTAGGGGACCATGGCTGAGCTTGGCAAATTCAAACAATGTGAAGGAGCCGAAGGTGCGTAATAACGGGCAAATGGAGGAGCATTTGGACTGCATTATTCGCCTACCGGTAGCGTGCTCAAGCCATGTACACGCTAGCGCCGGTAGGCACTCTGACACCACGAACAGACATCACGTGTGAGAAAGATGGAATGGAGGAGGCGAGATCAACGCGGGCGCACCATGACCTTCCACTCCACGAACTCCTTCATGACGGCCGGGAGGAAGCCGGTGAGCGCCCAGCCGCGCCAGGTGAGCGCCCCGGCGTACTTGCCCAGGCTGATGAGGATCGGCAGGTCGGCGGGGTCGTACACCGCGAGGCCGAGTGGTCGCGTGGCGGCGATCAGGTCGCCCTTGTTGCTGGTGGCTTCGACGTCCTTGGCCTTGCCCAGCAGCTTAGCGTCGGTAGGGTCGACGTCGACCTTCTCCTTGCTGCTGGCGGCGACAGTGGCAGCGCCGGTGTCTTCTGTCCGGGCGAGCAGGTGAATGTTCTTGGCGACGATCGCCGCGTGCTTCTCGGCCGTCTGTGCCAGCTTCTCCTCATCGACCGCAATCACATCACCGCACACGAAGATGTTGGGGTGGTGCCGCAGCTGCAGATGAGAGTTGACCATGATGAAGCCCCTGCATGACGACAACCACCCAACATAACAACAAAGCGAGTGTAAGTTGATCTGTGCACGTTGATGGGTGCGTTGTTGGCCATACTTGGGGTCCAGATAGGGCGCCAGCAGGCCATCGCGTAGAAAGGAGGAATTGGGAACTATGCCGGTGCTGAGGAATGCCAGGCTGGCTTCTATGGTGGTTCCCTTGTCGGTCACGAAGCGAGGGCAATCTAAATGGGGGCGAGGGGCAAGGGACACGTTAGTGGTCATACAGCACGGGAAGTTGTCGAAGGGACACGCAGTACCTTTCGTGCCGAACTCGACCACACGCTCGTTGCACATGATTCGCACGCCCTTGCTTTCAAGCCACCTGTTGTTGTGTTTGCGCCCATTGTAAGCGTGTGGATGACCAATGGGCATAGTACAAGGAAATACGCACCTTCGCGCATAGGCGGAAGCTTTCGGGGGAACGGTCCCCCTTCCGTTCATCAAGTGCGGACCCGAATGCACGAGGACAATGTCCTTGTGTGGAAAATGTTCAGCCACCTCTGCGGCCAGCTCCACGCCTGCAAGAATGATGATGAGGTAACAAACGAACGAGAAACTGGAGCAGCTGGGGTACGTACCAACTATACCGCCGCCAATGATCAGCACCGACTCGGCTGCGGACAAGTCCTGGAAGCACCCGCTCAAAGTCTCCCCTCTGAACAGACAGTCAGCCGAGACACCCAAGTGCGCGACTTGGCGTCTGACGGGCCAGACGGAGCGGCTAGGTACCTGTTGGAGATGATGACCGAAGACGCCTTGAATGGCGTGCTGTAGGTGGAGCCCAGGCAGAGAACCAGATAATCGAATCCGATTTCCTGCGGGTAAGAGATGAGTTGTTGCTGCGTGAATGAACGGGGAGGCGAGCCACGTACTCCTTTCGCGGTCAGTACGTGGTCCGCTCTCACATCTGTGACGCTATCCAGCACCACCCGAGATCGCTTCAAGTTGAGATACTCCCTGTGCCGTATCTGGATGGAGTTCACTGGCGATCGAGAGTGGCATGAGCAAGAGACGTTAGTCAATGCGACCGGTCAGGGCACAGTACCGTGATTAGGTTCGACGATGGTGCGGAGCACACTAGGCGTGAATTCGAAGTAGTCCTTGTTGTCGACGAGCGTCACGCGGAAGCAGTCTTCGAGCGCCTTTGCTACATACGCGCCGGCAAACCCTCCGCCGACAATGACCACTTCCCTTTCTCTTTGGCTGCGCTTCCGCTGAGTTGTGTGTTTAAAAAATAAAATAAAATTTACAATAAAATAAAAAATAAAGTCCATTTTGTTGTTGAAAGGGGGTGCGGTACCTTCGTGAGACCAGCGGCCAGCCCCCACAGCCGGAGAAGGCAAGCGAAGAGGGAAAAGATCAACACGAATCCGTAGTGGGCTGCGCACTGCAGCACCACCCACACGAACAAGGCCATCTCCTCCCGGTCTGTGTATGGGCGGCCTGGCTTCTTTGTGTTCTGTTTCCAAGCGAGCGTCTGACGTCGCTTCGCTTCCGTCACGCAAGCATTAAAAATAAATAATAATCAGACAATAAAATAAGAAAATAGTTTAAAAAATAGCTGGGTACCCAGAAAAACTACAGAACAAAATACCTCATGCGCAGGGGAGGCCCCGTGCTTGATAGATTTGTGCGACCAGTCGCCCTTCGTCGGGTCTCTGCTTCTTCATCCGCATCCATTCTGCGACGGCGATCATTCCAGGCAAGATCGAAGCATCCGTCGATGACGTCGCCCGAGACCGTCCTCCTCTACTACTGCGCCCTCCGTGGCATCTCCACCTCGCCCCCCGCTGGCCATTTCTCCACTTCTTCTGCCCCTCCTCCAACCCCTCCGTCACCCGCCACCCAGCCGCCATCGTCGTCACCGCAGAGGAGCCCCGCCCGCGGTGGTGTGCCGGTGAACCCGTCCTACCTGGGCATCCATCTCAAGGAAGACGAGGAGCGCAGCTTCAAGGCCGCCGGCATCCTGCCCATCGCCTTCTTCACCTCGCCGCCACCCGGCGGGCTGGTGGGTCCGCCGCCCAAAGCCGCAAAGCAGGGCGAGGCCAAGCCTGGCGACGAGAGCGAAGACGAGGACGGTGGCGGTGGTGGTGGCGCGGACGAGAAGAGCAGCACAGCGCCGAGCGCTGCAGCCACGAAAGGCGGTGTGCCGGTGCCCTACGTGTTGCTCGGCTGCGAGACCCGGCGTAAGCAGGTCAAGACCGACGAGGTTTACATCAACCTCTTTGGTATGCTAAAGCCCGCTTTGGCCTGCGTCGCGTGCATGGCCTGACGCATGTTGTTGGCACGTGCGGCTGAATCTGTGCAGGCGGCAAGCGCGAAGACAGTGACGGCTCTGCTGCGGAGACTGCCTGGCGTGAGTTTTGGGAGGAGACGGGGCGATTGCTGCCGGTACGCGTGCAGACACACACACGCCGCCCACATCCAATGTCTCGACCCGATCGATGCTCACCCTTATCCCGCACCCTCTCTCTGCTCTGCTCTGCTCTGCCAGGACCAAGCGCAGCCGTTCTTGGACCACTGCCGCGATGGAGCCGATCGGCGGCGAGTACTTTGGTTCGCTCGTACGTGTATTCTCCTGACCATTTGCGCCTATGTGTATGTGTGTGTGCGATCAAGCGCTAAACATCCCTCGTTTTGCTTTGCTATGCACAGCTGGCAAGTACGTCTTGTTCCTGTATCATCTGCCCTACCCGGCACCTGGTACGGCATAGCTATGGGATTCACCCACATGAAGCTGGTTCAATGACTTACCATCTCTTGCTCTCCGCCCCCATTCAGAATGGACGACAAAGCTGGCCGAGCAGTACAGGCAGCTGGAGACGCGGGAGGAGGGCAGCGAGATGGACTCCCTGCACTGGGTGTCCCTGCCGGCCCTGCTGAAGGCTGTCGGCCGTCGCGCTCCGGCAGACCGCGCAGTCTACGGCGCCGATGATGGCAGGCCCTACCCTGTGTTCCGCTTCAGCGCCGACATTGTGGTCCACCTGTCGCGCTACTTCCAGAGCGTCGTCAAGGGCCAGGCGCACGCCGTGCCCCCACTCGACTCTACCACCTCGCCAGCGCGGCGCTCGCCCTACCGAGCACCACATGGGCCACCACACGGGTCCAGCGCTGGCGGGCAGTCGCCTGCAAGGTCCTACCACACAACACCGCCCCGCTCGACTGTCAAGCACCAGCGCTCGCCACATACAGCAAAGCCCACTCCAGCTACCTACTCAGCTCCTCTGTCAGCCAGGGCCAAGCCATTCTATCCCAAAAGCCCGTGCCCCACCCAGTTTGTAGCTGTAACTGCAAACCCAAACGACTAAGTTGTCATAACGTACCTATGGCGAGAGTGAATGGCCCTATGCGCCTTTTATAGGAGTGTTCGCATTTGATTGCCCAGAGCACTGTCGCAGTCGTACACATTCCTCCCCATTCCGTACATGCCGCGCATTCCCAAGATGCCACTGTACAGTGTGACAAGCCTCCGCTGTCCCCTCCTAGGCGTTACACCACACGAACAAGCAGCTGGCCTCAGTATTCCCATGTTGTATAACGCATCGTTCATCACATCATCTCCATTCGTACCACATGACAACTATGCTCGGCCCGGCGCAGGCGAATGATGCCCAGCACGAACTGGTCCATTCGGGCAATGTCCGCCTCCAGGCCGCCGCCCCACCCCAGCACGTATTCGCGGAGGGATGAGGCCCGCTTGTCGATCTCGGCAAAGAGACGAACGAAAAAGAACAATAAAACGAAAACGACAGACGTGGGAATGACGGCGTGGGTACAGATAAGAGAACTCGACGGGGCGATGGAGGGAACCGATGTCGTGGCCGAACCCGACAAGCCCGATCGAGTCAAGCGTGTACCTCTGATCGACCGCAGCGCATGAAGTGAAAAAAGGCGATGAGGGGGAGCAAATGTCGTGGGGTGATGGGTGTACCATGAAGAGGCTCTAGAGGTCTATCGGTTCGGCGTCAGCAACTCGCTCAAGTGTGGCGATCACGGTCTGGGCGCCGGAGACGAAGACAGGCAGCATGTCCTTGATGCTCTCAGTCCGGAAGAGTCCGTCGTCCTGCGCGCAGTCACAGTTGCGATGAAGAGTCGAACAGAGCGAAGCGAAGCGTTAACGGTCGTTTCGTTCTTTGCTGTTGGGTAGAAGGGGGGGGGGAATACCGCTGGTGCTTCCAGGCGTCGGCGTTGGCCACGAAGATGCCGTGGCCGAGGAGCGGACCCAGGAGGTGGGCCAAGTGGGGGTCCTTCTCGTAGTTGCGGAAGTTGACGGTCTGCAGCACCCACTTGAGGCACTCGGGATCAGCGATCGACATCCGCGCAGGTGCACCAGCCTCCACGAGACACGTCCCCGTACTACTCGCACCGCTCGGGGGGGGGGCGTGAGATGGAGCCAAACGGGGGAAGATGGTGCCAAAACGTAGTCGAGGTGGTGGTGCCAAACGAAGAAGGCGTGTGCGGTGCTGAAAAAGCGTGTAGAGCGAGGGGTGTACTTGGAGGTGGGCCTCCTGGTTGAGCTCCAGGATGCGGTCGCTGTTGACGAGCGCGCGCGGCAGGATGCCCACCAGCGGCCAACTTTAGGGTCTGCGCATCGGCACCGTACCCCACCCGGAGGTATGTGTGGACCACGTATTACCACCCCACCCCCACTTGCTCGTGCACCTGGTGCTCTCACAGCGGTTTGGAAGGCCGCACCTTGAGCAGAAGAAGAAGAAATGGGGCGAGTTTGAGGATACAATCGATTTGGTTTGGTTCTCTTACGAAGGAGAACAAAAAGGAGGAGGAGAAGAAGAAATTGGAAGACACGCAAGGTCGCATCAACGCAACCCGGACCATTGTTTGATGGCCCGGCATTGCTCGGGATCGCACTGTCGCCAGTAGTTGATGCTCGTTACATGTCGTCGTCATCATCTTCTCCGTGTTCCTGTACATCTACCGTTCCCCCTGGAGGCCAGGCTACGCTTCTTCCCGCGTCTGTTGCATGTGGAACAACACGCATACATTGAAAACATGAGAAGTTAGTTCGTGAATGAGAGAACGAGAGAAGTGAGAAGCAGCAGAGTGAAAGTGAAAGTGAAAGACGTACGGGAAGGGTGCGCTGGTCCTCGCCCTAATCGCTGGCGGTCGGCGCATCGGGCTCTGTGGCCCGGAATGCTGCCGCCACTCGAGGCCAGGCTGCGCTTCTTCCCGCTTCTGTGGTGCGGGTAATATATTATAAGTTAGTCAGTGAATGGAAGCCGCACACATAGAGCGAGAGGTTGAATGACGTACGGGAAGGGTGCACTGGTCCTCGCCCTAATCGCTGACGGTCGGCTCATCGGGCTCTGTGGCCCGGAATGCCGCCGCCACTGCTCGAGGCCAGGCTACTCTTCTTCCCGCGTCTGTCGCACGCATAACATAGAAATATTCCAAGTTAGTTCGTGAACGAGAGAGAATTGAGAAGCAGCAAAGTGAAAGTGAAGGGACGTACGGGAAGGGTGCGCTGGTCCTCGCCCTAATCGCGGGCGGTCGGCGCATCGGGCTCTGTGGCCCGGAATGCCGCCACTGCTCGAGGCCAGGCTACTCTTCTTCCCGCGTCTGTCGCACGCGTAACATAGAAACATGAGAAGTCAGTTCGTGAATGGAAGCAAATTGAGAAGCAGCAAAGTGAAAGTGAAGGGACGTACGGGAAGGGTGCGCTGGTCCTCGCCCTTATCGTGGTCGCTGATGATGGTGACCACGCGCCGATCTTGAGATAATCGGTGGGTGGTCGTCTTCGTTGTTTTTGTAGTTGTAGTAGTTGATGGTGGTTGTGTTCTTCTTGCCGGTCGTGCCGGTCGTCCGTCGCCCGTCGTTCCTCTCTCTCTTTTCTTTCTTTCTTTTTCTTTTTTTTTGGCGGTCGAGGTCGATCGCGCTCTCCTCCGTCTGCTCGAGGGTTGGCGGTGGCGGTTAGGCGATGGTGGCCCACATCCCACCTTCGCTCAAGTCAGTCGCGTTCCTGTTTGAACGTAAACCCAAACGGTTAGCGAACGAGTTCAGAGCAGACGACGCGAGCAAGAAAGAGAAAGAGAGCGCGTACAGGAGGGCGGCGGGCAGCCGGCTGAGTACGGCCTGGAGCTGTTGATCGTACACCGGCGGGAGGTCGGCCACGTCGAAAAACTGGCCCATGGTCATCGGGTTGAGCGGGGCCTCCTCGGGGCCTGCGTGGCGGCCGCGGAGGTCCTCAAGTACGACCCACTCCTCCGCATCGTCGATCTCTTGGTCTTGTTCTTCTTCTTCTTCACGTTGATTCTTGACCCGTTCGTACCAGTTGGTGTCGCTGCATGAATGAGATGATGATGAACAACCAGATTAGAGGCGGCCAATCAATCAAACAAATCGGGAGAAGTATTAAGGACGTACATAGGAGGGAGGTCGACCACGTCGATGAACTGGCCCATCAGCATTGGGTTGAGTTGAAATTCGTCGTTGTCATCGTGCGCCTCCTCCTAATTGTTGTGTAGTTTTAATTAATTAATGAAAACACAATCAGCAAACAATTGCGACGTGGCCAGAAGCGTACCGTCATGACTTCAGATTGTTGGCATTCCTCGCTCACGCACATCGCCGTGCTGAGGCAGGCGATCTCGCCTTTGGCCTCCTTGAGCAGGCTGGCGAGCGGGCGCGTCTCCTTGGTGGGGATCTCTTCTTGGGAGGCGAGCGGGTGCGTCTCCTCGGCGGTGATCTTGGGGGCCTCGGCCAGCTCCTTGGCCCTCTTGGCCGTCTCGACTGCCGCCTCGACAATGGCCAGCAAGTGGGCCGCCCATTGCTGTCGGGCGGCTTCCGTGCGTTTCTAATGTGTGTTGTTGCGATTAATCAAATGCAGAATAATAAACGATAATAATCAAAAGCACAACTGAGTAAATGGGACGTACGTTGATGGCCTTGGTGAGAACGGTGGTGATCAACGCGATGATCACCATGTCGAACAGCACCACACACATGGTGTAGTGGTGTCGTTGCTCGACCGAAAGGGTCCACAGACTCTTCTCCGTCGTGATGTAATGGCGGCCGACGCGGAACGGCGGAACCTCCTTCGTGGAGCGGGCAGACTTCGCCACCAACAACGACCAGAAGTGGTCGTCATTGGTAGAAGTGAAGCTGGCCAGAGGTACGATCGACTGCTCCTTGCGAACGGCCGAGTCGATGGTGGCGAAGGTTGGGCTGGCGGTGGTGAAGAGGAACCCGATCGTGAGGGTCAACATAGCCAAGAACCAAACGGCAAACATGATAGTGTTGTTCATCATGTTGGTGAGCTGTGTGTTACTTGCTTGTAGGTTGAAACGACAAAAGAAAAAGGCCAACGCTCCACCTTCTTGGTCCTCGCGAAGGTCACGGCGACTGGCCACGTTACCCCAAAAACACAGTGCCCAAAAAGGGAAGCGGAGGAAAAGGGCACCAATCACGATCACACAAATAAAGTAAAAACTCGAACACTTCAGGGGGCCGGGGGAGGAAGAGATGAAAGCAACGCGGTGGTGCACCACACCTCTCTCGCCCCCTCTCTCCACCTCATCTTCTCGGTCTCAAGCCTGAGCCCTAGAGATGTTAGAGCATCAAGAGCTGGCAAACGGCGCGCCTTTGGGGACAAATCGAAACAACTCTTCTTTTACTTCTTCCTCCCCCCTTGCCCATCGAGCTCGATGGGCACCACCAACATCACAGCTTTCACGCACCACTCTTGACGACTTTGAACATCGATCCTGACGACTCATGGCATCCTCATCGTTTCACCCTTCTGCAACAAGATTAGCAGCTCTACTACCGCCCGCCCGCCCCGCCCCAAGGACGTGTGCCTGTACGACTACTCTCCCTCTCTCAGCTTGTAAGCACAGCTTGGGATGGTGAGCCCGCCATCGAGTGGTGCTCGACCACAACTACACCAAGAGTTTCTTCGCCCCCCCCCCCGCTTGCCTTTCATCTTTTCGCTGCTGCGGGTTACAAATGATGAACGACTAGTACACAATAAACCACAAATATGACCACCTGTGCATAGGGTCCAGACCAACAAACAAGTGAGCAGCCTTCTCCTTCTTCTTCTTTGTTGTGGTCGTCTTCTCAAAGGGGGAGGGGGAGGGCTTCACATACCGGTAGCGCTTCGTTCGGCTCTTGGCCAGCGGCCGGACGCACCCGTCCGCGGACGCCATAGGTCTAGTGTTGGTGGTGTTGCTGGTGGAAGTCTGCAGCTCCTCCCCGTCGTGGTGTTGACCGGTAACCACTTGCCTAATGCCGGCGGAGGAGCAAACGCCAAACAAAATGTTCGTCTGCCTTTCGGGCGCGCGATGCGAGCTTGTACTGCTGAAGGGGCGACACGGGCACCTCTACCCCTCTTGGTCACGAACTCCTCGGCCGCGGGCGGGGGGATGCCGACGGTGGAATCAAACTGCTTCTTGGGGCCTCTCAAGAAGGGATCCCCACTATAACCGCACTGCCGAACATGCAGCCGTCCTAGCTCAGTATATCTCCTTTTTTCCTGCTTGGTCTGCCGCTGTAACGTCTGAGCACCCCTTTGAAAAACAGAATACTTGTGGCCACCAAGTAACGGGGGTGTAGCTCAGATGGTAGAGCGCTCGCTTAGCATGCGAGAGGTAAAGGGATCGATACCCTTCTCCTCCAATGTCTTTTTGCCTTGCTCGCCACCCAGGGATTCTTGTCGACGGCGAAAATGTTTTTTTATTCGTAAGCGCCATTGGAGCTTTTTCTGCCCCCCAATCATCATTGCCTCTGTGTCTGCAGTAGCCAGAGGAATTCAGGGTAGACAAGGGCCGGCTTTGATCAACCAGTGTCCTGGTTTCATGGAGGTTGGCAGCAGCGGGAATGCTGCAGCGCAAGGTCATCGGTGGTGCTTCCTGGGTTGTGGACGAAGAAGCCGCGGCTGACTTCGGCGACGCGAACGCCGGCATCGCCCTGTCCCTCGCCCGTCCCCACCGAAAATCAACTGCAGTACCCCCCCCAAACATCTTTGTTGAGGCTTGACTTGCACTTACATCTGCAGATCAACCAGAACGGTGGCCGACAAGCATGGTCAGCCCCCCTCGCTCTTGTACGGCAGCTGGTGTCGCAAGCATCGCCCGCTTTGCTGTGTCTTCTGGTCCGCCCCCCCCCCGCGGGTCTGCCCCTCTTTTTTGTGTGGTGCTGAGCCTGCTTGTGCCACTTGGCCCTGTCACAGGCGGTCTGGGCAATCACGATGCTGTGGTGCGAGTTTCTCGTCTTCCAGATGGCCTTCCTCGCCTGCCGCTGGCCCGCGGCTCATCACCATCCCCCCGCCACGGCCACTCGCGGCCAGACCACTCACGTGGCGCTCATCGCCGACCCACAGCTGACCGACCGGTACTCGTACCGCTTCACCTCCAAAGGTACGACGGTGAACCGCACCACCAAGGCCTTGACTTCACCCGGTGGGCTGAGCCTGACCAGAGCTTCTCCAGGCGGGGTGCTGGCCGACGCGATTCAGTTCTACTCGGATCTGTACATGCGACGTAGCTTCTACTTCCTGCAGAGGCACCTGGTTCCCACCCACGTATTCGTGCTGGGCGACCTGCTTGACTCCACCAAATGGTAACAACAAACCCGCGAGGCCGGGCCTCCTTCGTAATAACGATTGACGCCGGTCTGGCTTGCGTGGCTCCTGGGAGCAGCTGATCACTGATCTGATCTGGTGGTGGTCGTGGTGGTGGCGACAGGCTCAAGGACGAGGAGTACGAGGGCGAAGTGGAGCGGTATCGGCGCGTGTTCAGCCTCGTCGATCCCGTGACTCGCATGTACACCATCTCGGGTAGCGTACCTACTCCTACGAACGGCCTGCACAAGCGCGTGTTCAGCCCCATTGATGGCTTTCACTGTTAACAGTGATTCGACTTGCCTAGGCAATCACGACGTGGGCTTTCAGGTCACTAACGTTGCGTCTCTCACCGAGCGCTATGAACGCACGTTTGGACCCATCAACAACCGGTACCACCTTCTTTGACTCTGTCCGAGTCGGGGTTGTCGTGTCATCACTTGCGACGTACGTCGTTTTTTTCACCATGCAATCGTGGTGGTGTTGTGTTGGCGTGTCCCAGCGTGCGGGTGGGCGAGTTCGAATTCGTGTTGCTCTCCTCGGCCGCGTTGGAGATGGAGGAGTGGGACCAGCGCTCGTACGACAAGACCATCGCGTTCCTTCAAGACATCCGAAACGGTTCGATGGCTCGCGCACCCCCAATTGTGTCGCGTGCGTGCGTTGCAAGCTTAATGATGTCTATGGCGTGGCTGTAGCCGGTGCGTCGCCGCTGCGTCCGCGCGTACTCCTCACGCACGTCCCGCTGTGGCGCCCGCAGACCGCCTCGTGCGGCCCTCTCCGGAAGAACTCGCCGCAGATCCCCGACAGCCAGGGCTTCTCCTACAAGTGCCTGGTCGCGCCGCATCTCTCGCGCCGGATCATCGACGACGTGCGGCCCGTGTACGTGTTCAGCGGCGACGACCACGATCAGTGCGTTGTGCTTCACTCATCCACCGAGCCCACCCGCTCCTTCTTCGACCGAAGCGACGACGATGAAGGCCGCCTCGTTCGCGAATGGAACACTACGTTCCTTACCGACGAGCTCGGTCCGGGCGAGACGACGATCACCCGTGTGACCCACGCCGTAGAGCGCGGTTCCGGAACGCAGGCCACGGGCCCGATCAGGGTCGGAACGCGCTGGGCACGACCAGATGATCGTCCGCCGCGCGACCAGGGCTCGAAGGACGAGGCGAGCAAGAAGAGCGTGGGTATTCCCGAGCAGACGGTGGGCACCTTCAGCTTCCTGCAGGGCAACCTCCGCCCCTCGTTCGCCATGCTCTCGCTCCACTCGAGCGACTGCAACGAGTCCCACCACCACCACGGCAGCGGGTGCGCCAGCCATAGGCTGGAGGTCGATGTGTGCTTCCTCCCTCGACAGCTCCTCATCTATGCCTGGTACGGGGGCCTTGCGCTGCTCTCCCTCGTCGCCCTCTTCGGCTACCATCTTCACCAGCGCTGCTGCACCACCACCGCTTCCGCCGCCATCGGGCTTCTGCCGAGCAGCGGCCGCGGCCGACTGGGCGGCTCGTGGTGGCGCTGCTTGGCGCTCGAGCTGGTCGTACTGCTCCTCGCGTGCCTCTCCCTCCACCTGTTCTTCGTCATCCTCTCCTGAAACCGAGTTGCCGCACTCATGTACATAGACAGCTCACTCCCTCAAACACTTGAACAAACAACAACAACTCCCAAGCAAAAGAGCTGTAATATCTTACAAAGGCCAGTGTGTAGGTACAACTGTGAAAGAAGAGAAAAGGAGACCAAACAAAAGGAGGAGATGACTTATTGGGGGGGGGGGGTGAAGAGAGACTCGGATCAGAAGAGTTGACACTTACTGGTGAGTTTCCTGGGCCTGTCCTTGGGCTTCTCCGAACTGAGCGCCCGCTGGTTCCGAATCTCTCGCACCAAATCGAAGAAGATTCGTTCCACGTTGATCCGTAGCTTGGCTGACGACTCCAGGAAGGGGCAGCCAAAGGACTGCGCCAGGTCCTCGCCCTCGGCGGTGGTCACCTTGCGGGCCGCGTGGTCGCACTTGTTCCCCACCAGCATGATGGGCACCCCTGGCAGCTCCCTCACCCTCAGGATCTGGGTGCGGAAGATGGCCGCCTCCTCGAAGGTGGCGCGCTCTATGACCGAGTAGACGATCAGGTACCCATCGCCGTCCTTGAGGTACTGGTCGCGCAGGGCCGAGAAGTTCTCCTGGCCCGCCGTGTCGAGGATGTCGAGTCGGCACAACACGTCGTCGACCTCCACCTGCTTCACGTAGGCATCTTCGATCGTGGGATCGTACTCCTCGCTGTCATCGAACACCTGGTGCACCAGCTGGACCGCCAGGCACGACTTGCCCACTCCGCCGGCCCCCACCACCACCAACTTGTACGTTTCCACATGACTCGCCGCGCTGGGCGTTCGTGAGATATGCGACATCTTCTCTTCTACACCTCCTCTTTACCGTTACTGCTTTTGTTCAAGCACAAGCTTCAGTTGTTCGAACGGTCATTATCGCGAAGCTCAAAAGCGCAAGGCGAACCGAAATTAGTTCAAAAAGGTTCTAAAAATATTGGAGGAGAAGGGTATCGATCCCTTTACCTCTCGCATGCTAAGCGAGCGCTCTACCATCTGAGCTACACCCCCGTTACAAAAATGTTCAGGTTTTCACAAGTGATGCACGCAAGTAAGAGCAGGCGCCCAGGAGTGAGCTGCTCAGTGAGATCCCCAGAGTAGTGGGCAAGAAGATGGTAGGCTGTTGGTCTTTGTTTTGATACAAGCCACTTTGTGGGTAACAAGGATTGCGCATTCCCTATCTCTCTCTCTCTCTCTCTACAATCTCCTCCTCTTCTCGCTCTGGAGACATCTTCTTCTTGCTCCGGGCTAGAACGCGTTCCAGACCGCATTTGTACATTTCTGCAGCGTCCAGCCGCCGCACACGAACACGCCAGCGACGTAGAGTGCTCCCAGGATGAAAATGGTACCTGTCAGCGAAGAAGAGGAAGAAGAACGAAGAGTGAGGAAGACGATGTTAGTACTTAACATCAGAACTACGAGGAGCCAGAGAGGAGAGCAATCGGAGGGATATTGTCGAGGATGAGAGTTGAATTTCAAAGGGGAGAGGAGTGGGGAGAGATAGCACGAGAGGAGAAGAGCTGAAGCAAAAGAAAGGGGGAAAAGGATGAGAGGAGGGGCGCACAGCAGAGGCAAACGCAGAAGAGAATAGTAATTCTTTTGAGGCAGATTTTGGTCTTCCCGCCCGCGGATACCTCAAAATCATCATCATCATCCTCTATGATCGAGCGTAGGGTAGGGGAGAGAAGGAGGAAGGGAGAAAAGAGAGAGGGTGAGCAACGTACATAGACAACAGAGGCAGATAGTGGCTTTCAGATTTTTACACATTGCTTTTCGTTTGAAGGGAACAGTGACTTTTTTGAAGTCCTGACCCGCCTCTTCTATCTCCCTCGCCTTTCGCGCCACCTGTTCCAAGGCATCGCCTCTCTCCAATATTTTATCTGCATAGATATGCGTGCGTGGACGTCTGAGGAGAGCGGCGAGCCGAACAGGCGACAGCAAAGACAACGAGGGAGGGAGGGACGGCGGCGACGACAAAGAAGAAGCGAGTGCAGGAGGAGCAACACAGGGACAACGACCGACAAACGCACAACTGCGACATTTACATACACGCACGCACGCGAACGAACGAACAATGGAGGTGAGAGCCCGTACCAACGTTGCTAAGCATGGTGCCCTTCACGTCCTCCACCTTTTCCATCACCTCCCGAAGTTTGTCCGTTGTGTCATCCGAGTAGTAGAGCTGAAGCAGAGAGAGAGAGAGAGACGGAATGGAAGGAGGGTAAGATACCGTGCATGCACTTTGAAACACTCATGCCTTTCACCGCACCATCTTCTGTTTGAGGATGGACTGGAACGTTTGGTTCATGTCGTAGGGTCGGGCCTGCATCGACTCGCGTAGTCGGTACTTCGAGTGCCACTTCTCTCGAATGTCCTTCAGGAAGCTGAATGGCAGCCTCTGCAAGTGCATTCCTTTAATCAACTGTTTTTAAAATGCCACAATTTGGATGCGGGCGTAAAATAGTACCTGGCCGTGAACCGCTTGCGCAACACACATAAAGACGATTCCGTCTTCCATGATGTAGTGGAAATGGTACCTTGATTGAGATAACGGAAATTAGAACCTAAATGAACGAGGAGCAGAACGAAGAAGGGAAGGGGAAACGTACTTCTCTGTGATGTAGGTCTTCTTGTGGTTGTGCATTCGGGCGCAGATCTTCTTCAGAACTTTCTCCGATAGCACGCTGCAAACCTGGGCATCGTAGGCCGATTCCTTCAAAGGCGAAGAGCAGGATGCCAGAATCTTCTCCTCGTAGGCCACCAGGGAGTGGATTATGCAGGACGTGTCGCCTCCCCCCTTTCCCATTTTGTGTGTTTCAGCGGATTATTACCGAATGGTAGGAAGAAGCTGCGAAGACGAAGAAGGTGCTGATGATTGATGCTGCGTACGGCAGGGCTTCAGGATTCAAGTTCTGGAGAAAGGGGGAGGTCTCCAACGCCCACGACAGCAGTAGAAGTCTTGTGCTTGGCGGCTTCTGTTGTTCGCCACCCCCGCCTGGCAACGTTCAGACCGCCTGGACCGCAGTCGAACCGCCCACGACCGTATAATATGTCGACATTACAATGCCCCCAAAGCTGCGATTTGGCTGGATGAGCACGGAACAACACGCTTTGAGGTCCTGCGGGGAGACAAACGAGAAGAAGTGCACCCGACAACAGCTCACGACCAACTGCGAATGAGGACGCGCCGTCGGGCGACTCGGGCCGAAAATAACTGACCACTGGTGCCGGGCCTTGTTCATGTGGTCCTTGGTTTCAGCCACCAGTCGGGTCACCACAGATGAAGTGTGGCTCCACTCCCTGGATACCCTAGGCGCCTTCCGTCGTCATCGACAGGTGAACGGAAGGGCCAGCCGAGCTAACGGCTGCAACGCACGCGGCGCAGCTGGAATTCAAATTTTTCTTGTTCCTGCCTTCCCCCGACACACAGACATACACTCTCAAGTTCGACAGCTGCGGTGTTGTTGTTCTCTGGTGAGAAAGAGAGAAGGGAGGAGGGATGCAACTCGGCAGCATCTACCTCAAGGACAAGGAGGCAGCCATCCCCGAGGTTAGGCGGTGGTAAGGGGGCTCTCTTCTCCCCTCTCTGTCCACACATCACTCTCTCGCGGGTCTCTCGCCCACCCAGAGATGCGCCCTCTGGCTCTGCGGTGTGGTTCTCTCGAGAGAACTGCCATCTTTCGGCATCTTCTTCTTTTTATCCTTTTCCTTGTCCACCATCGTTGTTGATGTCTGTGACACTCTTCTCTCTTTTCCTCTCTTTCGCTTTTTCTTTTTTTGGCCTCTTTCGCACACCTCCCACTAACTGATCGATTCCTTCTTCGACGTCGGCCCTTCAGGCTGCTTGACACCTACAAGGTGGTGCCGGGGGCCATGGTGCCCAAGAAGCAGGTCTACGACGCCTACCGGGCCTTCTGCGCCAGCTGCGACTTCGAGCCGTCCGATGTGTCATCGTTCGGCAAAATATTCAAGCGCGTCTTCCCCGACGTGGAGCGCAAGCGGCTCGTCAAGGGCTGGCACTACAACAACCTCGCCCCGCGGGCCAACGACACCACTCCATCGTCGTCGTCATCGACATCCACCGCTGGTGGCACCGAAGATTCGTCGCCGGCCGCAGCGCCAGGCGATCGGCTGTACCACTCGGACCCGGTGGTGCCCACGGCCTCGTCGCGCGGAGGGGCACGGCGGCACCTGACCACCCGACCACTGTCGCCGCCGCCTCCGCGACCCCACTCGCGCAGCGCGTCCCCCGTGTCAGGGGCCGCCACCCACTTCACCACCAGCTTCACCGCCATCCCTACGCCGCGCTCGCGCTCGCCTTCGCCATCTTCGGCGATCGTGCGACGCGCCCACAGCCAGTCGCCCGTGTCCAGCTCGCACCACATACGCACCCGCGCCCACGCCCACACCGCCCCGCTCCTCTCGCCCGCCCCGCTCCGACCGACAACAGTGTCGCCCCATCTCATCCATCCACTGCCGCTCTACCACCCCCCATCCTCAAATCTCCAGCCACCTCATCAGCATCATCATCAACTTCCACAACATCCACCTGCTCCACATCAGCAGCAGCATCAACCGTACCCGCTTACGCAGCACGCAATCTTTCATCACCATCAGCACCACCCATCGTACTCCACGCAGCCGCTGCCTCATGATCATCAGCACCCACAGGCCTGGGCCGGGCCACCACTACAACAGCTGCCCGCCAACGCGTTGGGTTCGACGTTCAGCCCCTCGTTGGGCCTGCTGGAGGCTGCGGGTCACCACCACGTGCGGCGGAACCGTAGCCGGCCACCCGCCCCCGCGGAGGTGGAAATGGCCGAAGGCGAGGCGAGCAGTGTCGCACGGGAAGATCCCAGTGGCGCGGCGGCGATGACGATGCCGACCACAACGACGACGACAACGACAACCACAACCACCTCAACATCTACTCTCGCGGCGCCCTCGAGTTCTCCTGGTAACGAACACTCTCCCTGCCTGGCTCCTTCTTTGCTCGCTCGCCGCGACGGTGGCCCTGTGCTCGGAGTTATTCTTTTTTTTTTGAACTCACGGACTTTTTTTTGTGGTCTTGGTGCAACAACAACATCATGTCCAGGTACATCGATGTTGGATGCGTGGGCTGTGAGTGCCGGCACGCATATGCAGCTGACGAGCGAAATCGAGTACTACGTGAGCGTCTACCAGCGGGAAATGTGGGGCCTCCAGTACGTCAAACCCCCCCCCCCAACGCTTCTTCCTCTTCTCTAGATCCGTGTAGGAACATCTCGACCGAGTCTGGGACTGGGACTGACATTGATCACATGTGTGTCCCTATTGGCTCGGTGTCTTGTCATGTCAAATGTGCGGCGCGTTACGCTACAAGTCCCGTAAATCCGACGGCGCTTGGCATGGAACTGCTGCAGTACCTGCAGACGACGGAAGACGGAGCGCGGGAGCGGACGCCACTCGCCATGTGCAGCCTCTTTGCCTTGAGCATGGGTACGCCAGACCGCCTCTGGCTCCACATGAAACACCAACGAAAGCTAATCCCACTCGCCAGGCTTCACCTTTGCCGGCGACTTCCGAAGAGGCAGGGAGTACTTGAACAAACTGAGGTGAGTGCCGCTCTGCCGTCTCGCTCGCTTGTGAGCGTTGTCGTGTTTCGCCGGAACGCAGAAGCTCAACTTTTCTTCACTCCGCGCCGCTTTTTCCCCGCTGCGCCACACCAGGCTGCAGGTGAGCCAGCTGTTCGACGAGAGCAACTACGACGTTGCATGTGTCCTCCGCCATTTGCCGCTCCTCGTGCGGCTGTACGCCGAAACGGAGCAGGGCCGGGAGAACAGCGCGTACTACCTCACCCTGAGCCAGCAGATCTGCGTATACATCGGCGCGGTCAACGACGAGAACCACCTCATCACGCTCAAGATGCTGAGTATCTACGAGCGGTTAGACATCGACGACAAGATCGCCGCTGCTTTGAGCCAGCCCAGGGTGCGACATTCATATTTTCCCCATAGGCAGGATCGTTCAGCTCGTTCGAGTTCGGTGGCTGATGACCGAGCGTGTTGCGTGGCGTTGTGTGCGTACATAGTGGAGGAAAAGATGGGCCAGCGACTACCCGTTCATCGAGAACTACAAGTACGGAAAGCTAACGGAGATGGCACGCGACTACCTATACGAGATACCCAAGAATGTCCTCTTGCTGCTCGACCCACCATTGACCTACGGTGCGTGTGGATTCATCGAGGGTTTCTCATTTATTGTGCTCTTGATACTGAAGCAGTTTTGTGGGCGCGCAGCGTCTCCGAAGCCACTCCACGACGGCATCATTGAACAGCTGAGTCGTATCGATGAGTGGGAGGCAAGCGTCAGCGACCTTCAGGAAACGTACGGTGCCATCCACACGCTCCGGCTTGTGCGGGCCGCCATCTTCCTCTTGCGAACTACGTGCCACACCGCCATTCATCAGACTGACGACGCACTCGAAAGGTACACATGCCACATCACCTCCCCAACGCACTTCGCCTGTGGTCTCACATCACACCACGTGCGCGTTTGGCAGTGCGACCGATTTTGTGCAGCTCTTGTTGGAGCTCATGCGACCATACCAGGTTGTCTGTTTCATCGAGCTGTCTTCCAAGACCGTGTACATGCGCTCGCTGATCCAGACACTCCTTCACGCCGGCCGCTACGATCAAATTCAGGTATAACCACACCACTAGCTCCTCCCAGTAACGAGTGAGTGGTGGCTGACACCATATGCCCTATCCTGGGCTCGGTGGTGCCCCACAGGAGCTCACGGAACTGGCCCTGTCGTTGGCCCAGGAGTTTGGGGCGATCAATGCCTTCTGTCAGTTCCTACTGGATTCGCTATCGGCTCACCAGCACCGACTGCGGGGAGGCGCGCCGCCGTTGTCCCCCATGATCTCATCCATGCCATCGCCCTCCGTCACGCTGATGATCACCTCGGCGCCGCCATCACCTCCCTCTGTCACAGTCCCACCGCCGCCACTGCCCTCCTTCCCCTTGTACACAACGCCACACGCCATGCCCACGCTTCCGCCACTCCTCCTGTCGCCCGGCCTTCACGACCCTTCGTCCTCGTCTTCGTCTTCCTCCTCATCGTCATCTATCTCCTCGACTTCGCCATTGCCGCAACCGCCACACTACTCGTCTTCCATGCCTTCGATGATAGCTCCCGAACGCCCGGAAGATCACCACGACGTCGAGAGCCTCCACGCCTACCTCTCCTCCTTCCTCGACCAAAACATGTAAATATAGACCTTGGGAATGTATATTGTACACCGCAATCTCGCCTGCTGACGTCAGCCTGACATCACGACAAGAAAAGAGGAGAAACGGAAAAAGAAAAGGGAAAACACTTGGCGAAACGAAAAAGCTCTCGCCGAGGAAGGTTCTGGCCACAACACGGATGGAGCGTTTTGGTGGTGGCCGCAGGAGCGGGCTTGTGCTGGCACTGGTAGCCCTGGTGCTGGTGTGCTGCTTCTCAAGTGGGCTTGGTGCGTCAATCAAGATCAACAACGACAACGTTGGAAAATTCCTGCGGCCCTTCGCCTCCGCGACCAACGTCACTGAGTTGGGCAAGGAGATGCTCGCCATCATGAACACCACCGTCGATCCGTGCACTGGTGCTCCTACCCCACCCACTCAACCCTCTTCAAAAAACCCCCGGCTCCAAACTCACGTGAGCTCACACCCACGTGCACCCTGGCAGACTTCTACGAGTACTCGTGCGGGAGCTGGCTGTCCTCCTTCCCGCTGCCCTCGGACGCCTCCCGCTTTGCGCTCGCCACTGACTCGGTGAACAAGAAGAATCTTCTGACCCTCCAGAAGGTGCCAACAACCCCGCTTTGGTCGCCTGCTGCGCCTCGGGCGGGGCTCTTGGCGCAGTGATCCCTGAGTTCTCAGTTTGTGGCCGTCTGCGCAGATCGTGGCGGATCCTTCTGGCGAGTGGCCCGTGATTGGTCCGTTCTACAACTCGTGCATGAACATGGACCTGAGGGACGAACTCGACTACACCGCCTTGGAGGAGCTGCTGTCGGAGCTGGATGTACCAATCGGCCGCACACGCCACCTCTCACTGAAACTGAAGCTCACCACCCTCCATGTTCACGCACAGGGAATCACATCGGTTGAAGGCCTGATGGTCGCTGTGGGCGTACTGCACAACGTGGGCGTTCCTGCGCTCTTCTCCATCGGGTAAGTGCCCTTTGCGCGATGAGCTTGTTGAGCCAGATCTCGTGGATTGGGCAAGGTGTTGAGGACTAACCGGTCCTCGCCCACTCAGGGTCTCCCCTGATGAAATGAACCCCTCTGCGAACATGCTGCAGCTTTCTCAGGGTGGCCTCTCCCTTGACGTGCCCGACGATTACAATGGTATGGTCAACTGTCAGACAATTGCATTGTACTGCGGTTTTGCTTTGGCGCTTACCCCTTCTTCGTGCTACGACCACAAGCGACCGACAATGCCACCGCGAAGTTGGACAAGCAGTTCATCCACTATGTCGCCAATTTGACCTCCTTCGTCTACGGTTCTCAATCTGTACGCCGTTTTTCGCAAAGTTATTCTATGCATCTTAGCAGTGGAACCAACACCACCTCTTTCTTCTGCAGAGGCAGTACGCGCTCGACGTCTTCACCGTGGAGCAGACCTTGGCCAGCGCATCAGCAGACCCCGCAGACATGAGGTGCACACCAGTCCGTCTCCTGCGTTTTACAATTCGCTTACTCGTGTCTGTCGCTCGATCGGCAGGGACCCTTACGCAACCTACAACAACCTCACCCTGGCCCAGCTCTACGCCTTGACGCCCAACATCCCTGCTGAGGCCTGGCAAAGCTACTTCAAATACGCCGGCATTCCCTTGGGTGAGCCCCCCCCCTTCGGTCCTTGATCGCCAGGTGGTTCAGCTTGGACTAAGCACATCGCTCTCTCAAGATTACTCCTCCGACTCCGTCGTCGTGAATGTGGCGGTGCCCAAGTTCTTTGCTGGGCTGTCGTCCAACATTGGTAAGCCTCTGCTGCTCCTCTGGAGCCCGGCCTTACTTTAAGTAATACTAATATTCGTGTGGCCGCCAGCGATCTTGACCAATCAGTTCCAGGATTTCAGCATGTTCTCGAACTACCTGCGATACAAGCTTCTGGACTTTGCCGCACCGCACCTCTCCACCCGATTCGTCGATGCCCACTTTAACTTCTACGGCACCATCCTCTCTGGTAATGTGTTTCCGGATTCTTCGTGGTGAGTTGCTGCTGGCTTCGTGGGCTCACATAATGGTATGTTTGCGCTTTGCCTTTCAACAGGCCAACAGCAGAATTCGCCACTGTGGAAGCGCTGTGTGCAGCAGACCGATGTTTCGCTGGGTGAGCTGCTCGGCCGCTATTTCGTCAGCTATGCCTTCTCGCCCGCGGCCAAAGGTCTGGCTGAGGACATGATGACCAGAATCGAGAACGCCTTCCGCAAGAACCTGCCTGGTGAGCTCTCCTCGCTGTTGTTGTTTGTGTTGTACTGGACACTGATCAGCAATGGGCTGCTAGGCGTGGACTGGATGGATGACGTCACCCGTAAGCTCGCCGAGGAAAAGCTGTCGATGGTGGCCAAGCTTATCGGTACCCTCGATCAAGCCCTGTGCCCTTTGGTCTGGAAGGTGCGTGCATAACACCCAGCGCGTGCACAGGCTATCCGGAGCACTGGAAGGACTACTCGGACCTCAACATTGACCGCGAGGCATACCTGGCGAATGTGTTGGCCACTTCGCAGTTTGCTGCGGAAGATCAGGTACCAGCACCGCCTTCGAATCTCTTGCAACAAATTCGTCCTCTGAAGCAGCCTGCGTTTGCTTGGCGGCACAGTTCGCCCAACTGCCTCTTCCAGTCGATCGCTACCGGTGGGAGATGACCACGCCCACTGTCAATGCCTACTATGAGCCCTCGCTCAATGAGATTGTTTTCCCTGCAGGCATCTTGCAGGTAACCCTCCTCTCAAGTTCGCAACAGCATGCAGCTGTGGTGCGCTAACCAACTCAACCCACAATTTAGTCGCCTTGGTTCTTCGACGTGGATTACCCGCCTCAGATCAACTACGGTGGCACCGCCTCGGCGATGGGGCATGAGCTCACTCACGGATTTGATGACCAGGGAGCCAATGTATGTTGCATTCACCCACCCGCTCCCCTTGAAACCTCATATCACTTAAGGAATTTCCAGTATGATGGCACGGGCCGGCTGCACCAATGGTGGCCGCAGAAGGTGAAGGACCGCTTCGTTGAGCGAACTCAATGCGTTGCCGACCTGTACTCGGGCTTTGAGGTACGAACTGCTTTGACTTCCAATAATGAAAGTATTTGATTGCGTTCTCAAAGTGAACCCTTTCATTCAGGTCCTGCCGGGTCTCTTCCTCAATGGCAACCTCACGCTGGGCGAAAACGTGGCTGACATCGGAGGCTTGCATGCTTCGTATGTGGCCTACGCGGACTACGCCGCCTCGCTTCCCACGCCCCCGCCTGAAGTGATTCCTGGCATCAACGACAAGCAGCTCTTCTTCATCGCATACGCCATTTCCTGGTACGCACCCACGCCAACAGACAGCACCAACACCCGCCAGCGCTGATCCCAATGTGTTTGCGTTATCTCACACCAGGTGTGAGATCGACACCCCGGAGGCGCTCACCAGGCAAGTGAAGTCGAACCCGCACTCGCCGGCCAAGTTCCGTGTCAATGGTCCTGTGTCACAGTTGCCCGCCTTCGCCGAGGCCTTCAAGTGTCCCGCCACCGCGCCCCTCAACCCGCCCACCCGCTGCAACGTCTGGTGATCTTCCGCCCACCTTCTCTTGGTATTCAAGAAATGTCACATTTTCGCTCTATTTATGCGATTGGTGGAGGGCATGTGTGAACACGCGCCAATCCAACGAAATTTGCGCTTGCTGCCCAAATCAGTGCCGCCCAACCGCAGAGGAGCACCTGCGGGACGAAGTAGAGGAACAGACTGGCCCTAAACGAAAGATGAAAAGGACGCTTTCGTCCTGCACCGAGGAGGGAACGAAGGTAGATGCACGGTCTGCCGTGTCGGATCATGATGGAACTGGTCCGGGTATGACCAAAAAGGCCCGCGAGATGGGGAACGACGCCGGAGGAAGGGAACACGAGGAGCAGCCATCCAAGAAGGAAAAGAGGCACGAAGCGAAGCATGGCAACAAGAAGAAGAGGAAGAGGGCCGGAGCGTGCCTCGTGGCGGAGGGCTATGACGAGGTGCTCACCTTTCTCGGCACGCTCATCAACGAGTTCAAGCCGACCCACGTCAAGTTCCCCTCTGCCATCCTCATCGGCTCGCGAGCCGCCTACTACTGGGATCCCGTACGTGCACGAGCCACCCTGTTTCGAACGCCGCTTCCATCCTGATAGTCTGCCTACGGTGCATTTGCTGCAGGACACGATGCGGACGCCGGACGATTGGAACCTGGTCATCCTGCCGTGGGCACTCGAGAACTGGCTGGCCATCAACCACATCACCATGACGAAGCCCGAGAGCGTATGCACACATGTGGCTAGGCACCGGTTGAACGTGCGCGTGGTGATGATTCTCATTGCTTGTCGGTCGGTGTGAACAAATTGTGCAGAAACTGAAGCTGTACGAGTACGTGCTGCCCAACCCCCGACTGCCCGAGGCGGCGCTGCCCAAGCGACCACCCGGGCAGCCCCACACCCTGGCCAAGACGTGGCGGGTGGACTGCGTGATCGACCAGCAGGTGCTCCACTTCGATCTGTGCGCCAAGTACCTCTACGACCGTGCCGTACAAATGCAACCGTCCAGCAACTGCCTCCTGTTCGGTAAGCCTGCGCCACCAACTCACCCGTGGCTGTGACCGTAGCTCACTATTTTCTTCTGATGTGGTGCAGACCTGGTGGCCAACTTTTTGATTTCGCACAAGGAACGCATAACGGCGGTGAAGCCGTTCCCCGGCGGGGGCAGGGCGATGGTGGCGCCCTTGGAGCTCTTGGAGGCCATCAAGCGGTCGCACATCCATTGGCCCGGGGACTCCTGGCACAAGCACGTTCACGACCTCCACGCCCTGCGAAAGAAGCTCGAACAGAAGGCCGGGGCCAAATTTGACGAGAGCCAGAGGTACCAACTCACCTCAGCCTCCCTTGGTGCTGTGTGATTCATCGCCGAATGAAAGCTGCTGGCGTGTGGTGCTCACCCGACCGTGCGCTCGTAACAGGTCGGAGGAGACTCTCGAGTTCCTCCAGCGGCGGTACCGAGAAACCGAAGAGAGGATGGGCGTGCCCGGCATGCATCTCGATTTTGACACCAGCACCTCCCGTTCTGGCCGGGTACCCATGACTCCACCCGATCAATGCCCAATTCTGAAACTGTCCCTGTGCGTGTGCGGTGTGTGCGACACAGGAGTTTTCGCACCAGCACCAAGCCTACCATCGGGTGGTGGCCCGCGGCGAACTCCCAGTCTACGAAGAGCTCCAGAGGTGAGTATCGAGCTCTTCGCTTGGCACGTGATGGTTTCTCTCAAGGCTAACAGCTGTATTTTTTGATGGATGTGTGAACAGAAATCACGTGTTGTCGATGGACGTGTTCAACAATCTGCGACACGAGTCAAAGCTCAAGCTCATCCGCGAGGAGGTGATGACCCTCGCTTTGGAGCGACGTCTCGCCCCCAACGACACCTCCGCGGCCGAATCAGCCTTTGCCGATGCCTTGGAGATGTGCGGCCTCCATATCCTTCTTTTTTGTTGCGTGTCGTGTGTTGGTAACGTGTTGTGTGTCGTGTGTGTGTGCATTCACTTCAGGTTCTGCACGGTGTTGACGAGGGGCAAGCTGCGCGACTTTGCGCTGGACCACTACCCCGAGCTCGAGCGCGCCAAGTCCGACTTTGTCGCCCTCTGCGAAGAGGAGGCCAGCCGCAAGCCCGGTTTCGTGGACGGCGACGCCGGCGACATGCCCCCTACGATGGCCGACGCTCACCAAAGCCTCCAGAACGCCGTGGCGACGTGTCCCGTGCTCAACCTGCCCGACCATGCCCCGCCGGAGGTGCTGGGTGCACCAGTCCTGTGAATATCGAATAAATAAATAAACTACGAACAACATCTGCAACATCACACTGTCAAAATGTTCACGTTATTGATTGGCCCTGATCAGCTGTAAAATTATGAATATCGAGATTTAATTGATTAATGCTATTTGTTGGTGGCAAGGGCTTGGGTCAGGAGATGGGGCACTGCTGGAGGGCTTGGAAGTTGGCCAGGGCGATGAGCGACATGGCGTAGGTCATCGCGGGTGACGACCAGTACGGCCACGCCGAGCCGGGGGCGTTGAAACCTTCAGAAATCGGAGCAACACAGAACACGTGAGCTTCACAACACCACACGACGCACGACACGACACGAGGAGAGTGCCAAGCGTACCCAAGAACTGCTTCGGGGTCGAATTGCCCCACCACTTGAGGTCAGTCATCTTCCGGTAGGTGCTGTCCGGCACCACGCCCTTCATGCCGTACACCAGGTTGAACCAGTCCTGGGCGTCGTCGGGCAACGCGCCAGTGATCGGGTCGAGCGCCGTCCCGTTCCTGAGGAACCAGCGCACGACGTAAGTGAGTTGGCGCACACCGTGTGTGAGCACGCGTGCTGGGCTGTGAACGCACCGGAGATGGGAGTAGGTGGCCGGGTAGCTCCATGGCGCTGTGGTGTCTCCCTGATGACACACAGACTCCACATCAGGCGTGTGCGTGTGCGATTGTGCGATTGTGCGTGCGTGTGTTCGTGTGTGCGTGCGTGCGTGTGCATGTGTGCGACGCAAACCTTCATGGACCCCGAGAAGAAGGCGTTGCCGAGCTCGAATTCGCCGGAGAGCAGGTACCGACGCAGATAGGCAATGCCGCCGCTCACCAGCGGCGCGATAGTCTCCGGCACATCCCTGGCCCATTGCAGCTTGCAGCCGGAGCCGTTACTGCCCCCCCCAAGACGTGGGCGCGCCCGCAACCATAAACTATGAGAACACACCACCTGCAGTCGATGTAAAACGAGCGGACTGGCCGCGGAGCAAGAGCGTACGTGGAGGGCACGCTCCACACGTCGATGAGCATGTTGATGGCGAGCGCGGTGCTGAAGAGGCGGTCCTCTCCGCGCTCCACTTGGCCGTAGTCACCGAGGAAGTCGTCCCTGTTCATGTTTCGCAACGAAAGGCAGTGTGATTAGCGAGACTCGCTAGAGTCAGCCCGAGAGGCGAGGAGCGACCGGTCGAACTGGTGCGTACCAGTAGGCGCCGACGGAGTCGTAGTGGGCAGAGGCCAGAATCTGCTGCGTGCCCGCGTCCTTCAACGCCGCCGTCAGTCGGTCCTTCGCCCTCGCCAGAGTGGGAATGGCATTCTGGGAAACACCCCCGTGAACTGTGTGAGCTTCTTCCATTCGCACACGCCCGCACGCACGCACACGCTCACGATTCGCACCGTGGCGCTTCCTTTGGCGTTGAGGTAGCGCGCCGTGCGGGCGGCCATCCACAAAAAGTCGTAGATCGACGGGTAGTAGAGCAGCGAGATGTCAGGCCGGGCCGCCGCAGCGCCCGTTTCAATCGCCCAACTGGATTCCCGAGACAGCAGTGTTTAGCTGAATGCGCGTGTGCGGTGGTGCGTGTGCGTGCGTGTGCGGTGGTGCGCATGCGGAGGTGCAGAGGCGCGCCAAACCTTATGGCCTGGGCCGAGTTTTCGTAAACCTGCTGGAAGTCGGGGTGGCTGATGAAGTACTGCTTCGCGGCCCCGCCGTTGAGTTCCTCGAGCACCGCCTGCGAGGTGCCATACAGGAAGTTGGAGATGACCGTCATGTCGACGTTGTTGACGTGGAACGGCATGCCCACGACGCCCGACGTCTTGTTGTCGCCCACCAGGTCCTGTGTCGCCGACCCATCACTCCGAGCGTCAGATCGCAAAAAAAAAGAACGAAGAAGAACGAAGGAGAATGAAGTCTCGCTCGGGCGCGACGGTGACAGAGAAAAATACGGCGCGGTACCATGAGCCAAGTGCAGCCGAGCGCGAGGGAGGGCTGCGAGAGCTGGGCCAGGAACGGGTGCATGAAGTAGTACGAGCGAGGGTCGATCAGGTCCGTGAACTGTCCATTCGACACGAAGGGCCGATACGCGTACTGGCGATACGGTGTGTGACAATCATCGCTCGCGTGAGTGCATGTGCGCGCGAGGGGAATTGGTGGTACGCCATTAGGTACGGACCTTGTTGATGAGCTCGAAGAGGCCGGTGACGTTGGAGTTGACGGCCTCCCACTTGGCGTAGGCCTGCGGGAACTTGTCGCGCTGCGCGGCGAGCATGCCGCCCAGGGCCATGTTGACGGAGGAGTCGTCCAGGTCGGCCGGAATGTGGTAGGCCTTGATATAGCCCTCCAGCACCACAGCCGCAAATTCGATCCTGCAGCACACCGCACGCACGCAACACGACACGACACGCACGACACACAGCATTGCAATTGGTCATGGCATGATCGGAAGGAAACGTGAGGCGGGCACGAGACGCACTCCTCGTAAAAGCCTTCGAGGCCCACCGATTTGAAGATCTCGGCAACGAACTCGGTCAGAGAATCTACGGAAGAAGCACGACTGTCAGAGCCGACAACAAGAAAAGAGAGGGTCTCACCGGCATTGGGCTCCGGGGGGGGGGCTTTACCGTAGTACTGGGAGGGGGCGACGAGGTTCACCGGGTTGGCGGCCCAGGTGCCGTTGATCTTCTCCTGCGGCCAGAACGAATAGACGGGCACGCCTGCAGCCAGCGGCGCAAAAGCGGCCGTTTAGGGGTCAGATCGGAGCTGAGCAGAGGCGGTCAAGTGGCTACGACGAGCGTGTGTGTGAGAGGCGTGTGTGTGATGGTACCGGCGGGTCGGTTCTTGTCCTTGAACGACAGCACGGCATCGAGGGCCAGGTGGAACGACTGGTCATCGGGCGCCAACTCGATGGCGTCCAACGATGCCGCCTGGTTCACGCGGGTGGTCATAGCACACGACAATGGATGATGGTTTAAAAGGTTGAACTGAGGTACCGTCTCACAATGTGGGTGGGTGGGTGAATGTACCTCGAGCAGGGCGGACAGGATGAAGGTGGTCACGAACATATTGGAATCGGGGATCGCAAAGTTGCGCCGAAGCAGCGTGTTCGACTCGTCCTCCCACCAACCTCGTGGTGCGCACCAACAAAAATGTAAAAAAACTGAAATGAAGACGAATACGAAGACGAAAAGAACGAAGGCCGGGGAGGTGGGGAGCACTACCTTGACCGACGAAGTTGAGGTGAATTTCGGAGCGGTAGAGGCCCTGGTCGACCCTCCACTGGAGCGGAAACGGTTGAAAGGGCAGCGAGCGCTGCACCTGCTCGGCCTGCATCGCCGCCAGGACTTTCCCCACGAGCGGGTCTACCGGCCCACTCGAGACCTCAGCCGCTGCATCAACCACGACGGTGGGACCCACCACCCCATGAAGCAGCACCGCCACCACAACCAGAAGCGTCACAACCCCAGACCTCGGCATTGGCTATCGTGAACTTAAAATAAAATAAAATAAATAAAAAGCCACAAATAAAATTTACAGCCGTGTCGCGAGACCAGGATTGGAGCAACCGGCACACGAAAACAAAAAAGCCAAGAGAGAGAGCGCAGGACAGCAGCAAGTGAGAAAGATGGCGTCATCGTTGAAGAACAAGTTTGAGGACCTGGCCAAGCCCGAGGAGAAGCCCGTTATCAAGGCCAAGAAGATCCAAAAGGTGAGGTCATCTTCGCGAGCTCTTTCTGTGGCTTGTGGCTGTTGTTGACGTCATCTTGTGCGACGCGCAAGGCGGCCACTTGGTCGGACAGGAACGTGACGAGCTCAGCCGGGGGCAAGCAGGTCAAGACGGCCGAGGGCAAGAAGGTCGTGCAGTACGAAAACTTGCCGCCAAAGAAGTCGCTCACTGACCTTCCTTGAACCAACTTCGCCCCAACGTACACAAGCAACGAAAGATGAACACGTGACAAGGGGACTTCCCCTTCACCTCTGCTGTTCGTCTCGCGCGACCCGGTGATGTAAAAAAGAAATATAAATAAATTGATGACCAACCAATAATCAGAAACGAAAAATGAAAAAACAACTTTTTCGGTTTCTGTGACGGCCACCAACAACCATTCATCCATTGATCTTGCAACAGCTGGCTTTAGAGATTATGAGAAGAACCAGTTCGATTGCGCTGGGGCGTGGTAGCCCACTGATGGCGTCTGCCTCGCGCTCTTTTGCCTCGGCCACGCCCCCCTCGCAGGCCATCTGGCAATCCCTCACCAACGCGCGCCACTCCATCGTCACCTCCAAGAAGACTGAGGCCACCACCACGGTACCAACCCCTTTGTTCTTTCTTGTCAAGCCAGCACAACTGTTGCCTTCTCGAAATGGATTTTACTCACTTCAATGGATTGTCGTTAATCGTCGTTAATTGGGTGTAATTGGCGTGCAGCCTGTTGAGGACCCGCACGTGCATGAGCTCAGGGTGCTCACCATCAACCCTGGCCACCTCAAAGAGTTCGTGCAGGTGTCCGAGAAGGCCCTGGCCCACAAGACCAAAGAAGGTGCCCTCCCCCCCACTGCACAACCACAAACGCGCAACGTAGTTGAACATGCACACGACTCACTCGCGTCATGGGCGTGTAATGGTGTGGGTGCAGGCGCCAAGCTGATCGGCTACTTCAATGTGACGCTGGGCGAGTGCACCAACGAGGTGATGCAAATCTGGCAGTGGGAGAGCTACAAGCACCGCGAGCAGGCCACCGAGAACCTCGCCAACAACCCCGCCTGGGAGGAGTACACCAAGTACGACACGACACGACACGTACACACACACACACACACATGACACGCGCTAATCGATCTCGGCTCGACCCGCAGGACGGTGAAGCCCATGCTGCAGCACCAGAAGTATTCGATCATCCTCCAGTTCCCCTTCTGGCCCCTCAACTATTCCCAGACCAAGGGCGGCATCTATGAGCTCAGGTCCCCACCCCATCATTCCACACATGTTTCCTCGCCGTTGCGACCCTTACGACCATCACACTCACCACAAACGCGACCGCACGCAAATGCAGGACGTACCGCCTGATCCCCGGCGCCGTTTGGGTCTGGGGCGACTACTGGGAGCAGGGCCTCAAGCACCGATCCAAGTACGTCCAGCCCGTCGCCGCCTGGTACACCGAGATCGGCCACCTCAACACCGTCCACCACCTCTGGTACGCCCCATTTTGCCCCCCTTTTCCGTTGCGCCTGACTTATCGGGCCTATCGCAAAACGATGCAGGCGCTACGACGACATGGACCAGAGGAGGCAGCTGCGTGAAGCTGTCTGGGACGAGCCCGGCTGGTAACGGAACCCCACTCGTCCCCCCCCCTCTCTAGTCTTTGGCGGTTGCTTTGCCCCGTCACCCTTATTTACGCTTTGTTGGTCGTGTGTGGGGTGTGTGTTGCGTTGTGGCTGGCCAGGTCTGAGATCGTGGAGCTGACGCACCCTCTGATCCAAACCATGGACTCGCGCATCCTGACGCCCACCGACTTCTCTCCCCTCCAGTAAAGACTGCAAGCCGCCCTGGATGCAGAAGACGGCCGAGCTCCGGTTAATAAAATGTCCATTTTTAATCCTTTTTGTTTATTCGTTTCTTCATTTATTCATTTATTTTTTGCGCACAAGACGAAGATGGTGCACTCTGGATTCGACTTCGAGGTGTTCGGCAAGGTGCAAGGTTCGTTCCCTGCATAGTAGTGCAGCAGCCCTGCTGTCGCTCACGCACTGACTCTGGCACTCTCTTCGCTGTGCCCACCTCCAGGCGTGTTCTTCAGGTACTCACCCCCCCCCACGCTGCCACTGTGGTGCATCAAACTGATGTGGTGCCTGGTGCCAGAAAGCACACCGAGGAGAAGGCCAAAGAGCTGGGCCTGGTCGGTTGGGTCATGAACACGCCCGAGGGCACGGTCGTGGGCCAGGCCCAGGGCGACCCCGCCGCACTGCAGACCCTGTACGCACTCGAGCCTCGAGCTCCTCCACACTCCCTCAACAGTCAAGTCCGCTGCTCATCACCCACATGTACTACGGCCCACGGGGTGGTGGTGCAGGCGCAAGTGGTTGCAGGAGGAGGGATCGCCCAAGTCGCGCATCGACCGTTGCGAGTTCAAGAACGAGCGAGACGACCTGCCGGCACTCGAGTTCTCCTCGTTCGGGGTGAAGCGGCCCAGCCGGAAGAAGAGGGAGGAGAGCGCCAGCGGCAGCAGCGAGAAGCGCAAGAGCAGGGAGGTGGCTCCGTCGAAGGACGCCGGCGAGCGCAAGAAGAAGAAAGAAAAGACGAAGAAGGACAAAGATGAAGAGAGCAGCAAAGTGAAGAAAGTGAAGAAAGAGAAGAAGAAGAAAACAAAGGAGTCTGCCTAACTTCTTTCTTCTTGTTCGTATTTGCAGCTGTTCGATGATGGTATCCGAGAGGCAAGAAGAAGGTGGTGTGCAGAACTCTCGCTCAGAGCCATCGTGGCCTGCTTTACTCGTCAGCGTCGAGGAACTTGCTTTCGTCGTCCTTGAGCTTCTGCTGGCTGAGGTCGCGCACGACGGCGTCGAGCTTCTTCTCCTCGTCCTCCTCCTTCGTCTTGCCCTTGCCCATGACGTCGTTCACCATGCTCTGCTCGCCGAAGCGCCGGCGGTGCTGCTGCTGCTGGAACATCTCGTCATCGTCTTCGTCATCATCCTCGTCCTCGAGGCCGTCGTCCAGACCCTGCAGGAACGCATCGTTCTCCTTGGCCGGAATCAAGTACCTGCAGGCATCATCAGGCAGGGCCAACCGTGTGAGCCGCAGCAGACAAAGGCGAGACGGCGTCTAGTGAGGTGGTGAGGTGGTGGTGGTGGGTACGTACTGTGGGTTCTTCCAGAACTCGGCATCCCTGGTGGGCGCAAAGTGGTTCTCCTTCTGCATGTGGTCGAGGAGGTCCTTGCTGGATCCCTGCTTCTCGCCGCACTTGACGCACGCCTTCTCCTCGACCTGGCGACGGATGTAGTTGACCAGCTTCACGCTGTCATAGAAGTCCAGCGCTGCATAACACAGAACCAACGTCATTTCTTCTGCTCTATTGTGTGTGTGTCGTGTGTGTGTGTGTCGTGTGTGGTGTGTGGAAAGGAGCACGTACACCACTCCTTCTTGAGAGCCCGGAAGTCAAAGCCGTGCTCGCTGGCCATGTGGTCCATACAGATCGGAGGCGACGAGAGGACGCGGTCGCAGAAGAGGCAGTCCGTGTCGTTCGGCACGTCCTCCACCCAATCGTCCCAGCTGTGCCCGGAATGAAACACGCACCCGTGTGAGGCTGGGCCGCACACGACCACCTCTTTCGGTCCCAATGATAACATAATCTATGAAGAAAAGTAGACCACGTACGTTTCATCGACCTCGCTTTCCGAGGCGGAGGTCATGGTGCCCATGGAGGCGGTGTCTTCGTCGTCGTCCTTCTCCTTCTCCAGGGCCTTCCAGTCCTTGCCGGGCTCCAGGTAGTTGATCATGTAGAAGCGATCGTAGGCGGTGTCCTTGGAGTTGATCTTGAAGTGCTTCTTCTTCCTCATGTGCTTCTTGAGAACAGCGTGGTTCTTGAACGTCTTCTCGCAGTAGATGCACTTGATGCTGTTAAGAAGAAGAAGACGAGCGAAAGAGAAGCCAGCGTCGTGTCAGTAACTGCAGTTGACTGTAGGTCGGTGTGGTGTGTGGTGTGGTGTGGTGTGATGTGGTGTGGTGGTGTTCGTACGCGTCGATCTTCTGCTGGAGGATGTCCAACAGCTCCTGGATGTTGACGAGGTTGTCCGGTCGTCCGATGTTGAAGTGGTGCTCGGCAAACATGTGCTGGAAGAGGTCATCCCTGATGGACGAGAAGAGAAGAAGAGGAGCTTGTTTTTTCAACATTTTGACTTTTGTTGTGCAAACTTACGGGCCAGCGCTGATCCGTACCTCTTGTACCACATCTTGTTGCAGAACAGACACCTCCGCTTGAAGATCTCAGAGCGCTCCTTGGTCTGCAGCTCCAGCATCTTGTTCTGTTGAACATCGGAAACGAGGAGGAGGAGGAGGAGGAAAGGGCTCTATCAGCACCAGATGGCACACAATGCTGAAGACTTGAGTTGAGAAGGACGAGCAGGATACCAGCCGGTTGGTCTGAAGCTTGGTGCGCAGTTGCTTGTCCTCCGGCAGGATGTCGGAGAGCAGGTAGTAGGGCTGCGCGTCGGCTACGCCTAAGGCAGGGGGAATGTTGGTAAAGAGGAGGAAAACACGAACGCGACGAGCAGCTGTGCGTGCGGCTTTAGGAGGGGAGGTCACCATTTTCGGTCATGCGGGTGTTGATGGTCGTCGCATACTGCGCCAGCGGCTCCACGGAAAGCTTCTTGTGCCAATACTCCAAGTACCTACACGCGCAACAAGAGTGCAGAGATTAATTAAAAGCAAATCTCCTCTATCAGATGTGAATTGGAAAATTTGGAAGAAATCGTGGGAGAGATTGGTGCCGGGAGCGAAGAGGGGGCCGCACGTACGTATGCAGTTCGGCGATTTGGTGAAGATCGGAGATAATCAGATGGTGGAAAATGCCCATGTGCTCGAGCAGGGGCTGGGGCGTCGGGAAGCGCTGGGTACAGACGACGCAGGGGTACCAGAGAGCAGGATTGCTCCCCTCCAGCCCCTGACCGACTCCGAGCCCGAGACCATTGCCGAAGTGGGCCGGCGGATTCGAGAGAAGCGGAGGCGACATCGAGAACGGAGATGCGCCGGTGAAGGAGCCGAACGAAGAAGAAACCACGGGAGAGGTCGAGGGCGACGTGTAGGGCGAGGACGTCGGGGAGGCCAAGAAGTCGGCCGGAACGGGATTGCTGACATTGCCGAAGTTCGAGGGGATCGGGATGGCCGCCGCCATTGTGCTGCTCTTCTTGCCCTGCTCCATCTCCTCAAAACAGCGGCCGACGACAAAGGAAAAAATGCAGACCGAGCCCATTTTTAATCCAAAAACCAAACGATTTCACCAAATTTCAAAAAGTTTCAGAATGCCTTTTGGGATGGTGCGGGCGTGTTGGCTGCAAAGCACTGGTCGAGATCAATCGAAGGTCCCCAGCACCGAGTTCCTGATGGCCTTGGTGTACTGCGCGGGTACCCAGTAGAGGTAGTACTTCGTGTGCTCGGTGTTGGTCTGCCCAAGCTGAAGACTCTGTGTTTCGAAAAGAGCCAATGCGTTGAGCTTGCTAAAGCCATCAAAGAGAACTGGGTGGATGCGAGAGCCGAGAGAGCCAACTTACCACGATGTGATACTCTTCGTGTCCCTTGATGGGCTCCGAGGTCACGTCACGGATCTGCGGGAAGGGGATCTGCTGCGTGCTCGTCTTGGAAGAAATCCACAACTCTTGCGACCAAATCTGCCACAGGCATGGCGTGTAAGCAGACAAGCAGCCGGTATTGTTGTGCATGCGTCTGTGTGTTGAGCGCATTTGCTGCAGCGACAGAGGCGAGTACAGTGCATACCTTGAACGTCAAGCGCACGTTCGTGCCTCTGTTGTTTAGCACTCCCACCAGCGGTGTGGAGGGCAGCGGGTCCTGGTGAACGCGAGGTATGAGCCATACCTTTACACAACGAAAGATGGCAGGCGCATAGCACAGCGTACATTTCTACCCTTGACTCCCCTGAGCACGTTGTCTGGCAGACCCTTCTCAATGATCTTCTTGTGCTTAGTTTGTTCGCACAAGGGTTCGGTGGACTTAGTTTCCTCTGCATTGGCACACAAAAAAGGGGCTCTTAGCGATATGTTCGTACGGGCGGCATGTGCATGGGGGGGGGGGAATAATAAGAGGTGGTACCTTCGGCAACCACGGTGGACGCTTGGTCGGGGGTCAGATTCACCTTCATGACGTCGCTGATGGTGCTGCCAATAAGCATCACCTTGGCACCCTGCGTGATGCCAACCGATCGCAGAGTAGCGCTGTCATCTTTTACGGCACCTGGGGATGCACCAAGTATGAGGCTCAATCTTTCGTGCACAGGTGCGAGTGTAGAGTACCCTTGACCATGAGCTTCTGCAGAGGGATGGGCACGCCCGTCAACTGGGTGATGTGCGCTCGCAAATTGCCAATCTTGTCATCCCAAGGCCACGAGATCTCGTACTTCTCCTTCTTGAAGTTAAGGGTGAAGTTGACCATCTCCTTTGCCTCGCCTCCCTCCGCCTGTATAACATCCTGCCCTGCCGGCGTCGTCGTATGCTCTACTTCCATCTTCTTGCGCTCTGTGTGCTGGGCTCGACGCACGGTCTCCCTTTTACCCCCTCTTCTAATCAAAGCTTTGAATCCTTATTGGCACATTTTCATTCTGCCGAAAAGCAGCTCAGGAAATGCGAAGAACAAATGAAATTAGGGCCAAATTCGCAGTAGCGCAAAAGAGAAGAAGATGGCGAACAACCTGACAGAGGAGCAAATCAACGAGTTCAAGGACGCTTTCACCCTCTTCGACAAGGATAACGATGGCGTGGTGACTGCCAAGGAGCTCTCCACGGTGCTCAAATCGCTGGGCCACAGCCCCACTGAGCAGGAGCTTGGCGAGATGATTGCCAGCGTGGACACCGATGGTGCGGCCCCCTGCCCGCACACGTGATTTTTCATTTTTTTGACCCATTCGCTTCTGCCAGGCAATGGACAAATCGACTTCTCCGAGTTCCTCACCATGATGGCGAGACGAATGAGCGAGGTGCAGGGTGAAGACGACGATCTGCGGGCTGCATTCAAGGTCTTCGACAAGGATGGCAACGGATTCATCTCGCCGCAAGAACTGCGTCAAGTGATGATCAATCTGGGCGAGAAGCTGAGCGAGGAGGAGATCGATTCCATGATTCGTGAAGCAGGTGCACCCCTTGCTCCCACTTGCGACGTGAACTCGTACTGCTCGCTCGCGTCGACACGCTCACACCACACACACCACTTGTGCAGACTCCAACGGTGACGGCCAGGTGGACTTTGAGGAGTTCGCTCGCATGATGGCCAGCAAGGCGGGCGCCGAGTGAGCACGCTCAACTTGTACAGCAAACGCGAGCAAGAGCAACAAGCTACTTTCCCACTCTCGCTTGCTTCACACCAAACTACGTAGCACAAGACGGGTGGGTGTAGAAGAGAGAAGTAGAAGCAGGAGAGTGTGTATGTGTATTAACAGGGTTATGTGCAACATCTCCTGCCCGTGTCGCCCTCGCCATCGTCCACCAGCCGTCGTCCGCCCGACGGGGAGCGAGAGGAGTCCATACCGTCTGGTGACGCCAGACGCTTCTCGTTTAGTTTGTGTGCAATGTTCATGAATATCTCCTCAATCCCGTCCCCTGTCTGGCCATGCACACATTCATCGTACACACACGACACGACACGACACACCACATGTAAGTGCCTATGATCGATCACGAACAGACGCCAACGACGAATTGAACAGCACAACGTGTTTGCCGTGAACAACAACAAGAAGCGAGAGAGGGAGGGAGAAGGTGTTTGTATAGAGAGAAGCCAAGGAGACGGTACCTTTGCCGATGCTTCCACATAGCCCAAGGCGCCGATGTTTCGTGCATAGTCTTCTGCTGTTGCTTTGGACACCTTTCTGAACTTCTCCAAGTCTGCTTTGTTCCCCACCACCACCAAAACTGGACACAGACATGCAACGCAAGGGAAGTAACACGCGCATGGGTCATTCAACTCGACATGGAAGAAGCAGGCGGACCAGAAGCCAAAGAAGAAAGGGAAGAAGCAGATGCGAGAGTGGAAAACGTACTGATCTCCTCGGAAAGGTTGATCTGTAGCTCCTTCACCCAGTCCTGCATCTTTTTGAAGCTCTCCTCCCTTGTGATGTCGAATGCGATTACCGCGGCACACGCCCCTCGGTAATACATGGGGGCCAACGACCGAAAACGCTCTTGGCCTTGGTGGATCGAGTGGAAGGCAATAATTATATTAAAGGGATTATATGCATGGAAAAGGGTGATGGACATGTACCCGCAGTATCCCAAATGCGAAGCTTGATCTTGCAATCAGAGATTAACCTGGCAAATGCAATAAATATAAATAAATTGAGGCCAATTCCTGCAAAAGGGGCGCTGATGGGCACGTACAGGACTTTGGTCAAGAAGGAGGCTCCAACTGTCGGTGCCGTGCGTGATGAGAAGGCATCTTGAACGAATCTGAGGGCGAGGCTCGTTTTTCCCACGCCGGTGTCCCCCAGCAAAACGATCTTGGCATCTATCGATGCGATTTTCGGTTTGTTCCCCGTTTCTGACTTCTCTCGTTCTGTCATCTCTTCTATTCTTGTGTTGCAGGACCCAATCCGCCCAGAAGTTGGCTCGGCGTCTTCTTCCTCTCTGGTTCTTACTCACTTTTGCTGTTGCACCTCGCGCCCTCAAGCTGCGCCTCTCTCGACCGGTCTTGCCTCGCCCTTCTGCGCGCTTTGTCCCTCAATTTTAGGCGGCCTGTGGGAATTCGGGCGAGAAGGGCAGAGCCAGCACAACCTCCCCGTTGGCGCAGCACGCAGAAGCCAACAACACCAACGAGAACGGAAGCGGGTACCTGGCGCCGATAAGCTCGCGCTGGGAGCTGCAGAAGAGCCAGCATCAAAACCTCCACATACAGTACCGCACGCAAGCAGCTCGTGGTGCCCAATGACCTCCTATGGCACGCTCGGGGTGACGAGCGGCATCGCCACCCAACCAGGGACCACACCGCTAGACCCCAGTGCCACCACCCCGCTCATTGCCGGCCGGCAACCAGAGCCACACAAGATGAAGGTAGGCCCTAGGTCTTTCTTTTTTTCGTTGTTTGCACCACCCCTGACAGCCTGTAAGAAACGGACAGAAAATGTGCACACAGGGGACAACTACGTCGGGCTGGCGTTCTGGGTCCACGCGGGCGCGGCGCTCGTGGTCATGGCCACCCTGCTCTCCGAGCTCGACCTGGGCAGCTCCGCCCTCACCAAACAGTACACTATCAGCCTGTTCGACATGCACTACGTACGTACCTTTGCAGCTCCCCAAAGCCCGCAATCTTTCGATGACCGTTCCCTTTCCGGGTGAGATCGCCGATGCCCCGATTCGCTCATCGTGCACTCTACCAATAGGTCCTGCCCCCGATATGGAGCGTGTCGGCGGTGAACCTCTTCTTCGCGTACGCGGCGTCGAAGCTGGCGGGGGTGGCGTTCACCTGGCTCTGGGTGGCCCTGACCAAGGACTACACCCGGCCCCTGGTCTACTCCTCCGTGGTGCTGTCGCTCCTGCCCGGGGTCGGCCTCGGCATCTACATGGTCATCAAAGGTAGGCCAGTCGACCACATGCTCGCATCATCCTGGGTTCACGTATTGAGCTGAATTCGGTGAAACAGAGATGTACCCTCTCGCTGTCGTGTTCTTCGTTTTGACTGTGGTACGCATGGTCTCCTTGTACGCGTGGAGGGACCGCATTCCCTACGCCGTGGAGATGCTGCACACCGTCGCTCTCTTCATCGACAGCTACCCCGGGCCGACGCGTGTGGGTGAGTGCGCCCCGAGAAGCATGGCTGTGGCGCGTCATTCATGTGCTCACGCCCTTCTCGACCACAGCGTTTGTGGCACTGGTGCCCGCTCTCTTTTGGGAGTACTTCACGGCCCTCGGACTGCTGCTGGCCGCTTTGCTCTACGAGTCCGTCACCATGTACCTCCTGCTGGCCTTCTTCGGCCTCTCGTCCATGTGGACCTCAGGAGGTTCGTTCGCTTGTTAACACACACACACACACACCACGAGACGCACACGAAACACACACAACGGATTCACCTCATCATCGACTTGCCACGTATGACAGTTATCCAAAGCGTTTTGCGAGTGACGAGCGCTGGGGTGTGCGGCGTGTGGTACCACCGCAGCCACTACGGCAACAACTTCGAGATCGAGATGGAGGGCGAGCGCAAGGCGCTGGTGGAAACCTATTCTGAAAACGTCGGAAACCCCTTAGCCACAACGAACCCCACGCTCGCCTTTGTCAAGCAGTCGCTGACCGAGTCCTTCGGCTCCGTCACCGTGGCTGCGCTTCTCGCCTCCGACTGGCGCACCTCCCGGGCCATCTTCGGCTCCCTGCAGTACTGTTCATCTCCCCTCTCCCCTCCAATTTCCACGTTGGCCGTTGTTCTCAATTCCAGTGTTGCGCGGCATTTCCAGAGAGAAGGTGAAGGACTCAAAGTCGTGCTTTGCCTCCGGCGTGCGGTGGATCGTAACCGGCCTGGACAGGATCATCCACCACTTCAACTACTATGCCTACACACAGGTGTGTGCTCTCTCTTTGACGCTAGCTTCTGTCCTCCCTCAGTGCTCACCGGGCTATTTCGGGTCTGGGCTTGCGAGCAGATCGGAATCTACCACAAGCCGTACTGTGTCGCTGCCAATGACACCTGGCGCCTCCTTTCAGCTCGCGGCAGCATCAACATTCTCAACGACAACATCATCGGTGCGTTGATGCACCACACCTCGTGCCCCCCCCTACGCTCTTTACGCTCTCTAGGTCTCAAGCCTACATTCTCCCGCAGGAGGCATATTGCCGCTCTCCAACATCGTAGCGGGCACCTTTACCCTGGTCGTGGGGCTGACCATCACCTATGTTCTCGAGGGAGACTACTACCTCTTGGCCGGCATGCTGTCGTACAGTGTACGTTGATGCAACCCTCCGGCCCACGCACATGTCGACGACCCGTGCTGACTGCTGGGCGTTGTCGTAACTGCTAGGCCGGCGGCTCGGTCATGATGCAAGTACTGCAAGTGGCGGAGAGCTCGGTGGTGACGATCATACTCTGCTTCGCGGAGGAACCGCAGGTGCTTCGGCGCAACCACCCGCGGCTCTACGACAGCTTCAAGCGAATCTACGGCAGCGTCTGCGATCTCTTCGCCGACGACGACGAACGAACAGAAAAGATATGATGTGTGCATTCATTTCTTTTTCTTGTGGCCAAGGGCTACTGAAGAAGACAAGAGGTTGTGACGGCAGGTGTCGCTTGTTTGCCTCGCGTCGTCATTTGGGCGAAGATGCGTTCGTACAGCTGGGCGCTGGGTACGTGCCACGTCTGCGCGGCGGCGTCGCGCATCAGCGCGAACGGGTCGTACTGGCCCACCGTGGCACAGATCAGCTGCTCGAACAGTCGGTCTACCTCGCGAGAGGCGCCCGCGCCGCTGGTCAGAGTGATCTCGACATGCGAAAAAGCGCCGATCTCCCGCGCCACGGCCCAGGCCTCGGCCTCCGAAACCTGCCTCGCCTTCCGCCTCTCGACCGAGTGTACAACGCCCACTGCCCCACACGAAAAAGGGGTGAGGCCAGACTCTAGAGGAGCGCTTGATCAACCTACCAAGAATCATCGGGCGAGTCCTCCCGTCAGCGGTCTCCCTGATCTTGGGCATCCACGCGTCCTTGATGCTGGCCAGCGATTCGGCGCTCTCCACGTTGTAGACCAGCACGAAGACGTGCGCTCCTCGAAAGTAGGCGCTGGTGATCACAATGAAGCGCATCTGGCCCGCCGTATCCTGCCAAGGCAGCGCGCGCGCGGCATGAATACCATTACAAACGCAACGCTGTGTTGCCTGCTGCTGCTGCTGCTGCTGCTGCGCGTGAGTGCTATGATATACCCACAGCTGCATGTTGTGCGCATCAGCGTGGCCGGGCACGGAGATTTTCTTGTTGGCAAAGTCAACGCCGATGGTCGGGATGTAGGATGAAATCGCATCGCTCCTGGTGTAACGCCAGAACAGCTGTGACTTCCCCACGCCTTTGCATGCACCGCACATGCACGCGTGAGTGGATACATGGGGGAGTGGATGTAGGCCGTACCCGAGTCGCCTACGATGACAACGTTTGAGCGATACGGCAACGGGCTTGGCTCGTGAAAACCTGGACCAGGTGGTCAGCCGACAAGAGACAGCACAAAGCGCCAGGCAGCCTGGTACACGCGCAAGGTGCGTACCTCGGTGTATAGCATACTGCCGTAGGTTCGGCCTCAGCCACCGCATGTACCGAGGCTTCCACACACGACCGCCGCCCACATCTTCATCACCGCTGTTTGTGTCTTCGTTGCCACAACAAGTAGTATCGCCACAGAAGCGGCGCCAGAGAGCATCGTCGCTGGCGATCTCGTTCATGCCCTGTAGAGGGCCGATACCGGTTGGTGGGTGAGTCGCATGCACAGTCGGGCATACCGCCAGTTGAGCAGTGACACCGCCCACTTTGCAGCCGCCAACCGAGCGTACCGAGCACACTTGAGCGACCACACAGAGATCGAAAGGGTCGAGGAACGACAGCACGTGTATGAGCACCTCCCAGGGCATCGCCATCAGTGGGCTCACGGTGAACGCCGTCGCATCGATCATTCGCGCAATGTCGTGGTGTCCGCTGTCTTGCGCAACCTGAACACGAGACCCGGTTTGAACACACAGAAGCTCACACATCGGGCGTCGTTGGAGGGAAGAGAGCCGGACCTGGGCAGGAGTGCCGTTGTTGCCTTCGATCGTGGTGACGATGGCGGGGTGCGCCAAGAGAAGCGCCACGACGTCGCGCCTGCCCGACCGCGCGGCCCAGTGCAGGCCCGTCTCGCCGTTCTCGTCCCGCTGATTCATCGCCGCTGCGACAGCGTCTCCTCCCCTGTTCCCTGTAGGTCCGCTGCCGCCGTTGTTGAGAGTCGAGTCGTTGGCCAGGCCGACTGCTGGCCCCAGCAGCTCGTGGGGCTTGAGCCCGAGGAGATAGCGGACCGCAGGCCAGTTGCCGCGCGAGCAAGCGATGTGAAACGGCGTCGCTCCGAACTCGTTGCCTCTTGAACACACAGTTCATGTCAATTCGTTCGCCAACATGTTTGTGAGCGCAGCAGAGTGCATGGCTTGAAGAAGGTAGAGAGTGGGTACTGGAAGGGAAGGGCGCCGGCGCTCATCAGCACCTGCCACATGCCCACCTCGGCCGTTGGTGCCGGCGGCCGCTTCAGCAGCTCGCGCACAGATTGGTCCCACTTGGCTGCCCACTTGCTCCGCCGAGTGTTGGCTGCTGCGATGCCGCTCTCCTGGTCACCTGCCCCCCATGAGCAAGTGGACCCAATGAAGAAGTGGTAGCGGAAACGAACCGGAAGAGGAGGAAAGGGGCCTCGCTGAGACTCGGCCAGGGCGTGCAGTTCGCTGCGGCCTCGAGCGTCGCATCGCGAGCGCACGTGGTGAGCCTCGACGAGCATTCTCACCACTTCGGGCTTGCGGCATTTGACGGCGGCGAGCAGAGGCCACAGCTCCTGCTCCTCCGGCTCCGCGTTGGGCTGGCTCTTGCTGACGACCTCTGCATCATCGTCGTGGCCACCTTTGCTCTCTGACTCAGGCGTCCCTGCACCCCCCCCCCAATAAAAGAGATTAATCTTGTGAGATGAAACGTAGCATAAACAACACAAGCAACCTTGTAGGAGGGTGTGGAGCCTGTGCTCATCGCCTTCAATGATGGCCGTCGTCAACGCTTCCTCCACGGCGTGCCAGCTCTTGGGTGGGCCACCTTTTTGTGTGGGCTCAAGAAATGTATTCAAAGAATGAAGTCCAGTTCTCGTCGGCCAATAATGGTCAAATTAATTACCTTGAATAAAAAACTAATTTGTAACTCGAACGGCCAAGACGCGCCACAAATCGAAGCTGGACGGCTCCGGGGCACTGAGATGTCTGCTCTCTCAGAAAGGATAAAGGCGGTGGAGCCCAGCACCTACAGCAACAGTGAAACAGCAATCGAAGCCAAAGTGGTGTTGTTAGGTGATTCAGGTGGGCCTCATCCCTTTCCCTTTCCCCTTCTTCCTTTTAGAACCTTCAGTTTGAGACTTCTCCCTGGAGCTCCCCCAACGACGTCGGCCTCTTTCGTTCTTGCCCCCCCCCCGCTTTCGATCTATTTCTTTCAAGCCGGTTGTGCAGTAATACGTATTATTTTATATTTTATTTTATTTTATATGCGAAATTATGATAGTAAAATCGGCGAGTCTGCGCAGGTACGGGGAAGACGTCCTTGGTGCAGCGATATGTGAACGAGGACTTTGACAACACTGTGACCACCACGGTAGGTGCCGGTTTCGCCAACAAGCGAATGTATAGTGCGCCTCGACCATTCCCTCTCTTGTATGCATGCACCTTACTCACCCCTTTTCCACTCTCTATGCATGCGTGCAGAGTGATGGATGACGTCAAAATAAAGCTGCAGATCTGGGACACTGCTGGCCAGGAGCGATTCAGGTATGCTTTTTGCCTGTTGACGTTGGCTGATTGGTTGTGTTGCTGCCAGCTCACGCTCACACGCTCACATCCGTGATCTCTTCTCCTTCGCTTTCACAGGAGCATGGCGCCAATGTATTATAGAGGAGCGGTGGCCGCGGTGCTGGTGTATGATATCACAAGCGTGTCGTCGTTCCACGCGGTCAAGGGCTGGATTAAAGGTGAGGCCCCGCTGATGTCTTCCACGCAGTCGCGCTCCAACGTGATCATTGCCACACGCATGATGATGATGATGACACAACAGAGCTCAATGAGGCGGCCATGCAAGACGGTGACCTCAGGCGCATGGCAATTGGGATCGCCGGCAACAAGAAGGACCTGGAGGCCGACCGCGAAGTGTCCACCAAGGACGCCACGGCCTACGCCGACAGCATCGGTACTCATTCTCTTCATTTCACCTTATTTCAATAATGCAGTGATCACACTCTCTCGCGATGTTAACACCTTCACTCCAGGCGCGTTCTACATCGAAACATCCGCCTTGGCCAACGAGGGTAAGTGCGCTCTCTTGTTGTTCATGTGTGTCTGTCCGTCGGCTGCAAGGCGATTGCAATCCGCTCGAGCTTACCATGCACCTGTGTTATGTGTGTCGTTGGTCGTGTGTCGCGTGTCGTGTGCGGTGGTGCGTGTGCGTGTGCGCATGCAGGTCTTGATGATCTGTTCATGGGGTTGTGCCGACGAATACTGGGGGACAAGGGCAGCAAGGGTAAGGGCGAAGGCGCGGGCGACAACAAGGGCGAGAGCCTCGACGCCAGGAGGAACCGGACGGCCTCGAAAACGGGACAGCAGAAGACCCCACGGAAGGAGACCATCAAGCTCGAGGCGCCGCAAACAAACCACACCGACAAGCACGGCTCACACGAGAAGACGAAGAGGAAGTGCATCCTCTTCTGAACCACAAACGAAACGATCGTCGTGTCGGAGCACGGATAGAAAAGAAACAGACTTGCCACCTTCCTCACCGTGAGGGTCATGAAGTGGCGCGGGCACTGACCCAACGGTGATCCCACGGCATCGAACGTTCGTGGTATGTTTCTGAACCGGCGATAAACCTCTTCTTCCCTTTCCGCGAAGGGGCGCCGGAGGTAAACTCGGGAGAGAAGACAAGGGCGAGCTGGGTGCGGTCGTCCAAAGACAAACCACACAGCCGACGGAGCGCACTGCACACGGCAGATTGATTAGAGAGAGCTGAAGATGATGAAGAGTCTGCTCAGCATCTTCCTGGTGCTGGGTGCCGTGTTGGTGGTTACGACTGCCGCCCTCAATCAGGATGGTAAGGTGCGAATGAGGATTAGCAACGATGAGCTGCGGCTGCCCGAGGCGAACGAATCCGATCTGGCCAAGCAGATCCTGGCCATCATGAACACCTCTGTTGATCCTTGCACTGATTTCTATGAATATGCTTGCGGTGCGCTACTTCTCCTTGCCCGCAGCCGCGCTGCTCGCTCAGCTCGCTCCATTTCCTGCATTTATCAATCAAGCTCTGGCATTTCCATTGATTTAATCAAATCCATTTTGCTGCATACCAGGCACGTGGGTGAACACCTACCCCTTGCCTCCTGACGCCTCCCGCTTCGGCATGGCGTTCGATCAGATCGCGCAGGACAACCAGATGTACGCCCACCTCCCTCTTGGCCCCTAACACCCACACAACTGCCTCATTCTGTCCTATGAACTTGTGTGCTTGCCAGGATCCTGAGGGGCATCCTGGAGGACCCCGCCGGCGAGTGGCCCATCATTGGCCCGTTCTACAACAGTTGCATGAACATGGACGCCAGGAACAAGCTCGGTGCCGAGCCGGCCCTGTCCATCCTCGACCAAGTTCAGGTGCGTCTCCCATTCACCCTCACCTGATCCCGGACAGACAGCCAACCTGTGCATGCACTCACCTTGGACCGCTCTCTGTGCATGATGTGACCACGCATAGGTCGATGATGTCGTCAGCTTCATGTCTGCTGTCGGCTACCTGCACAGCATCGGCCTCAGCACTCTCTTCTCTGCTGGGTAAGGAGGCCAACTCAATAGATGAGCCGCTTTTTAGTCGCTGTCCAAGTTGACTTACTGGCTCTTCACTCTTCAGTGTTGGAGTTGACGCCATGCACCCGACCAACAACATGTTCATCATGGGACAGGGCGGTCTTTCTCTCGACGTGCCCAGCGATTACGATGGTATGGGCACTCTCATCATCATCAGCTCCCCATGGACCCAACCCTTACCTTGTGGCTCATCCACCTCTTCTTCGTTTCTCTTTGCGGCTCCAAAAGACCAAAAGCTGGCCACCCAGTTCGCGCAGTATGCCCAGCAGATCTTCACGCTCGCGGGACAGAGCAGCTTTGCTGCCAAGGTCAGTGCCTTGCCTGCCCCGATTCTGCTCTGTCTGTGTTCTGTACTCACACGTACACCCCACACGTACTGCACACGATAGACGTCTGCTTATCAGGTGCTGGCCACCGAGCGCTCGCTGGCCAAGATCTCCCTTTCTCCCGCCGCCCTTCGGTAGGTCATTCCCGTGTAGTGCGTACGTTGTCGCGTGGTGTTTGTTAACCGAGCGTGCCATGGCAGTGACCCCTATGCGACCTACAACAACCTGACCCTGGCCCAGCTCTACGCGCTTACGCCAAACATCGCCCAGGAGGCGTGGGACGCCTATTTCACGAATGCCGGCCTTCAGATCGACGGTACAGAGACACCCCTTCACTGGTGGGTCTTGCTTTGCGCTTTCTTAGAGTTTAACTCGTTTCTTTTCTTCGTGTGGGCTCAGCCTCCGACCTGACCTATGTGATCGATGTGGAGACGCCGACCTTCTTCTCGAACCTGTCCCTTCTGGTACGCGTTTAAGATGCCGTTTGGTCGCCAACGCGCCGTTGCCTCACGTTCCGCTCACCTCATGTTTGCGACGCAGTTGGACGACAGCCGGGACTTCTCGGTCTGGGAGACCTATCTGCGTTGGGCTGTGCTCAACCAGTTGGCTCCTTCGCTCTCGCAGGACTTTGTCGACGCCAACTTCAACTTCTTCGGCATGATCTACTCTGGTATACCCGCACTGCCGCTTGCCCCTGTTGGCCGTGACCGGAATCGCTGACCAGCGCATGGGTAATCATCGCAGGCAAGAAGCAGAACACGCCCCTCTGGAAGAGGTGCGTCCAGCAGACGGACTTGTCGCTCGGCGAGCTCCTGGGTCGGTACTATGTGCTCCAGGACTTCCCGGCCCTCTCCAAGCAGATGGCGAGCGAGCTCGTGCAGCGCATCGAGGATGCATTCCTCGCCAACCTGGCCAGTACGCCTCTCACACCTCTCTGACTTCGATCGAAACATGCGCACCACTTACGCTGCACTCTGCTTTGTTGACAGACGTTGATTGGATGGACGACGCTACGCGTAAGCTGGCTGCCCAGAAGCTCAGCATGGTCAAGAACCTGATCGGTATTTGCCCCAACCCAACCACCACTACGCCCGATGCACGCACCCTTTGCTCATGTGTTCTCGTGTGCTTCCGCCAGGATACCCCGAGCACTGGAAGGACTACTCTGGCCTCTCTATCTCTGCCGATTATTTCGTCGACAACGTTGTGACGTGCAACCAGTTCTCCACTGCCGACCAGGCACGCGCACTTAGATCCAATCCGCCGCTGGGCCGAGCCATTATTCTTTCTGACCCACCCTCACTTTTCTTCGGTTTGAAACAGTTCGCGCAGCTGACGCTGCCCGTGAACAAGGCTCGCTGGGAGATGACTCCTCCCACCGTGAACGCTTACTATGACCCTACGCTGAACGAGATGGTGTTCCCCGCTGGCATCTTGCAGTCGCCCTGGTTCTTCAACGCCACCTACCCGCCTCAGGTGCGTTTTTTCGGCCAAACTCTTTTTGCCGTTCGCTTCGCGCGTGTGGACTCACCGCCGCCTTGCCTTCTCCTTTACCCAGATCAACTTCGCCGGTATTGGAAGCGTCATGGGCCACGAGCTGACTCACGGTTTCGATGATCAGGGCGCTAACGTACGTTGGCCTGGTATCCAATGCTTCCCATTTTCAACGCCCTTCCGCCTGACCCTCCTGTGTGTGTGTCGTGTTGTGTGTTTCTTTAGTACGACGGCACCGGAAAGCTGCACCAGTGGTGGCCCCCGGCTGTCAAGCAGCGATTCCAGCAGAGGACCGAGTGCGTGTCGAACCTCTACTCCTCGTTCGAGGTACGCCTCGAAGCGCTTCCCTACATTTAAACGCGTTTCGTCACCACCAACATCGCTGCGGCGCCTGGAAATGTGCAGGTTCTGCCCGGCTTGTACGTGAACGGTAACCTCACGCTCGGCGAGAACGTGGCCGACATCGGTGGCCTGCACGAGTCTTTCATCGCCTACCAGACCTATGCCAAGTCGCTCCCCACTCCTCCGCCCGAGATCCTGCCCGGCAAGACCGACAAGCAGATGTTCTTCATCGCCTATGCTCTTCACTGGTGTGAGGTACATTCCAAACTTGAGCTCACCCCCTCCTCGTTCCTCGTGACCAGTTCACCGCACTCACGCACACACGACACATCGCACACGCACACACACGCTCAGGTGGATACGCCCGAGGCTCTGAGGCGACAGGTCAACTCCAACCCGCACTCGCCCGCGCGCTTCCGCGTGAACGGCCCGCTCTCCCAGCTGCCCCAGTTCACCGAGGCCTTCAGCTGCCCGGCCGGCTCAGCCATGAACCCCGCCAAGCGGTGCAACATCTGGTAGAGAGCGATCTCGCCCACAGGGGCTGCTGTCGCCCCTCTGCCCGGCCTGTAGTTCAACAAAGGGTCAGCAGCCACACGGAACATTCCGTGTATTTTAAAAACTAAACGGACTTCCGCGAGTGGCGGAACATCGGGGAAACGGGAATTCCGCGGAACCACTGGTCGTCATGGACGATCGTCTAATCAGGTAGCAGGGTGGACTTTGGCGAACTTTCTCCTCAACGACCTCACATCACGCAGGTGACGACTCGCTCATGATGTCGCATGGATGATGGTGCGTGCTCTGGGTGGTCGCTTACGGCGTTGCGCCCTTTCTGCGCTTTTCTCCCAAGCTCCCGCCAAGTGTCGCCGCTCGACCGTTGCCAGCGCCAGCCCGTCGCGCACTCTCCGGGCGCACCGACTTCCGGTGCAACGCGAACTCGCTAAAACCCGAGCCCAACCGAACACGGTCATACTACATCACACCAGTACTAGCCAACACACGTCACCTCCACCGCCTCGTTCCTACTCCTCTTCCTTCGTGGCCGCTCCCTCTTCTTCCTCTTCCTCTTCTGCACTCCTCAAGGTCAGAGTAAAGACTTTACTCCGCACCACACACCCTCCCCTATTCCCTCTTCGCCTCGCAGAAGAGAAGATCATCTCATCTCCCTGTAAATCTCTCGCACGCGTAGAGGAGCCGAACGATCAACACTCGTTCGCCTCACCCACACCCCCACCCGAAAACGCGACCTCATACGCCCCAGAAGAAGACGATGGCAGCGGTTCCCACCTTCGCCTTCGCGCCCGGCTGCGTGCTGATGGCCCTCACCACCGTGGGCCTCGCGCCCGCCCCACACTCTGGCCACCGCCGAACCACTCGCCAGGCCGCCACCAACCCGGCTACCAACCCCTCTGCATCGCCATCTTCAGCGGAAAGGAGGAAGGTGGAGCCTATCAAGGGCACGTCGGCAGCACACAACCTGTGCACGACCAATGCCACCGCCATGAGCTGCTGCCTCGAGCTGCACCATCCCTCGGCTGGCCGCATCGAGACCCCCCTCCAGCTCCTCCTCATGTACTGTCTCTAAATTCAATTCAATTAACAAACCAAACCAAATCAATTCAAGCCACTTCCTGTCCATTTCTTTGCGGAAAACAAGAAAAAGGGATTATCAAATAAAAAAGATTCAAATAAATGGGATTTAAAGATTAAAAGCCAAGGCCACGCATGGACAGCGAGCCGTCACGCAAGAGGAAGAGACCGGATGAAGGTGGTGACCACATCAGTCCGCGAGCCACAACTGCGCCATCTTCGCCACCAACAAGGCCAAGCGAGAAAAAGAGACACAAGGCCCTTGCCGCAAGCGACCTGCTGCCTTTGGGGGGGAGGGATGGTCAGGTGGATGGGTTGGCCACGCTGCCGCCGGAGCTGCTGTGTGCCGTGTGCACTCTGCTGGCGCCGGGTGACGTGCTGGCGCTGGGGTTGACGTGCCGCAGCCTGACGTTTGTACTCGGCGAGGACGTCGCGGTGTGGCGCCCTCTGCTCCTTCACCGATGGGCGCTCGAAGGTACGCGGGTGTGGTGCGGCAGTGGGTCCACTGTGTGCGCATCTGCGACCTAAGCGCACCACGACACGCACGACACGCACGACACACAACGCACGACACGCACGACACGCACGATGTAGGCAAAGTGAAGCGAAGGGAACCAGACCCGGCAAGGGAGTCGTGGAAGGACCTCTACCGGCGTGCAGCCTGCAGCGAGATGCTCTTCGTCTACGGCCGAGCGCACGGCACCCAGGCCACCTTTCGCGACAAGATCATCGGCCGGTTCGCCTTCGTGGGCAACCGAGGGCTCATCGCCGTGCTCGACCAACAGCTCGCAGGTACAGTACCGCAGTACTCATGATGATGGTGATCACGAAGATAATGAAGATGGTGGTGATGGTGATGATGACTGCGTCACACCATCATCCATTAGTGTGGGACTTGCACTCCGGCGACGAGGCGCGGGTGCTCGACATACGCCAGAGCGGTACCCGGTTCAGGTCTCCCTAAGTTTGGCTTGGCTTGGCTTGGCTTGGCTTGCTTGCGGTTGTTTAATACTGGCCGTGTGTGGTGTGTGTGGTGTATGTGTGGTGTGTGTGGTGTGTGTCTTTGTGTTTATGTGGGTGGTCCACTCAGGATGTTGCACACCTACAAGAAACGAATTTGGACTGCAGATTGGCAGAGCGTGCGCGAATGGTCGGCTCCCGGCGGCTACACGATCGAGACCGAGCAGCACGTACCGGTTGTGGGCAACGGGATCACCTGCCTGTCGGGTGACGACAACCTGGTGGTGCTGGGGCACAGGTCCGGCTGGCTATCGACCTGGTCCGCCTTCGACGGTGCCTTCATGGGCTCCGTGCAGTCAGAATCGGGACTCGTACGCCCCCGTGTGTCCTCCTACAATTCCCATATGTAGTGCGTGTGTGTCGTGCTGTGCGTGTCGTGCACTAGAACGTGGTGATGTGTTCGTGTTCAGCCGGTGGACGTCGTTCGATTCAGTGGGGGACGGTACATGGCCAGTCTTCATAGTAACGTAGTGAGCGTGTGGGAGCCCTACAGCCTGAAGCTCGTTTCCACCTTCCAAGGTGCGGTCTTCTCTCCAGGCCAGCCCACTACTACTTGCCTTCACCCTTGAACGCTGCTTGTATGCGGTGCCACAGTTGGCACGCTCTCGGATGGACCCTGGGACGTGGCCCTGCACGACAGCTTCCTCGCGGTGAGCAGCCTCAACCTCGTCAAGTGCGTGACGCCCTCACTCTTGGCCGTGTGTCGTGCCGTGCCGTGCCGTGCCGTGCGTGTCGTGCGCGTGTCGAGCGTGTTTCTGCTGATCATCATGACCACCACCAGTGTGTACGACCTCAGAGAGGGCGATTGGTCAAGCCCCGTGTGGACGCTGCCCGCGTCCGAAGCCGAGCAACGAGAATCGGAAGTGGCCTACCTCGCCGTACACCTTCAGGTGCGTGTGGCGTGCGCCTCACACTTTGTTAAGGAGAGCGCCGGCGACTGACTGTGTTGCCGCATCTCGCAGGGTCGCTTCATGGTGGTGGTGCAGCGGGCGGAGAGGCGCAACTCGGTGGTGATCTACGACGTGGTGCGGCGACGGCGCGTGCGCACGATCCCGGCCAAACAGACGCCCCACAAGCTGGCCACCTACAAGCGAGGCATCGCGTGGTCCGACTTCATGTCGCGCTCCCTCGAATTCTGGCACTTCACCTCTGGCGACAAATGCGACGCAACCGACCAACACACCGACACTCCTTCGCCACAAGCCCACAGCGCTGCTGACGTCACGCGATAGAACTGGCGGTGGAAAGATATAAAAATACCTGGAAAACCGAATTGGGTTTGGCATAAAAGAAAAAACAAGCCAAGGGCTAAAGCGAAGTGATGCGAAGGCAGCTGACCAAGACCGCGATGCAGCGTGCCAAGTGTTCGGTGTTCATCGCCACGAGCCTGGACGGCTTCATCTCCCGCACCGACGGCAGCATCGACTGGTTGAACAAGGCCAACAAGTTGATGCCCCCCGGCGAGGACTGCGGCTACGCCCAGTTTATGTCCACCGTCGATACGCTGGTCATGGGGCGCAACACCTTCGATCAGGTCCGCACCTTCGACCCGTGGCCCTACGGCCTCACGCCCGTCGTCGTCCTGACCAGCCACCCCCTCGACCTGGCCCTACCCTCGCTGGTCTCGGACACCGTCAGCGCGTCGAGCGACCCGCCCGAAGCCGTCGTTGAGCGGCTCACGGCCGAGGGCAAGCGACACCTCTACGTTGACGGCGGGCGGACTGTGCAGAGCTTCCTCGCTGCGGGCCTGGTCGACGAGCTCATCATCACCACCATCCCCGTGCTCCTGGGCGCCGGAAGGCCCCTCTTCGCCAACGTCGGCTCGAGTGGCGGCGGCGGCGGCGGCGACGTGGAGCTGGCGCATGTGGCGACCCGCGCCTTCGACTTTGGCTTCGTGCAGAGCAAGTACCGGGTGAAGAGAGATGGCGATGATGAAGATGGTGATGACGATGGAAAGAGGCAAGAGCAAGCTTGAGGAGTGTGTGCGAGCAAGGAAAAGAAGAATAGAATGCTTCATTTAATTTCTGACTCCAGTCAGTCTATCACGATAACTTCGGCTGGGGGTTGGCGAGTGGTTTGGTCGGTCGTGAGCCTCGGTCTCTTGGCCACCCTTGCCTCCACCTCCTCGCCCTCTTCCTTGCTCGGCTCCTGCTTGATGGCCAAGGTCGCCGGCGACTTAGTCTCGTGCGGCGGCAGTGCGGGCGGCAGCAGCTGGGCCAGGGCCGACTTCTTGCCGCTGGCGAGCACTTCTGGCGGGATGGGCGGGATGTTGATCGTGAAGCGAGGGAGGAAGGGCATGTTCTCCTCGAAGAAGGACGAACTGAACTCGTTGTAGTTGACGATGATGGGCTGACCCTTGAGAATCTTCTTCGTTGCCGTCAGTACCACGCGCAACTACGCAACGTACACGTCAGTGAGCGACCGCACACGACACACCACACGACAGACAGGCAGAGCAAGAGGAGCAAACCTGATTTCGGCACCACAGGGTGGACATCGTGGCATTCTGTCGGATGTAGAAAGCTGTTGTGGGGGCCACCGAGTTCACGAACCGCATCTCGTTGCCCTCGTGCTCGGCGTCGAGGCACAGCTGCTTATCGCCCAGGTCGCCCAGTTCAGGCGGGTACCTATTAGGATGATTAGTGTTAGTGTTGAAAGGGTCAGTGAGAGAACGTCACAGGAGGGTCACACACCAGAAGTTGGCGACGTATTGAGAATCCTCAATATCCTTCTGATAGCGGACCCTTCCCACATACTCCCCGATCATATCCTCGCTTTCGATGTCCACCAACGCCCGCACCTACGCGACACGCAGTATTGCGGCAACATGAGCTATGTGAATGCAGAAATCTATTGATGTGCGCCTGCGTTCGTGTACCTCATATTGCTTGGCGATGCCCTGCTTCCGGAGGTTTGTGCAGTAGGCCCAGTGGCCAAAAAAGATCTCTTGCACGAACACCTTCAAAGACGAGGTTAACAAACAGTGATACATGCTGCTGTTTGGGGGGCATAAGGATAGGCACCACACAAGGAATGTACCTTGGAGGCCAAGTTCTGGTTGAGGTACGTGGGCGTGTACTGTTCCCAGTGGTGGCTGTGGGCTGCTATAAATTCAATGTCCTCGGTGTCAATGTCGTCCCAGATGTTCACGGCCGTGTACTGCACCGGACTTTCTGTCGGCCATTTGGTGAGCGTCAGCGCCTCTGGCGGGGCGCATCGCAGGTCAGCATGAGCCATGATCGCGCTTTTAGCATACAAAGGCGATGAGCTCCTTACGTTTCTTGGCGATGTGGACATGACCAGGGCAGTAGAAACCGACGTTATCGACGTATTCGCCTCCCGATTCGATGGCACACGGATAGTGGCAGGCGTATGGACAGCGCTCTATCCGACAGCCCATCGTAGCTCGTTTCTTCTTGCATCGCTTGCACGGCTATGCACGACACGCAAACGCACACATGTATGACACGCGATAGTGAGAGGAGCTTACGAAAAGTCAAGGCGGGAAGATTCCCGGTGAGAAGTACGAGAGCGTGATAGATAGCACGGGTCACGAGGTCGGGATCGGATTCGTCTTCAGTCTTGCGAGAGGCGTAGTGGAGACATTCCGAGTGCGCCCAGAGGGGCTTGCGTCCGTATCGGCCGATGCCTACCCGCTTCAGGTCGCCAAGCGAAGGATCGTCCATGCGGCACAGAGCGCAACAGGATTGATCCGTGGGTGCGGCCTCTTGTTGCGGCTTACTGGGCCGCCCAAGGCTGAACAAGCTTCTCCTTTTGCCTCGCGGCCTCCCTCGTTTGCGTTTCGACTCTGCGCGCAGCCGATGTTGTTAATCATCGGGAGGCATCTGTGGGAGCAATGGAACATATGATTGAGACTGGCACGGGTACCTTGTTCTGTCTCTTGTTCTGGCTCACTCGTGCTGGGTTCTTCGAATTTGACAGGAGGCAGCACTTCCTCGCAGCTCATTCTCGAATTCGCCCCCGCAACAACGCTCCCAATGAAAATGACTTCATCATCTTCACCAAATATGTATTCCTCTGCAGGAGGATCATTTGTGCTGGTCTCCTTGTGCACCTTCACCTTCACATCGTGGTCCGCGGCATGCGCGCCCTCCATCTTGCGCTGATTGTTTTTTCTTCTTGCGCCCGTTTGCCGCTTCCTTTTTGGCGCGAAAAAGAAGCTTTTTTGACCCGTTTTCGCTGGAACGCCAACAATTCTAAAGAGCGAGCCGCTTCGTGGCTTCCCGCACGCTGAGGGCCGACAGGGTGGTTCGGTTCTCCTCGATGAAAGCGACCACGGCATCAGGTTCGAGGCGAGCGTGCTGCCTGCCAAAAGCACACACACACACACACCGCAACGCAACAGTGAGGAGTGTGTTCTCGGCACGCCGAATGTGCTTTGTACCTGAGCGCCCACCCGATGGCCTTGCGGATGAAGAACTCCTTCTCGTGCGCCCGGCGCTTGCAGAAGTCGAAGAGCTTCACCTGGTCTGTCTTCGTCTACGTTGTGGGTACAGCAAGAGAATGTAGGCGTGGCGTGTGAGGCGTGAACAAACCCACCAGAGTGAGGTGAAGTGAGGTGCCTTGTAGTTCAGCTGGTGAATGATAGCCGTTCGGCGCGCCCACATGTGCTCGTCATCGATCCATTCGTCCATTCTAGCCACCAGGTCCGGGTGCTTCTGTATGAGCCCGCCCACCAGCTTGGAGGCAACCAGGTCCACAGTCTACGCGCATGCCGTGTGAGCACCGTAACCACTTCAACCAAGCAGACGGGCCAGCACGTACGTCCCACCAGGACTTGTTCCTAACCATGTACTCGAAAGTTTCGAACATCTCTGTCATGTGGAACGACTTAGTGGCGCAAGAACAGGACGGCATGGAAGGGCGGGTACCTCGAGGCACAGAGGCGGAGGTACCTTGGGTCCATAGCTTCTGATACTTGACGGCCAAATCGATGGCAGCCATTTGGTACTCGCGCTCCTCCATCTTCCACAACTGCTTGAGCACCGTGGTCAACTCTTGGCCGTCCTCAAGGCCGTGCTTGGCGAACACCCCCTTCTGCACCTGCCGCCGAACTGGACCCCGAAGACCCAGGAAGGGGAATTGGTTTCGCAGGTACGCCGAGCACCCGGCCGCCACCTTTGCGTCGGCCTGGAGGCGGAAGTCACGCGAAAGATCTTTCACCAGGACGTGCAGCCTCTTCTGTCTCGCCGCCATCACTTTGTCTAAATAATGGCCCGTTTTCGAAGAAGCTTTTTGTGTTGCCAGTGAGAAATTGGTTTTCCTTGTCTTTTCCGTAGCGCGCGAACATTCAGCATGATGCGCCGATCGTCATCTACACTGCCCTTTCGCCAACTTCTGCGTTCCAACTCTCCCGCCCTCCGCCCAGCCACCGGAGTCGTGGATGGATCGCGAAGGCTCCTGCACAATCGTGGCGGGCAGCCGGCCGGGAAATTAATCTCCACCTCATGCACCCCGCGCCCGGTGGGCGTCGTAGCGGTAATTCCACATCTTGCTTTGGATGATTGCCATCACCTGACACATTCTACGTCTTGTGTCGTGCAGCTGCGTGGCGGGTTCCGGCGGGCTCTCGCCTCGCAGGTGCCGCCCGAGGCGGACGAACGGGCCAACAAACCGAAGAAGGTGAACATCGGTACTTCATACACGCACTGCCATATGTATATGCCAACTTGCGTTCGGCCAGCAACTCACCCTGCTCCCGTTCTGCTCAGACGTGGACGAGATGTTCGCGACACCCGAAGACTCGGGCCAGCACTGGCTGCAAATGACCATCAACGACGATTGGGAACGCGCGCCCGAGGGGCCTGACATGACGGAGCCAGCCGACCTCAACCTGGCTAAGTAAGCTTACTTGCTCGATGTGAATGAGTCACGTCGGAGACCGTTTGTTCACCTCGTTGAGCTCCTCCTCTGCAGGTATTTGGGCACGCTCGATGAAAGAGGCCTGCCCACGGGGCGAGGCAAGCTCTTCTCGCAGGACAACCAGGAGGGAATCTCCATCTACTACTTTGGTGAGTTCAAGAACGGCAAGTTCCACGGCAGAGGTCGATCCGTGAACATCGAGCACATCGAGCTGACCAAGGAAGAAAGGAACATGCTGCCCAAAAACGTGTACCAGTGGACAGGTAAGCCTCTCACCCTTTCCTTCGCCTACGATGTAGGGTCGACTTATGAGATGTGGCATGGCCTGGCACACTCCCCACAGGCAAAGAGAAGCTGCTCCAGCTCGGCACCGTATATGAGGGCAACTGGGAAGAGGGAAAGATGCACGGTAAGGGTCGCCTCACCAGCCGCGATGGGAGCGTGTATGAGGGCGACTTCTCGATGGTGCGTGTTCAGCTCATTTGCTACGCTGCCCATTATTACCGAGGCTCACGCTTCCACGTTCACGCCACAGGGACAAAGGACCGGCCTGGCCAAGATGATCTCCGATGAGGGCTACTACTTTTACACTGGAGAATTCGAAGACGGGTGAGTGCCATCCTACTTCTACGCCGCAGTATGCGTGGTTATTGCTGCGAGCTCTGACGATGGTGCTGGCTACGTGGCAGAGCCTACCACGGCAAGGGAACGCTTCGATCCAAGGCCGGCGATCAGTTCGAAGGTGAATTCGAGCGAGGGATGATGCGACAAGGCAAGGGGAAGATGGTGTTGGAGGAGGGATTCATCTACGAGGGCGAGATCTTCGATGGCGCTCCCAGCGGCTACGGCAAGCAGTACCACCCGAGTACGCACCCCTTCCGGAGCATGTACTCTATGTGTTTTGTGTACGTGCCACGCGCGGAGTGAGTTGACGGGGTATCCGCTGTTGCAGACAAGAAGGAGGGTTACGAGGGACACTTCAATGACGGCGAGTATCAGGGCCGAGGCAAGCTTCTTACCCCCGACGGCAGCTTTGTCGAGGGCACCTTCGACAAGGGCATGGTACGTCGCGTCGCACAGACCTCAGCGATTGGGTTGAAATTAGATTGGCCTCGCTCATCACACTGGATTGCCCCCACCCCAGCTCGACGGACCCGCCACCCACTTCGATGCCAATGGTAACGCCACGCCGATGGTGTTCAAGAGAGGCGTTCCCCAGCAAGCGTGATGAGCCGAAGTTGCGCCTTTGGCCACCAAAAAATAATGAAAAGAAATAAACGCCGAAAAGTGGTGAGCTTGTCGGCGCAAAAGACGAACACGCAAAGCAGAAGTTGAGCGGAAGCAGACCCCTGCATCGAGCGCACCCCCTCCACTCTCCGGTTGTCTACGCCCTTGCACTCTACATCCTCGATCCACACAGCCTGCGAGGTTAACGCCTTCTGCAAACATCCACCAGAGAGCGCAAATAATGCATAAAAATGGAACCTACGGATCGATAAGCGGCACCAGCGGCTCCTTGGGGCAGACCAACAGCAAGAGGAGAGAGGCGGAGGAGAAGGATAGGAGAAAGGCACGCGCGGCCGCTAAGATGAGCGACGATCTTGACATCAGCGCGATTTTGGCGGCCACCAGCATTACCTCGATCACGGGACAACCATCGAAGAGCAATCCGCCGCCAAGGCAGCAAGATACAGACTTGGATCGAGGGAGGGGCAAGGGAAAAGAGAAGGTGCGAGATGGCCAGTTCTCCAGCGATAATGGAAAAGGAAGGGCCCAAAAGGGGGGCAACGAGCCGATTTTCCACACGGTATCCTTTGCGGACACGCTCGAAGGCATCGCCGTCAAGTACGGCGTGCAGGTGTGCAGCCCCCCCCTTTTCTATTTAATTATTTATTTTTGCAAGATTTCTTTGCTAATGCAATTGAAACCGTGCAGGTAGCCGACATCAAACGTGTAAATAGGCTTTTTTCGAACCAGGATTTGTTTGCACGAAAGGAGCTCGTCATCCCCTCGCCTGAGGTTCGTCTACACTCGTTCTCTATTCAATTTGGATTAATGATAATGTTTGCCTTTTATTTATTTATTTATCGCTGGCACCAGGAGCTGGAGGAGCAAACCGTCAGGCCGAGGCGCAGCTACGAAAAGGACATCACGTCGCCGCGGGGGAGGCGCAGTTTCGAGAAGGACACCCCCAAGTATATTTACCCTGCCACGCCGGAGGATGAAGTGGTGCGCGCCTCCTTCGCCTCTCAGGCCCTAACTGCTCGCGCTCTCGATCGTGTGATGTGGCCACTCGAGTGGTGTGTTGCCGTCGCTGTCTGTACACGGACGATCCCCGGCTCACGCGTTCGTTTTGTGCAGTCGGAGCAAAGACGGTCTCTCCTCGGTTTCAGCTACAATTTTCCCTCGGGCGGAGAAGATGGCTTCGGTGGCCTGAACACCGACACCGGAGCCGGCGTCAGGTACCTCCGACCTCTTGATGCATCAACTTGATCCCTCCCCTCGTTTCTGTTGGCCCATCCACGCTTTTCTCCTTGCAAGGGAAGAAGCTTCTCTCATCTTTTTCTTGCTTGTTCTTGTTTACTCTGCTCGCCAGGATCAAGCAGATGGGTGCGAAGGTGAGGAGACGGTTGGAGGAGGAGGAAGATCAGCTCTACGGACTCTGAGAGCTCGTGTTGTCGCTCCAGCGACCTATTTATTCGGAGACCCAGCTACTTCTCCGACTCCCCCGTTTTGTCACGTTACCCCCCTCTCCTGTCTTTGCGCCCGTGGCGAATGGGCTGGCGGGCGCAATGTACATACCCGGCTACACAACACCCCTCTTTTGTCCCTCTTCGGTCTGCTATTGAAAAGCGCCCTTGGTCGAGGTTGGCGAGCCAGATACGTTTCCGGTCTCACCCAGTTCACTTCCAGGCCTGAGCACTACAAGGCAACTTGTTTTTGTTTGTTGAGAACAGGTCACTTCTCCATGGGCATGACCTAAGAGAGTGCGTCATGATGTGGAAGCTCAAGCACATAGCAGTGCAACCAGGTGGGTGGTCGCCTTGGCGTTCGGGGAAGGGCCGCGGCACACGGCCAAGCACTACTTTTCCCTTCAGCCCTCCCCGCACAACGATAGCCGCCCACATCGTTCTTTCTACCCGCACGCGCAGTCACCTCTCGCCCGACCTGACCTGTGATCACGAAGACGCCCGCGACCAGCCTCTCATCAGACACATTGCCAATCGATCGTCATCATAGCTCTACCACCATCGCCAACACCTTCCTGTGTCTCCTGGAGCGGTGGCTTCCCAACCTGACCGACTTGACCAATCACCCTCTGCAGTCATCCTTGCACTTGCTCCTTCTCGGTCTCTACGTCGTCACTGCACGACCCTTAAGAACCTTCCATATTTGTCCTGTCCTTTGCCTTCTCTTCAATATACTTCTTTTCTCCTAACAGTCGCGACAACGCCGACGACGATGAGGCGAAGAACAAGAAGCACCATATCGAGGAGGTGCACAGGACACGAAGCGAATCAATGCTGGTGCCAAGGCAACCAGGTAAAAAAGCCACCAGGACAAGGAGCTTGTCGGACTGAGGACATGTATGAACATAGAAGCAGAAGACCACCACGTTTCTCTTCGAAGCTGGCCCTCCTTGCTCCAGCTGTGGAGAAGCTGACGATCGGTTGAGAAAGTTTCCGCATCAAGCGCCCTGCCCACCCGTCGAACACGTGAGGACAGTGAACCTGAGGCCCCGCCTTTCCCCCAGTAAGCTCCTTCGCCCATGAGCGTTGCTTCCTTCTACTGGACATCATCATCATCTGCCAAGTAATTGAGCGTTGTTTTACAAGCCACCAACCTCTTGCTCAAAGTGTGAACTGAGGCTTGGCGGTGTCGCTTACTTGGTGGTGCCAAAGAAGAGCATGATCGAGGCACGAGTACGTCGTGTGGTGAGGTCGGGGTTGGACTCGCGCAGGTCCCTCAGGTGATCCGAGAGCTCCGCGTCGCCGACGTCGCCCTCGCTCTCCTCGTCGCCGCTGCTCTCCTCCGCCGGTCGCGCTGCGGGCGTGTAGACGGGCAACACCTCTTGCGAGGAGCTAGGGCTCAGGGAGACCGACGCGAGGTGAACGCTGGGCGCACGCGCCGGGACCGGCGGCGGCACACGGGTCGGCACACCGTGCGATGACGTGGCGACAATCGTGGAACCGCCGGCGGACGCCGGTGATGGCGACGGCAGGGAGGTGATGGTGGACCCGGGCGAGCTCGGCGCGCTCTTCTTGGAGGCGAAGGGCCACATCTTGCTCGGCGTGGCGAAGCGCTTCTTCTTGGACTTGCGGTCCTTCTTGTCGCCGGCCGCCGCCTTTTCGCCGCCCAGCGCTGCGCCCTGCTCGGCGATGAACTCGAACAGGTTGACCTCCTCCGCGGCCTGCTCGCGCTGCTCAGCGCCCGCTTCCTTCTTAGCGGTGTCGGCTTCGTCGTAGAACTGCTTGATCGCGCCTTCCTCTTCTTCATCGTCGGCTTCGTCGTCATCGTCGTCATCTTCATCCGCCTCGTCCTGCTTCTGCCCAGGCCCTCCTCCCTTCTTGTCGCTGCCTTCGCTGCTGTCGTCCTCGTTGTCGCTGTCGAGCATCTCCTCGAGCGAGAGCACGCGGGTCTTCTTCTGGATCCACTCGTCCTCCACGAGGATGCTGTCGGCGCGAATGGCGCGCGTGCGGACCGCCTGCACCTCGTCGCGCTCGCGCTCGCGGGCCTCGCGCTCCTCGCGCTCCCTGCGCTCGGACTCGAACTTGGCCTTCTCCGTCTCGAGCAGCTTGCCCACGCCCTGGCTCATGCTCTTGAAGAAGGCCATCGACCCGCGCTTCTCCGCGTCTTCATCGAGAATGGCTGGCGGCGGTGGCGCCGTCGTCGCCGTTGTTGGTGTCTTGTCGGCCGCCGGCTTGCTGACGCTGAGCCGTGGTCGTGGCGGCACAGCGATGATCTGGCTGCCGCCATCTTCGTTCTTTTTCGGGGTAGCAGTTGCGGCGGCCTTCGCTCTTTCCTCGGCCTCGGCCACCGCCGCTTTCGCTCTTTCTTCGACTTCGAGCAGCTGGCGGTCGCGGGCGGCGAGCTCGTCGCGCAGGCGCTTGATCTCGAGCTCCCGGTCGAGATCGGCCTGCTTTAGCCTCTCGATCTCGGTCAGCATCGTCTTCTTCTCCTCGAATTCGGATTCCATGAATTCCTTGAGGCTCTCGATCAGCTTCCGCTGCTTGCTCACCCGGCGCTGCAGCCGCTCGACCTCCTTGCGCTCCTCCTGCTCCGCCTTAACGTCCTTTTCCCTTTCCTTTTCCTTTTGTTCGTCCGCCTTTTCCTTCTCCTTGTCGGCCTTCTCCTTCTCTTTGGCTTCGCACACCTGCGTGCGCTTGCCGATCGCCTTCCTGATCTTGCCCGTCCACAGCTCCCTGTCGGCCGCACTCCGCGCGAAGAACACGAACGACTTGCGCGTGTGGCCCTCCTTCTTCCCCTCCTGCTCCCCGTCGATCTGGAATCCATTCAACCGACCTGCACCCCAGTCGTCCGTTAGTTTGCACGCCACACAACACACACACCAACACACACGACACACAATGGCACGACACACGACGACACGACATCACGACATCACGACACGACAGACACACAATGACACGACACACGACACACACGACACACACGCGCATGCCTTTGTCTTTTTGGTCTTCAACGTTCTTGATGGTGGCGGTGGCGAGCGGGATAGCGGCGACGAATTGCAGCAGGTTCTTGTTGCCGAGGAACGACGCCTTCTTGCTCTGGTCGTGTCGAGGGCCACAGGGCGGTCAGCAAGCAGCCATGCAGCGGCGGTCCATGGCAGGTGGGTGGTACGTGGGGGACAAAAAGGTATTACTTACCTTGGACTTGGCGATCACGAAGAGGTCGGAGAACAGGTAGCACTGGCGGACGGTCACCCGCGCGCCAGACTGGATGAGCTGCGCCAGCTGACCCTCGTGCTTGTAGTGTCGCCCGGCCTCCGCCAATCGGATCTGTGATTGTACACACACACACACACACAACACACACGCCCTAGGGGTATGAGCACAGCACTCGCAGCGCCACATAGCGTTGTGGAGAGCGCGGTGTCGTGCCTTGCAGTTGGCCATCGACGTCTCGATGATCATCATCGTGTGAATGTTTTCGGCCTCCTTCCGCGAGATGTTGATGTAGGTCACCTGTGAATGACGCGACATTACGATGAGGCACCGAGTCAAAGAGGGGAAGGGGATGGTTGGTACGTACCATCTTCTCCAGAGTCTCGAGGCACTCCACTTGCAGTCTGTAGTCTTTGTGATCCATTGGCGTGTTTTGCAGCAGGTTCTGGCAAAAGTGTGTGTGTGTGTGTTAGCGAGACAACGCACCAAACAATAAGCTATCGGAGTTAAAATGTGCGAGGGAGAGTGTGTGGGGGCGAGATGTGGACACCTACCTTGAACAGGAGGGGGTATTTGCAGATGCGCTGGATGGGCTTGATCATGTAGTCCCGCAGCGAGAGGTTGTTCACTTCGGCCTTTTGGCTTTGCGTCTGCAGTGTTCCACGGTGAGAGGGGGGATCGTGGTCGGTGTCACACGGAAGTGCCTCGACAGGGGTGTGGCCAATACTAGGCTCGTACCCGCAGGAAATCGGCAAAGGCCGGGATCTGCTTCGCTCGCTGGATGGCGTCCATGGACTTCTTGTAGTTGCTACAGTAGTGCTTGTACACCACAAAGTTCTTCGACTGTACGCAGGCACCGACACGGTGACACGACCACGCGTGGTCAACCACGCGGCAATGCCAAGCAAAAACAAACACGCACCGAGCCGGCCAACAGGTACCATTTCCTTGAAGATGTCGCCTACGTGGTACGAGATCGAGCGACCCTTGGAGGAGGTCTCCAGCACCACTTCGCCCGTTGCTCGCCTGGAACAGTAGATCATTGACCAGGAGAACATTAATCAATATTGCCAATACAATATAGAGTGGTGTTTATTGATATATTGATATATTGATGTATGTGGCCATAAAAGAAGTTCGGGTTGACGAGGTACCCAGTGGAACGGGCGGGAGAGATCTTCTCCACGCCGAGACGTTTCATCAGCTGGTGGTGCATTGGTGCGAGAGAAGAGTCGTGTGAGGTTGCAGCAACGCGTGCGCGATAGCGACATAGAAAAAGAGAGGCGTCTCGGTACCTTTTGGAGCAGATCGCTGTGTATGCCCAGGATGATCTCCACGTTGAGGAAGATCTGGGGGATCTCATGTGACGGCAGCAACTCTCCGTCTCGGATTGGCGTGAGATAAGACTGTGTGCCGGATGACACACATGACACACACGACACACGCCACACACGCCACTCATGGTGAGTTTGGCCCGAGAGTGCACTCTCGAGCGACCACGTAGGTACTACCTTGACGAGCGTCTTGAGGTCTTCGACGTAGAGGTACTCGGTGTTGAGTATCTCCTGAATGATTTGGAAGCGCTTGAACTGGGCGGCGATCTGGGTGTCCATCGGCGTGGTCTTGCGGTCAATCCCCACGAGTGTGCCCTGCACCCGTCCGTCCCTGTGTGCGTGCGGTGGTGCGTGAGCCAGACACGTCTGAACGCATCGATCGAGTGCGCCGGCCGCGGCAAGAAGAAGAGAGAGAGAGCAAGACGCACTCTGTCTCGCCCACTGCCGGCAGTGTAGTCGACACAGAAGAGGCCAGGACCTCCTGCACAGGCCACGAGGACAGAAGAAGGTGTCACACAAACCATCAAAAAAAAAGATGATGAAGAAGGGGCTGCTGTACGGGGACGGGTGTGATGCCGGTGGGCGGTAGGGTGTGGTGCTGCTGTGGCTTTCTGGCACCTCCCACCATTTGTCGCTGTCCGCCTTGGTCTGACTGGAGCCCTCCCACGTTTGTCAGGCACCAGTGCGCCAGCCAGCCATATACAGATCAACGCCCCCCCCCGTCGGACAAAAAACAAGAAGGAGGCGTACGGGTCGCACCGCCGCGGCCGTGCCACTGCCCTTCTTTCCAAACATCTGTTGTGTTTACGGTACTCTTGCTCAACGGCCTCGCCGTTTTGTTCGTCACCTGCAAAATAAAATATTAATTTTTAATTTCTCGCCAACACCTAAACGGGAGGCCAATGGGCGCACATGGCGTGACGGAGTCTCCCGGGAGGCGGCGGTGGTGATCGCGAAGCCGGCGCACGCGGCGGGACAGTGGATGAAGGTGCATTGTACATTGATGATGGATGCAACAACGAAAGAAGAAGAGGGAAGGAAAGAAGCAGATGGGGATGAATGCGATCAATCGCGTCCTCGGAATCCACCACCTCGGCCACCGCCGCGTCCGCCCCGGAATCCGCCACCGCCTCCACGACCACCGCGGAAGCCGCCTCCGCCGCGACCGCCTCGGAATCCGCCGCCACGACCGCCTCGCCCACCGCGGAAGCCGCCACCGCCTCCACG